AGAAGCTAGGATCTTTGCTTTCAGATAACCAGAAATATCAACCTTTCATTTCAATAATGAGGCAAGTTTAAAAATGAAGAAATTTTATTACTAACAATTTTAAACTGAAGATTTGAAACGACAATTATAAAATGACAATTCATAAAATGACAATTCATGGATGGCAATTTTAATGACAATCTTTAACAGTTTTGATATTAAACATGTTTAAAAGCAAACCTGTGACTGAATGGAGCTAAAAATGAGAATGATGAGTTTTGGATGCGTAAATGAAGTTCTCAGAAGGTTTCTTTCAGAGAGAATGAAAGCATTCTGGGTGGAAATGATGTTTTGCGGATAACTGAGTTATTTTGAGAGAAACAGCATCAAACACATTCTGTCGAGGTCTACCTCACCCAATCAGAAGACCCCTGTTTGGATCCGAAGTGTCCAGGTGGAGATGGGTTTCCTCCAGGCACGAGGTTGGTAGATAAACCTCTAGCACAACCAGATCGGTCTTGAGATGTCTTCTTGGGTCACTTGGTGTATGAAGCGTTTGGCAGATGAACGTTCTCGTCTTTAACTTAACTTCAGAAATCAATTACTCTGGTAGAGTCTTTCGTTAGCTGGTGACAGTTTTGTTTATTCTTTGGCTATTCTTGTCGGCGTGACAGAACAGCTTGGCAGAGGGTCAGGGCGGCCGTCCCGTCTCCTCAGGACGATGCTTGATTACAGAACTGACGTGAATCTGTGATGGTTACAGTTTTACCAAAAGCTCTCAGAACCACTCCCACTCTCTCTGGAAGAAAGCTTGCTCATGCGTCAAAAACATGTGATGCAGTTATTGTTTATCTGAACTCTGTGTTAGCTGGATAGGGTGACTTGACCGTGTTGCTAAACACATCTTTAATCATTATAATAATTATTATTATTATCATACCCAAAGCATAATAATCCCTTTCATGTAATTAAAATACCTTTATAATGAGCCAAGTGATCATGTTATGAGGATTATATTAAACAGTAATAAAATCAATGCGTTTATTAATTATTATCTAATTACTATCATCGTGGCTTGAAGTGTCCTTCTAGGGATGGAACAGCAGATATGACGTTATGATCTTGAGCAGACATTGTGGCTCCTTGGGTTAATCTGTGGATTCAAAAAGTACTGTTTGATCCAGCTGGGCAAATGTGACCTTTGCCACATTTCAGAGAGCCTTCATCACGCTACAATGGCTGCAGACGACGGGGAGTTCACAGTGCTAATATTGTTAGATCTTTCTGCAGCTTTTGACACTGTTGATCACAGCACCTTAATTACCAGACTTGGCGACTCGGTGGGGATCTCTGGAACTGTTTTAGACTGGTTTAAATCGTACCTTTCTAAAAGAAGTTACAGTGTCTTTATAAACCAAATCATGTCAGATTCTACTGATCTGTTCTGTGGGGTACCCCAAGGCTCTGTTTTGGGTCCACTGTTGTTTCTGCTGTACGTGCACCCTCTTGGACAGATACTTGATTCTTTTCATAATGTCTCTTATCACCTATACGCAGATGATATTCAGCTGTACTGCTCCTTTAAGGATTCTGAGTTCTATAAACTGTCTGAATTACTAGAGTGTCTATCAGCTATCACCAGCTGGCTAGAAGAAAACTTCCTTCAGTTAAACTCTGAAAAGACTGAATGTCTGATCATTGCCCCTGAGAGCATGGTTCCCCTGATTAGTCTAAAACTTGGTCATTTATCCTCTGCCGTCAAGACAAACTTATTTTTGACCAATCAATGTGTCTTGAAGGTCACTCAGAAACGGTCACTTAAGAACGTTGGTCCGAAACTGATTTTATCATTTGAGAAATATCTCCAAACTGCGAAGATTGGTATCAAAATATGAATTTGAAATAGTTATCCATGCCTTTATCTCCTCCCGTCTAGATTACTGTAACACACTCTTCACATGTTTTAACAAAAAGCCCTTGGCCGCCTTCAGTTGGTCCAGAACTCTGCAGCGAGGCTCCTAACTGGAGCAAACAGAAGAGTACACATCACTCCTATTCTAATGTCTCTCCACTGGTTACCCGTTAACTTTAGAGTTTATTTTAGAATCCTGATTATAACTTTCAATGCTCTACATGGTAAAGCTCCTCCCTATATTACTGAACTGTTAAAGCCTTATGCTCCAACCCGAGCCCTCAGGTCCACACATCAGAACCTTCTAGAAGTTCCAGAGACCAGATACAAAAGTCGAGGTGATCGCTCCTTCCACACTGTTGCACCCCGACTCTGGAATGATCTTCCTTTATCCTTGACAGTCTGGACACTTTTAAAAACATCTAAAGACCCTTTTATTTAAAGCTGCTTTTACCAAAATCTTTTATTTTCTTATTTTTAACTCAAAGTTTTAATCTTTCATCTGTTTATGAAAATTTATAATTTTATTACTTTATTTTTTCTCAATCTGTTAATCTGTTTCTGTTTTGAAATCATTATGATTTTATGATGTTAATCTATTCATGATTTTATGACTTTATTTTGATCTAGGTGAAGCACTTTGTGATTCTATGTCTGTGATAAGTGCTATATAAATAAAATTTACTTACTTTTCAGCCATCCTCCCAGATTCGTATTTTACTAGAAGACACACACACACACACACACACACACACACACACGCACACACACACACACACACACACACGCACACAGACCTGGGAGAGTTCCCCCACCCGTATTTTTAAACTATAAACTTGACAGGAATGCTCCAAATCAACAGGCTGTAGCTCAGCAGTTCTGTTGTTATAACACAAAAACACAAACCGGTACATCTGCACACATTCATCATACACTAGACTAGAGCGATAAGCGTCAGAATTGGGCTTTGCTTTGAAGTTCATCCATTGGCTCCCAGAAAAAGGCCCACTCTTTACCACTGAGGATAGAAAAGAGGACAGAATAGAAGTTCATTAGTTGAAGCTCAACTCATCTCAACTCAACTTTATTTATAAATCACGCCTTACAGGCAAAAAGATGCCACCAAGGCACTACACTGAACAAATAAAAACATAAAACAGTAAGTCCAGAAAATTAAACATTGTATCACACGATACAGATAAAAATACAATGAGTAAAATCGCTATAAGTAAAACAATAAAACTAGTTAGAAAGGTTAAAAGACAGGTCATAAAAATATGTTTTTAGCCTTGCCTTAAAAACCGCAACAGAGGTGGAGGCCCTTATGCTGAGAGGAATCTTATTCCAAAGCTTAGGACCTGCCACAGCAAAAGCCCTATCACCACGCGTCTTTAGACGTGTTCTTGGGACCGAGAGGAGCGTGAGGTTCTCCGAGCGGATTGACCGTGAAGGGGTGTGTGGTTGAAGTAGTGACACCAAGTAAGGAGGGGCCAAACCATTTAACGTTTTAAAAACTAGTAAAAGTATTTTAAAATGAATCCTAACATCAACGGGCAGCCAGTGAAGCGCAGCCAGGACAGGAGTAATGTGGTCAAACTTACGCCTGCCCTCTAAAAATCTGGCAGCAGCATTCTGGACCATTTGCAACCTGGCTATTGAGCCCTTGCTCACACCAAATAGAACAGAGTTGCAGTAGTCCAATCGCACCGTAATAAAAGCATGGACTACCGTCTCAAGATCATGGCGTGACAAAAACGGTTTGATCTTTGCCAGCCGACGAAGGTGGAAAAAGGAGTTGAAGGTACAAAGATAAAGTATGTCGAATGATAATTAAACATATTGCTTCATTTCTCCCTGTAGGAGACATATAAATCACTTTTTTTGTTGTCATAAGTGTATTGATACTATTTGGAGGTAGATTTGGTCTAGGTTTGAACAAAGGCAAGAAAAGAGGGAGTCTGTCCAAAGTTGCAACAGAGATTCAACAGCCCAAACAGGATTAGGGAACCAATTTCAGATGACCAGTATAGAGTAGTGCTTCTGGAGGGAGGAAATGGCAGGGTTGTACACTTCAAAAGACTTGAGCCTTTTCTTTGGCCTGTGTCAGAGTCCAATCACCATGAAGAACCACAAAGACGACAGTCAGGACCAGCAGACTGGCCAAGAGTGGTGGCAGGACACGATGGAGAACACCAGAAACCAGAGGGCAGCCAGAGGACAACAAGCTGATCGAGGATCCCTGAGTGACCGGTCGGACTGGTCCACTTTGGGTAAACGGCCCACTGGGCAATGCCAGATGGCCAGTCCACCCCTAGTCTGGTCCCTGGAATGGACGTGTGACCCTGTACTGCTCTGCATGCTGCCTTAAATCTGTGTACTTAATAAAGATGGTTATTTTTGTTACCGTTGGGAATCTTCCACATATAGTGAGGTTTTCCCTTAGCTGCAAATGCCACTGGCTCACTTTTATAAGTGTTTATTACATAACGACACCTGTCCGTATAAACCTGTTCCAAAATGTAAAATATTGCAATCAAATTCGGTTCTGCAACCTGTTTTTGATCCTAGTATAAACAAGAAAATACCAAAAATACGTTTTTTGTTTGTGTATCTGTTTAAAACAATGACTTTGACTTTTTGTTTTCAATCAAAAAAAATAAAATAAAAAGAACAAATGATACAGATTCATCTTCTCTGCCCTGTTTTAAAGCTCTTTCTAAAACCCATTTGTGGGCTTGCTTTGAGTTTTAACCATCGACATAATATACGTTTTAACGTGGCATGAGTCATTTAGTTTTTATGCTGTTTTTTATTCCGTTTTAATTCTGTGGAGCCCTTTGGTCAGTTTGATGCTGTTGAAAGGTGTTACAAATAAATTTGACTTGTCTAAACGAAGATGGATAACGATCTGTTCAGTTTGCAGCAGTACACGACCCTGCTGCTTTAGATTAGGGATGTTACATTTATTATTTTCTACACGGGAAAACAGAATTCAGGAATGTGGTCTTCCCTGCATCTTGCAAATCCTCCAAACTTCTCATCGATGCATTACTCATGTGATGAAGCTCAATTTTGTGTTTAAGAACCACAACAAAGCACACAAAAAAAGACTGAAATACGAAAAGATTTTTTATCAGAAAAAGTGGTGCAATATTTCACATGTAAACACACCTGCAGCAGTTCAATCTTAATACCTGAATAGTTACATAGAAATATTTTAGTGACTCGAATGTTTGTAAAATCAGTGTAACAAACTCATCATTAAAACCCCTTCATAAAAAAAATCTGAAATATTTTAAGTGCTCCTAAAACAGTCAATTTACTTTTCTTTGTTCAAAAGCTCTCCTGATTCATTTAAAAGCAAAATAAGCCTTTTTTTCCATCTCCTGCAAATGATTAAATTTTTAAGAGAAAGCCTGTGCAGAGTGCTGGATAATGAAAAAGGAAAATTCACCAAAATAATCCAAGCATGAGTGTAAATGATTCCAATCATTAGTGATAAAACTGATAAAAGCATGCAGCGAACTGCTTTCAACGTTCATTATAACCAATATAAAGTTGACATGATGTGGAATTTTCAAAATAAAAGTATCTGTATGCATTTTAATCCTCAGTGAGTATATTTATTTGCTTTTGAAAGAAGCCCAAAACTTCATTTAACACAACAGAAATATTAAGAAAAAACTCATTTGTGCCCCACATTTCTAATAATTAAAGATCCTTTTTTTCACCAACATTTTAGTTAAGTACGCTCACTGTAGACACCTTCACTAAAAAAATATGTTTCCAAAATTCAAACAAATCTGAGAACAGACTTATTTTGTGGCACGACTGTCGTAGTGTTGATTTGATGCACTTAGGTTTCTAATAATGCGGGGGGGGGGGGTGCAGCATCAGAACAGAAAAGTGCAGATAGGTTTGAATTTCCAAAACTAGCATGCTTCCATGAGCGCTTCCAAAGCACTTTGTAGGATTTTTCCCCCCGTGACATTGATCAGGTCCTCACCCCGCCCAAACAGAAATCTGCTCTTTTTTATTTGGGTTTTACTCGTCCAATCACAGCTTTTTCTCCTCCCCCCTCTTTCCTTCACTTCCAGGCTTTGTTTCTGTTCCCTTCATGAGGTCATTTGGCCTTTTTTCTGTTCTGTCTGTTTTGTTTCCTCCTTAGTCTGCTCCGTAGCCTGTGTCCTGTCCTTCAGCGCCTTCAGAAGGATCCTGAGTAGTGTGTTCTCATTCAGCAGGGTTTCAGATGTGTCCACCAGCTCCTCCAGCCGCCTCAAAGCTTCCGCCAGCTGCTGGCTTTTCTCCTGGAGCTGCTTCTCCAAGCTTTCCTCAATGCTGCGTTTGTCAAATTTCAGTTGTCGGTAATCGCGCCAAAGCTGCGCCAGCTGTTGGGAGAGACGCTCGCGGGCGAGATGTAGAGTTTGAACTTCTCGTTGGAGAGCCAGAAATTCTGCGTGGAGGACGGCACTGGCTCCTTTCCTCTGTGCCTCATCTGGTTTGTCTTCATGACGTAAAGAGTCAGAATGCTTCAGGATGAAGCGAAGGAGATTGGGTAATGTGACCGGAAGCTCTTCTGGAAACTTCACACTAAGGTGTTTTCTAAAAGAGAAGCAAGAATGACAAACGCACAGTCTAAAGTAAGAAATAGGAGTGAAGTAGCATTTTTTATAAAGCAACATTTTATTTTTCTATCCGTTTCTTGGTGAGAGGAATGTTCTTGTTTTCCTCCCTTCAAGCAGGAAAAAGCGTCTAATGTGGAAAAAGAGTAACAATAGATTTACTGTAGTGACAGAAAAAAAGGTCTACGCTATTAAAAACAGAGAAACATACCGACAGTACAAATGATGCTATAAATAAAAAAATTACTATTCTATCACGATTTTATTTTACATATTAGGAGGCGTCACACTGGTTCTTACCTGTATCTGGGAAACAGAAGGATGGAGGGAACATGATCCACCATGAACTCCCAGGGAAGGTCGTTGCGTGCCACGTTCACCCTGAACAGAGTCGTGTGGACACATTGACATGTTTGTTTCTGTGATTGGCAGCTTTTATGGAAATTTTATATTTCATTACTTTAGTCCTATTAACAATGTCCTGAAAGCATTCTCACACACACACACACACACACACACACACACCCACACTCACACTCTCTCACACATATGATCCACTCCCATTCCTTTCTTATCTTTTTGTATAAATTAACTCTGTGACCAGATGTTCGGGGCATTTGCCCTGTGCACTTGCCACAAATCATGATTTGGTTGTATGTCTGCCTTATTGTCTCTTGTCCCTCTCTCTAGCTGCAGGAAATGGGTTTATTGATAAACATATTGATAAAATCCCTAACAGCAGCGATCAGACTACTGAGTCCATCAGAACCAGACTGCACCTGGCCACGGTGATGGTGCGGTTTCCCTGCAGTAATCTGGCCAGCCGGATGATGACGTGGTTCAAAACGGAGCAGAACCCACACCACTGGGTATAGTAGAACAGCAACACATCCTAAAAACACACATGACATCATCTTTATTATTTAAGAGTGTAATCTGACTTCTGTATCTAGAACCCTGAGACCAGCGTATTCCCTCACCTTTTGATGGTCCATGATGGAGGGCAGGAAGGAGGAAGTGGTCAACTCTGTGATGAAGAGATGTGAGGGAGAGTGCTGGGGCTCGTCTGGATGCTTGGCTTCATCTCCACCTTGCCTCCTGTCTTCCACCCCTACCAAATGTCTCTGCAGGAGGCTGAACGGAGCGCTGAAGTTCCTAATGAAGGCCTCTTTAAGGAGACACATCATAAACAGATATCAGCTGATGCTTGTGCTCGAATAAAACCAAACCAACATGAACTGATCACGTTACGACTGTTCTAGTGGTATTTAAACTGGTCCAGTCAATTGTTATTTATTTGATCATGATGAAATCCTCCACGATAACAACAATGATCTTTACTGATGGGTTGGGTCTGGATGAGTCATTCTGTCTAAAACATTTAAACCAAGAGCCTTTTGTTTGAAGCCAAACATGTGGTTGTGTTTCCAGAAATATATCTAATATTAGAAAAGAGTCAAAGGGCAAAAAAAGCAAGCATTTCAATCCAAAACAAACCAAGCCTAACCTGAAACCTGTGGAGCAGCTTAAACATTTTTGCTCGAAATTAAAAAAAAAAAAAAAAAAAAAAAAAAGGGAAAAAAGTAAAGTAGACTCTGGTTTGAAGGTGTGTGTTTGCACCTTGAAGGCTTCCACAGACAGGATTCCTTTAATAAAATAATGCAGAGGCTTCGGCTACAGCACAACTAAGTAAAAGTGTCGTTTGATCATTCTGGTTTATAGTTGCTGTGAAAACAGGGCTTCATAAACCATAGCCGATTTAAGATGATAGAAAATAAAGAGAAGTGAATCCCTTCAAGCCTCTTCCGCCTTTAGAGCAGGTCGGAGAAGGACTTAGGCGCTAGCGGCCCTCGGCTCCATTCGGGACAAAAAGAATTAAGAGAAATCATTTAAAGAAATCTCACCCAGAGACTCGGCCAGTGTGGCTGCTGGGCTGCGGTGAAGAACATAATGAACTTCATCCTTCAAGTTGACAATAGCTACAAATGACCCGTCGCCGCTCCCATCGCTTAGTGGTGAAGCATCTCGGCCCAGAGAAGAGTTTCTGTTGCCAGGTGCTCCGAGCCTCACGGCCAGAGGCCAGTTGAGAGCAATATCCAGAAGATAAAACCTGAGCGTCCTGTTAGTCTGACAGCTTAGTCCTGTGATACTGCCTTCCTCCTGCTGAGGAGCAGAGGATGGAGGGTTGGAGGAAAAAGGTGTTGGGTTAACTCTTGGCATCTCTGGCTCCTCTTTGGCTTTTAACTCGATGAGTTGAGGTTCTACTTTTCTGCAGCAGGCACTGAACTGAGTAAATGGACTGTAGCTGTTCAGGAAATTGTTACAGCCCACTGAAGTCCTGGTGTTTATGGAGATGGGAGTAGGAGGTCGCTGGAGGCAGCAGTGTTTAATACTAGTCTGAAACGAAGGAAATGAGCAGCGAATGGAGGAGGTGGGGAGGCTCGGCCAGGACGCGTTGAGGCAAACCTCACACACGTTTGTCCTCAGCTCAGGGAGAACGACCGACTGGCAGCAGAGCGAGCGAGAGGTGAAACTGTAGTTCAGGCTGGAGCGGTTGCAGGAATGATATCGCACGGCAACGTCTGCAACCTATGAGACAGAAATAGAAAAAATAAGCTCAATGTAAAGTTCAAAGGAGTTAAAGACAGAAAAAAAGATGACAGAGATGTTCAAGGGTCAAACTTCTTCAAAGCCACGAGACTTTCAACAAGAAAGAAGCAGGTCATCAGAAAGAGTCACAGATACAAATAAACCTGGGAGTGAGCTGACAAAATGATCAAATAAAGCCTAAATTTAACTTCCTCCACAGATTTGTGTTTTCCAGTCATAAACTAGATTTACTGAGTGTCGTTTCAATAACCCAAGATCAAGTGAAAAAAAGACTGATTATTAAAACAAGTACAGCTGAATAAAATCAGACATCTCCTATAAGGTTGTCTAAAGGTAGGAAACACCAAACATCTATTCCAAGGTTTTTAAGTGAGAACAAAATGGCTTAAAATGTTTATTTACTGGATTGTCTGAATTGAAGTAAAATGAAAATATCGCCCAAGATGTGTTGCAAAGTTGGCAATTTAACTAAAATAAATAGGTACAGTGGGGTAAAAAAGTATTTAGTCAGCCACCGATTGTGCAAGTTCTCCCACTTAAAATGATGACAGAGGTCAGTAATTTACATCATAGGTACACTTCAACTGTGAGAGACAGAATGTGAAAAATAAGCCATGAATTCACATGGCAGGACTTTTAAAGAATTTATTTGTAAATCAGGGTGGAAAATAAGTATTTGGTCAATAACAAAAATTCAACTCAATACTTTATAACATAACCTTTGTTGGCAATAACAGAGGTCAAACGATTACTATAGGTCTTTACCAGGTTTGCACACACAGTAGCTGGTATTTTGGCCCATTCATCCATGCAGATCTTCTCGAGAGCAGTGATGTTTTGGGGCTGTCGCCGAGCAACACAGACTTTCAACTCCCTCCACAGATTTTCTATGGGGTTGAGGTCTGGAGACCGGCTAGGCCACTCGAGGACTTTCAAATGCTTCTTACGGAGCCACTCCTTTGTTGCCCTGGCGGTGTGTTTGGGATCATTGTCGTGTTGGAAGACCCAGCCACGTTTCATCTTCAAAGCTCTCACTGATGGAAGGAGATTTTGGCTCAGAATCTCACGATACATGGCCCCATTCATTCTGTCCTTAACACGGATCAGTCGTCCGGTCCCCTTAGCAGAAAACAGCCCCAAAGCATGATGTTCCCACCCCCATGCTTCACAGTAGGTATGGTGTTCTTGGGATGCAACTCAGTATTCTTCTTCCTCCAAACACGACAAGTTGAATTTATACCAAAAAGTTCTACTTTGGTTTCATCTGAACACATGACATTCTCCCAGTCCTCTGCTGTATCATCCATGTGCTCTCTGGCAAACTTCAGATGGGCCTGGACATGCACTGGCTTCAGCAGCGGAACACGTCTGGCACTGCAGGATTTGATTCCCTGCCGTTGTAGTGTGTTACTGATGGTGACCTTTGTTACTGTGGTCCCAGCTCTCTGCAGGTCATTCACCAGGTCCCCCCGTGTGGTTCTGGGATTCTTGCTCACCGTTCTCATGATCCTTTTGACCCCACGGGATGAGATCTAGCGTGGAGCCCCAGATCGAGGGAGATTATCAGTGGTCTTGTATGTCTTCCATTTTCTGATAATTGCTCCCACAGTTGATTTTTTCACACCAAGCTGCTTGCCTATTGTAGATTCACTCTTCCCAGTCTGGTGCAGGTCTACAATTCTTTTCCTGGTGTCCTTCGAAAGCTCTTTGGTCTTTGGTCTCGGCCATAGTGGAGTTTGGAGTCTGACTGTTTGAGGCTGTGGACAGGTGTCTTTTATACAGATAATGAGTTCAAACAGGTGTAACGAGTGGAGGACAGAAAAGCTTCTCAAAGAAGATGTTACAGGTCTGTGAGAGCCAGAGATTTTCCTTGTTTGAAGTGACCAAATACTTATTTTCCACCCTGATTTACAAATAAATTCTTTAAAAATCCTGTCATGTGAATTCATGGATTTTTTTTCACATTCTGTCTCTCACCTATGATGTGTACCTATGATGAAAATTACTGACCTCTGTCATCATTTTAAGTGGGAGAACTTGCACAATCTGTGGCTGACTAAATACGTTTTTGCCCCACTGTAAGTATGTGCCTAAATGTTAAATCAGTCAAATAATAAGTTCTGCAGTTCTTCCAAACTGCTCATGATCATTTGAATAAAAGAATATATTTGCAAATTAAGCCCAAAGAGGAACACAAACAAAGGAGGGGCCTAAAATTGAGCTCTGTGGAATTCCGAAATTGAATGAATGTGAAATTACAGAAATTAAACAAGTCTTCATTCTACAAAATTTAGACGAATGTTCCCAAAACAGATCACCTGCTGTAGTATGGGACTTGGCTCAGAGCCCAGTGGATTGTGAGGCACAAACAGCAGAAGAGCAGGGCCTTTGGTCAGCTCCTGCTCCAGCAGGTAAGACTTTGTTCCTGGAGGCTGCAGCCACTGGAGAACAATCTCACGGTGTTCAAACACCCAGCTACAGACAGCCTCGGATGTAAAGTTTCGCTGCTTTCTGGGGAAAATCTGAATGAAAAAAGGTGCAATCAGCACTAAATGTTTGGTGTTTTAAAACCTCATGACCTGATCAAGCTGCTCACCAACGAAGAGTTAAATCTTCTGTGCAGGTAAATAGTTTCTTCCTCTCCAAGTGACAGAGCCTCTGCCACATGTCTGCTCGTCACAATCCCAAAACGCACTACACCATGAAAATCTGCACCACAGAGGAGGGAAATAAGACTTTTAAAATCCAACAAAACAGTATTTCCTGTTGTTATAGAATAATGTATGTTTATTAATTCTTGATCATTGACTTAATAAACTGAATGTAAATGTATCTCTCTCTCTCTCTCTCTCCCTCCCTCTCTCTCTCCCTCTCTCTCCCTCTCTCTCCCTCCCTCTCTCTCCCTCTCTCTCTCTCCCTCTCTCCCTCTCTCCTCTCCTCCCCCCGTGACCAGATGTTCGGGGCATTTTGCCTTGTGCATTATGCCACAGTTATAACTGTTTGACTTTTATGCACATTGTCTCCTGTAGTGTAACTTCACTAAAGGAAATGGGTTATTGATAAACATAATGATAAATCCATGACACCAATACTTCACCCCGACGATATCCTTTTAGAAGTTAAATAATCTACATCATACAGATTAGGAGGGAAAAACTACTGGCCTAAATCATTGTTACTTCTCACCTCTTCTTAGAGCCTGCAGGGCAGAAGACAGATACGTGATGTACCCTGGAGGCTGAGGAGAGGAATTAAACAGGAAGAAACCCACCACACGAGGCTGAAACGGGACACGGAAAGTTCAGTTTGGTTCAAACAAAACTCAAATAAAGATCTAACAATCAAAAAAGACATGTTAGCCATCTCTGAAACAGACACAAAATACCCAGATACCTCATGACATGAGAGGAACTCCTCCAGGTGCGTTCTGGATGGGAGGTAAGTCAGTGGTGTGATGACTTTAAGGATAAAACTTTCAATATATGGAGCCAGAAATGGACCTTTATACTCGATCGGCCCAAGCCTGCAGAAACGCAAACAAGTGATGCACATCAACAGATCGATTAGCAGATCAAACGTGTTTATCGGAAAAGTCTCAGGTCAAGTCTCTTTTTTGTCGAAGAATTCTGTCTGTAGCAGCACAGTAGTAACACGTCAACATAGTTATTTATGTTTAACATTTACATCAACAAATGGACAGAAAGAGACACAGTCATATAATCTGAACATCAATGTCACAAGTGTCATTTATTTTATTTAAGTGTAAGTGTTGTCACTTACAGCATATTTAAATACAGGAGCTAAATCTGCAAACGTACAGAAACAAAACCACAAGCTTGTCTTCAAAAGTCTGTAAACATGAAATCAGTTTTTGTTTGTTCTAAATAACATAAACGGTAGTTCTGTTTATAAGAGTGAAAAAAGTCTTCAGATCAAAAGCAGATGTTTTCTTACCTTCTATAAAACAGATGGATGACGGGGTACTGATACAGGCGGTTCTGCTTCCTGCATTTCCCCTGATTCCACCAGCAGTTAACAGCCACAAACTGCACCTGTGTGTGCGCACGTGTGTGTGTGTGTGTGTGTGTGTGTGTGTGTGTGTGTGTGTGTGTGTGTGTGTGTGTGTGTGTGTGTGTGTGTGTGCAGACAGAAGGAAACAGATAAACAGAAACACCATATGCAAAATGTGAAAACATCCTCAATAATAAGAAATCAGTCTTGGTCTCATTTGGTTAGTTTAAAATCCAGCTACAACTACGGTTTATATCTGCTGTAGAGCCAAAAAATAAATAAATAACTATTTAGGGCTGCACAATATATCGAAAAATTATCGTCATCGCGATAACAGGAAGTGCAATAGGCCCATCGCAAAGCACGTCAAAAACAGCGATAAATGTTTGGTTCAAACATTTCCATCCGTGTCATACATCAACTTTTTGTAAACCAGCTCTGTTTTTTACGCGGAAGTATTATTTGACCAATCAAATGTAGTCCTTCTGATATGCGGCCAATCAGATGGTTCCGTTCACATAATACGCACGCCCCCTACGTAGACCCTTAGGATGGAACGCAACACCCGAACAGAGTTAGCGGCACCGTTCCCTTGTTCATCATGCTGGCTCAGACTAACGAACGCACTTTGTGCTGATGTTTCTGGAATCAGTGCTGCTTTCAAACGTGAACGTGACTCCGCTCGGTGTCGTTAAGCAGCTGATGATAACTGGGCTGACTCCGACACGTGCCGGTGAACCAACCCACCGTTAGCCCCAGGCTCCGGTTAGCTTCCAGCTAAAAGGCTACAGCACTCTCCTCCCAGTCCCACCCTGCTAAAGAGGGCCTGGAAAAGTTCCCCCACACATCAAAGTGATTTTTCATTTATGAACTTTTATAACCTTGTTAATCAGGATAGTTGATTTGCTGTTGCACATAAACTGTCAGTCAGAAGCTCTGCTAGCCGGTTATCTTAAGAGGAGCTAGTTCAATTTGTTAGCTTGTTATCAGAATAGTTGCAGTTTCATCATCTGAGCTGCTTTTTAAGATCTAGGTAAACTTGTTCAATTTGGGTTTAAAAACAAACGTTTTCACATATTTTCCATGTAGTTTTTTTGCCAGTTCCTCTTCTGAAAGGTAGACAATTGTTTTTCTCTTTCCCTCAGAAAATCTTAATGTTCTCCTAGTTTGGCCAACACAGTTCACTTCCCAATTACAGCAACAGCCTTCTATCATAACCACATAAGTGGACAAAATGTTCAGTAGCAATGAGAGAATTTGCTGTTGCATTTAAGTGATGTTAACTATTATTTAACATTTAAACTTATTTACTGATTTTTTTATTTATTCAAAAACCCTGGTAAGGGATGTTTTTCTGTATTTGGAGCATCAGAAAAAGTTTTATGGTGGAGGTGATGTTTTAAAGTCACTGAGAAACTGCATGCATGCAGTTTGTTGTTTTGCTGCTAATACAGTAGCAGGTGCAGCTGCATATTTTTGCAATAAAAATGTTATGTTGTAATGGAATTCACGCATTACTTTTTGTTTGCTTTGAACCCAGAGCAGACGTCACATGCCAGACAACATCAACACTGCATACTTTAGTATTTGTTCATTTATCGTGAGTAATATCGATATCGCAATATTAAGCACTGTTATCGAATATCGCAGGTTTTCCTAATATCGTGCAGCCCTATAACTATTTAATGTTGCTTCTTTGTTGATTTTTGTTTTTCATTTAGGTTTTATTAAAATAGCCTTTATGGTCTTCAAACAATCCTCTGTACCTGTCTGGCCAGCGTCTTCGCCACCTGCTGCACTTCCTGTCGAGCAGCCATGGAGTGGGCACACCACGGGGCGTAGAGGAAGATCAGAGACACCTCGGCCATGCTCCTGAGACGCTCCACCTACAGAAGGAGCAAAAATATACATTAATATTTTGATCACTATGGTGGTGATGTATTTAACCAATTTGGATTAACTCTGCAACAGATTGCTGCGTTCGTGCTGCCTACCTGGTCTAGCTGACCCAAGTACAGGTCCACTACTGGGGCGTCGGCAGAGAAGAACCGCACAGGGGGCCGAGCTGCTGCCACCACATTCTTAGCACGACTACAGATGGAAAAATAAAACACAAGGAGGTGGTAAATAATTAAACATGGTTTTACAGAGAATCTTTTATAGGCTTTTATTTTGAAAAGTGCATAATTATAATCATGTGCGGACACAAAACTGGTTCACCCCTTGAGTTTTGCACCAAATAAAAACAAGCAATGGACTCTAAATGTGCCAGAAACGGAAAAATAATTCTAATCTGTATTTTTTAGAAGGTAACAAGGTGAGAACTAGATTATGATCCACTTATATTGTAGCAATTTGTTTCAGATTATGGCCTTACACTGAACCATAACAGCTAAATAGGGCCAGAACTCCCTCCTTCCACCACATCACCCCTGTTCTTCAGCAGCTCCACTGGCTCCCAGTCACTTCCAAAATTCAATTCAAAATTCTGCTATATACATTCAAAGCCATCCATAACCTTGCTCCACCGTACCTCTCAGACCTCCTTCATCCTCCACCCGTTCCCTCAGGTCCTCCTCCTCCATCCACCTCTCTGTCCTACCTTTCCATCTGGTCACTATGGGGAGCAGGGCCTTCAGTCGCTCTTCTCCCCAGCTCTGGAACTGACTCCCTCCGGACCTCTGTAACATTGATTCCCTCACTCTCTTTAAAACCAGACTCAAAACCCACCTGTTCCATCTAGCATTCCAATAGTTACTCTCTTTGCTCCAATCTGTCTGATTGTTTTATGCTGCTTTATCTTTTATTGTTGTGTATTTTATCTCTGTAAACTGTCCTTGAGTGTTCAGAAAGGCGCTGTTGAAATAAAATGTATAATTATTATTATTATTATATGAATGACTTTATCAGCCATGGTTTAATAGAATACCTTCTCCAGGTCAGGGATGACGTCCTGCCTCAAGTGGAGGAGTTTAAGATTCTAGGGGTTGTCTTCACCAACGAAGGAAAAATGGAACAAGAGATCAACAGGCGGATTGGTGCTGCATCTGCAGTGATGCAGGTGTTGTACCGCTCTGTCGTGGTGAAGAGAGAGCTGAGCCAGAAGGCAAAGATCTCGATTTACGTTCCTACTCTCACCTATGGTCACGAGCTTTGGGTAGTGAACAAAAGAACGAGATCACGGATACAAGCGGCCGAAAAGAGTTTTCTACGCAGAGTGTCTGGGCTCTCCCTTAGAGATAAGGTGAGAAACTCTTGTCATCCGGGAGGGGCTTGGAGTAGAACCGCTGCTTCTCCACATCGAGAGGAGCCAGTTGAGGTGGCATCTAATTAGGATGCGTCCTGTTGAGGTTTTCCTGAGCACAACCAACTGGGAGAAGACCTAAAGGAAGACCCAGGAGATGCTGGAGGGACATATATCTCATGGCTGGACAGGGAACGTCTTAGGATTCCCATGGAAGAGCTGGCCCAAGTGGCTAGGGAGAGGGAGGTCTGGGCTTCCCTGCTTAGGCTACTGCCCCCACAACCCGACCCTAGATAAGCGGCCGAAAATGGAAGGATGTTTTAATATTAAATTATATTTATTTTTCTTACAAATGGCTTTTACATTGGTAAAAATGGTGTTCCAAAAAAAAAAACTAGCAACAAATCTACAAAATTACATTTTGGGGGAAAGCAAGCTCTGAAACAGAAAAGTTGATAACTTAGGGCTCTAAATAAACATGATCAGGGCCGTTTTATTAGAGTTATACAATTACACAATTATACAGCAATTCAGCTTTCCAATTCAGAGGAGTTAGAGCGTTTTTGAATAGTTCCATTGAAACTGAAACACTGGGGAAAAAAAGACAACAAGTCAAAGTGTTTCAGGTTATTTGCCTTCATTTGCATCACATTTCTGTTTACTCACCTCTAGATCTCCCTAGCTGCGTTCAGAGGTAGGCTTGAAATACTTCTGGTTGTAATGAGAACTTCTGGTTGTAATGTGCTTTCATTGCACAGTGATTTTTCATTTTTATAATCAAGTTTTTTCTGACTGGACCAGTTCTGCTTCTGATGAGCCCTTTTAGTCTGATAAATCCCTCAAAAAAACCAAATAGTTCAGCTCAGCAACACCACCTGTCTGAGATGCATCATGTGGTAAAACAGCTGTTTAATAACAGTTTTTGTGCCAACTGGGAGGAAATCGGGTTCAGGATGACCGGTTTTAGGTCAGTTACAGAACCTAAACAAGCAAAGGTAAGAGTAATAAACACAACCACGGCCCTGTCTGTTGGGACGGATAAACTGGTTAGTTAATCCTCCTGTCCTTGAGGACACGTCAGTTTTAGACTAGCTACAGACAATAATGAAACACTTGACTATGATCATATTGGATTGCTTTATAAGCTAAAGCACATGTTTCTCTTAGTGAATATCTCATCACGTAAACACAACCCCCCACAGTGGGGGTGTGAGACGGGTCTTCGTTACCTGCACGTGAACTTAACCGCCAGCACGAGCAGGACGCTGAGCAAGACAGCCCCGCAGAGTAGATCCGGTCTCCGGGCCATCAGAAGCAGCACCTGCCGGAAAGACTGCCGCGCCCGGCGCAGCATTACAGCCTGCCGTCGGCGCTCCCGCTCATTTATAGGCTCCGGGTGCAACGGAAGACGTCCATTTGACTAACGGGGGAGGAGGAAGACTGGTTGGACCGGGACCAGAACCGACCTGGATTGGACATGAGCGCCGTTTGTGTGAAAGGTATTCAAACACAGGCAGACCAACCTTTCTTCCCCACGTAGACTTTTCACTTCCGCAACAGCGGCTTAAGGGGAAGTCTGTAAAGTGCATCACACTGTTAAAAACGTGCAATACATAAAACATTTTTTTTACTTCAAACTTCATTACAAGATAATTTACAACTACTTATAGCAAGAATAATATGCAAAAAAATAAAAGTACCTCAATTATATTGTAACGTACCAAAAGGGTCTATATTTATGTATAGATTTAAGCTATTTTTTTCTCTTTACGTCTTTTGCCATGTATGCTCCGTTGCAACAGTCCCTACAGACGTAAGACGTAAGTGACGTGATGGCGGTCTTTAAACACTAGGGGGCGTGCGCCTTACATTGTGGTTTAAATACTACACGATAAAGAGAAAGATGTCTTGAACGAATCATCTCTCTCGTAGTCAGTTATTTTTTAAAACAGCAAAAATATTTTTTTTTATTAAGAAATCACTTTTGTCTTTTGTTTCAGAGCTTCTCTAGCATGGCTTCCAAGTTTTGCAAAAGCCTTAGAGTGACATTTTCTTTATTTGAACCTTTTTTGGGGGGTGGGGGGTAACAGGTTAGTCTGGCAGAGAAAGTCCAGTTGTTGCTATTTTGGGGCTGATGAGAATATGGAATATTGTAAAGGTCCCAGTGTGCTGTTGTGCTGAATGAATTCAATCAGAGATACAGTGACATAAACGCAGTTTTCCATGTGAGACAAACCACACAATATGTAACCAAATGATAAAACTATAGAAAGAAAAACAATTTATTTAATTCCTTCTTTTTCTTATCATTAATGTGCCCAAGAAAACAAAAAACATGTTTTTTTTTCAGCTTCAGTGACATCGAGTGACATGTGGAGGCCAAAATGTAGTTCCAGCTCTTCGCCACTGGAGGGCGTTAATACCCCTCCTCACTCAAGTCAAATAAAACAGTTTGTTGTGCAGATAATAGTCTTGACTCCACACAACCATTGTGTTAAATTCCGTTACATTAATACAATTTTATTTGTGTTTTTAGCTAAATAATAACAAACAAGACTTTTAGAGCGAGTCCCCCATTCCCCTTTGCTCACACTGTTTCAAGTTCAAATTTTTTACCTTTTTCTTTTATGAAGACTGTAGTAATAAGCTTGTGCCAGTAAGGGTGGATAGACTCCTTATTCTCAAAAGCCAGATGCTAAAAGATTGAGTTGTCACATTTCCATCCAATTCACATAAATAATACATATAGATCCTTTATTAACAGGTGTGACCATCAATCAAATCATATGACATGACAGGATATTATCCATCCATTTTCCTCCGCTTATCCAGGGTAGGGTCGCCAGGGCAGCAGCCTAAGTAAAGAGACCCAGACTTCCCTCTCCCCAGCCACTTGGGCCACCTCCTCTAGATGAATCCCAAAAGCGTTCCCAGGCCAGCTGAGAAAGATAGTCCTTCTATCATGTCCTGGTTCTCCTTTAGGTCTCCTCCTGGTTAGATGAACACCAAAAACCTCACCAGGGAGGCATCCATATCAGATACCTGAGACACATCAACAGGATCATTATAAGTGGATCGCTGGATAAGTAATTAAACAAAAAGTTCATACAGACAAAAATCAAACAGTAAAAAAAAATTGCATTTCTATTCTGTCAATGATTATATTCGTGGTATTTTTTATTTTTATTTATTTGAGTATTTTATACATTTATTGTGAAATCTATCTGAATATTGTTTTTGAGGTTGAAAAATGTGTAACTTTTTTAGACAAAAATCTGATGGAGTTGGTTACAGTATGTATTGTTCTTTGAACTAAGAGATCATTGATTAATTAGAAACTACAAACTTAATACACAAGTTTTATATGCGCTTTCCACAACTCAAAAGACATATATTTATACTTTACATAGATTTATACTGATTAAATTTTCTAAGAAAAAAATCTAATATATTTATTTGATCATTTAAATCCTGACAGTACATGTAGTGTTTCCCCGAGGTCGCCAGAGAGCATACTGTATGTTATGTTGATGTTTGTAGCACCGCTACCTAGCTGCTGATAGCTCCCGCTTTAGCTTGTTGACACAATCCTGTTTTCAACAAATTGTTAAAATAAATGTAGGTTTTAGGAGTAGTTTGCAGAGTTGAAAAAGTTGCGGCTTTCCCATTTCCTTGACTATGTTAATGTTAATTTAAAAGCTGCAGTAATTTTTATGTGGTTTTATTTTGAAGGAATCTACAGGAAGTGCCACTGACTTGTATTCTGTTTAGCTTTATAAAGACTGTAATAATAGCATGTGGACACCAGAGGGCGCAAAACACTGATGCTCAACAACAAAACAGTTGGTGTTCATATCCATTTGACCTAAATAATACATCAATCAATCCTTCATTAATCCCAGAGGGAAATTAGAGTTTCAGTACACACAATTCAGAGATCAGACATACATGGGCAAGACTCATGACAAGAATTGGTGACTGTGGTCATTCGCAACCCTGAGTCGCGCTACCTTAACGGAGATAAGAGGGTTACATGAGGATTGGTTCAGGTGGAGGGGAAAAAAGGCTCTTCAGAGTTACCCTCCACCAGGAGGGCAGTTTTGCTCTGCAAAACAAAACACCTCAAACAGAAATGCAACAGACTTCAGACCTTACACAACATGACATGAGACTCCAATAGGAAGGCAGGGGGGGGGGGGGGGGGGGGGGGCTGGGATCCTGTTTCCCCCAGTGAGAGCAGCCATCTACGGCACTCATCTACTGTACAGTTACAGGTGGGAGGGAGATCTTGGGAGAAGCAAAGAGCACATTAACCTCTACAGTTGATGACCTCGCCAGGCTGAAGTCCACCAATCCGAAGGCGGGCGGGAGGGGGGGTCGGGTTTTCACAGCATCTGTCTGCATTCCTTCGTGGGGGTTTTAGTTGCTTGCAGCAGCTCAAGGCTACCAGGGTGTCAGATTCAGATAACAAGAATTTGTTTGGGTCATGCTGAGATAATTTTCCTCTCTGCCTTCAGTCTTTAAACTGATCATTTCCAGTCATTCAGTGAAGCCAATTTTGGGTTTTAAGAACCTGTCCATACCGTCCGGTGACTCTCTGAGATCGCAGCTAAAACATTGTCCAGCTGACGATTCACCTTAAGTAACGTCCCAGTCTGTGAAGTCTCTACACGGACGGTGCTTTCCGTGGGTGGGGGTCGCCCTCCAATCGCTCCCGTCTTCCCAAATTTCTAGAAAACCAGATATCCTCCCACTCCAATCAGGAGAAATCCAGTGATCATCAGGCCGAATAGCCACTCGTCTTCTATATCCTCAATGGACAGCTGGCAGAGGCATATGATCTTCCGCTCCTTCCTGGAATCCAACATATATCCCACCGGGTGTGTCCCGTGTGGACATGTGGGAGCCCCCTGCTCTGTTCTCATTGTTGAAAAAATCTTATCGATCGCATTGAATGACCAGTTTATCAAATCCATGGTTAGTAAAAATAGTTTTTCAAAAGAAATGCAGAGAAGCGCTCTGTGGGCAGACAGGACAAAGAGCCTTGGGAAAAAAGATAAGGGAGCGAAAGAGAGAAGCGTCTACTCTGCGAGTGCCTGAAGAAAAAGGCATATAAATCCCATATAGAGTACGTGGTCATTAATCAAATCATGGCAAGTAGTTATATTAAGTTTTAAGACAAAAAAATCTGTAAATTGCATTTCTATTTCAATAGTTTTTGTTGCATTTGGTTTTAATTTTCGTTCGTTTATATATTTCCCATTTAAAACATTTGCACCTTTTAAAAATAATACATCAATTCAATTCAAGTTTATTTATATAGCGCCAAATCACGACAAGAGTCGTCTCAAGGCACTTCACATAATAAACATTCCAATTCAGGTCAGTTTATTAAGCCAATCAGAAATAATGTTTCCTATATAAGGAACCCAGCAAATTGCATCAAGTCACTGACTAGTGTCAGTGACTATACAGCAATCCTCATACCAAGTAAGCATGCAGCGACAGTGGAGAGGAAAACTCCCTTTTAACAGGAAGAAACCTCCAGAGAATCCTGGCTCAGTATAAGCAGCCATCCTCCACGACTCACTGGGGATCAAGAAGACAGAGCAGACACACACACACACACACACACACACACACACACACACACACACACACACACACACACACACACACACACGTGTCTACAGTTATATTGTGATGTCTTAGTAAATATTCTAATTGGTGAAAGATAAACTTTATTGTATTTATCCTAGTGGATCTATAATTAAACGGGTAAACTAGTAGTAGCACATCAAAAGTCAAGGAAACCAAAAAGTTATTTTCAGGAAAGAGAATGTTTAATTGGTTAGCAGCAGTGTGCTAGTCGATGGTCCCCTCCATGAGGCCACCACAGCTCAGCAGAACGTCATTGTCGCATCTTCTGGGGAGAAAAACACTTACAGAGAAAATAAAGTTAACAGCTGAAATTGGACAAAATAGTACAGTTAAAGAGCAGACTGTAGAATAAAGTAGTAGAGTGTGAAAAGTGGTCAGTGTGTCCTCCAGCAGTCTAAGCCTGTAGCAGCATAACTACAGAGATAACTCTGGATAATCTATCCTATTTAGATGGAGGCATGTTGGAGGCAGGGCAATGTCTGTATAAATGCCTGTTTATCAGATATGGGTATTTAATGGTCTTTGAACTAATAAGAGAAAAAGAGCAGTTAGAGCAAATAAGCTTTATTTACTGCTGCATTTTAACTCATGTTTTAGATTTTTAGACTTCTTTGGTTCTCTTTCCTTTTTTTTCATGCTGCACGATAAACTGTCCTCAGATACAAGACACTGAGAAAATGAGAAAAAAAGCCTAAAGAACTGTGAAAGTCACAATTTGCCACAATGTTAGCTCAGATCTAGTAAAAAAAAAAAAAAAAAAAAAGGAAATGGATTTGCTGTTATAATTAACGCAAACTAACCCCAAATTTCTTTACCCCGATTCAGTTTCCTTTTGGCTCAACACATTAACATGCAGCACATATTATTTAGCCATAGAACTCAATTAAAAATCAACTGCAGTTATTTTTAATGTCCTATAACAGCATTTTCATCCATTTTGATTTTATTGTCCAATAATATAAGATCAAAAAAGAAACAGCTTTGTCATTAGAACACATAAAAGGACTTCACAGTTTTAAGTGCAACTTAAAAAACCCAAAGAGCTCTGATCTTCAATTAGCTTGGTCCAACAATGAAAACAATGCTGCAACAAAATGTTTTATGAGCAGTAAAAAATGTGCAACAGCTTTTGATTGCAGTGCAGAGAACTATAAAACAATTTATTCTTTTTAAAAAATCATAAAAAATTTAAACCATTTGTATCAGTATCTTAAACTTTAACATATGTACAGTCTTAAAGCAAGAGGAATTATCTTAAAGGGGAAAAAAGCTGGTAAAGTTTCCCTAAACAAGTCTCCAATATTTAGCACATAGCTATTACAGATCTGTAGCACTGAGATACCTGTTGCACTGAAGGTCCGGATCCATCAAAGTGAAACTAAATACTAAAGCAAATATTTTTGACGCAACTGCTCATTAGCTAGGTGCGCCATGGAGACATTTCTTAGTTTTTGTTTCATCTTTAGTAGCCGTAAAAAACTAAAGCCATGTCAGTGCTACAAAACCAGCTGAAGAGGCTAATCTGTAAGGTTTAGCTAGGACAGAACTGGACGTGGCATCATTTAGGCCCTGTAGTTGGTCAATATGCTTTAGAGATCAGTCAAAATCTGTAACATCACAGTGAGTCTCAGTGGCATCGTTCTCCACAGGACAGCTCTCGTTCCACATGGCAGCCACCCACGTAGAGAGGCAGGACAGGAAGACTGGACACCAAATGAGGCTAGGTTTATCAGAGTTTACTGCTGAAAACAGTCAGACTCCATGGTATTAGCTGCAAACTGTGCAGCATGATTTAGGCTCTGTGCCATCTGTTACAGTGCCCGCGTTTCAGGGTGCATTAATTGTTGCACCACCAAGTCGATGTTAATGATTGGACTGAAGTAGAGAGCCCAGTAGAAGAGGCAGTGGCACACAAACTGTGGAATGAAAGGCCACAGGAGGGCAAGGGCGAATCCCTGAGAGAGCACTTTCCACAAATGGTTCCACATTTTTTGAGGCAGAGTCCTGCAGAGAAACAGATTTATGTTACAGCACTGTGGTTTCTGAGCAATCCATTTTCATTAGCTAGTGCCTAGCTCCCATGTTTTCCTTACCTGATCCTGGCGGTTGTCCCGAGTCTCCACGCAGCACAAGCCTCCAGCAGAGACAGCAGCATGGCGTTCACAATGATGAAACGGGATGTCCAGTAGTGGACAGCCAGCCAGTCCCAAGAAAATTCTGCTATCAGCTCATACGGGAACAACGCATACTTCACAAGGAACTCCGCCCACTGCTGCCAGCTGGGTTCCAACTAACAAAAGTAGGAGAACAAGCTCTCAAAATCCTTATTTTAATCATTAATAACAATTGGTAAACCGTATTTCTGATTGCCACCATGACATCCCTGCAGGTGTCACCTGTGTGTGCAGATATCTGCTCTCCACAGGCGTGTCGATGTGTGCCATAGTTGGACAGCAGGTGTGCAGGAAGGGAAGAAACGTCTCAGAATAGTCGAACAAATACAAATAAAGGATTGTGAGACGAGGGGAGCTCTTCAGTCCGTACAGCAAGAACATAGACTTTCCTGCATTAGCCGTCTGAAAGACAGAAATTGTGTTTAATTGTGCCTCAAACTCTCATGACAAACATCCAAAAAGAAACTCTGGTTTTGTAACGTCAATTATGAAAAAGTTCACATTAAAAAAAAATCAATAGCATCTAATCTGAATGTATGTTATTGAAAATGCAACTGCCGTTCTAAATTGAGACAAAACATAAAAAATAAACCACACACACTCACTCACACACACAGCTCTTACTTTGTATTCCCAGAGGTTCTGTGGAGGTTTGACCCCCAGTGCTTTAATTCTTTCCAGCTCAGCCACAACAGCCCGTCTGTGGGCCGGATTCTCTATGTTAAACGGAGATTTCAACAGTTCTTCTTCCCCCAGCATCAGCAGTAACCTGGAAGAAGATACAGAAAATAAAACTACAGAGATAAAGAATAGGATGAGATCATTTTAGAATCAAGTCATTTATCTACCTTCCATTAACGTTCTCCTGCTGAAAGGGTTTTCTGTAGGGCTCAGTCCACAGGCCCAGATCCTCCAACCAACACAGCACCTCCTCTGGTGTCCAGTGAGCCACTGGTTTACTGATCAGCAGGTCGTGCTGCTCCAGTACCCCGCTGCCCCAGTGAAACACCAACACCACCACCTGGAAACAGACATTACAAACACTGGGTGTTACGCCTGCCAGGTTCCAGTTCCCTCTTCTGGGGCAGTTCCACCTTGTCCTCCGAGTCCCTCCTGTGCTGTACTACACTTCTTCACCATGGACGACAGCCGGATCCTCCCCTCCTTCCTATGGCAACCTCAAACCACCCTAGTTGTGGCCTATTTGCTGATGGCAGGAACCAGGATAAAAACCAGCTGCTGCTAGTGGTTCAAGGGACAACAGATCTGGTTTATGGGTTGTCCCCTTGAACATCTGGCTGTGTGCCTTCTGAAAAAGACAAACTAAGATTAATTTATAATAAAAATTTGGTTTTTTGTTCTCTGCGATGGACTGGCTCTCTGTCTTGGGTGTACCCCACCTGATTGCCCATTGACCCCCCGACCCCGACTCGAATGGATGGATGGATGGATGGTATTGGTTTTGAGAGGAGTTTTGTCCCCTTTTGGTAAAACAGCTGATGGCAGCTTGGATTTTGGGAGGAGGCAGATTTAAATTGAGAGTTTTGTTTGGAAACTGTTATGGGTTGCAGTTCCCTTTAGTAAAGAGCAGGTTTTAGTTTGTGTCCGTTAAATTACTTTTGCTTTCTTGTTAGTACATTTCACCAATGAAGAGTTTTTCCGTTATTCTCAACTACCGTTGCTGTTTAAGTTTCTATACTTTATCAGATAAGCAGTCCTCTTCCTGCTAAACCCTGCCCTGGTAATAAGACACATTTTGGTCATAACTTCCACCCCATGCCAACGACTTATGTCCCCCCCCCCCCACCCCCCCACCCCCCACACACACTCACCATCTTTAATGTAAAGGCAATTTTCTTATTTGCTGTCCGCTTCCCCCAAACTTATTATCAGTGGCGGCTGGTGAATTATTTTTTGGGTGGGGCGGAGTCATGCCATCTGTTAGATGCACTAACTACACATCACCACTAGGGGACGCCAAATTACCATTCTTGTGATCCACGTTTTCTACCTCAACAATGACACTAAATAAAAGGGCTGAAAAAAGCTAAATACACATAAAGAAAAACATGCAGTAGAAACAATGCAAGAAGATCCCGTTCACAGAAGCAGCTGTTTAAATTAAAGCCCAAACGCCCCTCTTTACAACAATATAAGTAACATTACTCTACCAGCAAAACTCAAGGAACTCTGCAGCAAAACAAAGCACATTTCATGAAATCAAGTCGTACCTTTGCTGATTTTTGGTCACAATAATCTGTGTTAGTAGTAAAAATAAATAAATAAATAAATAAATAACATTTGGTTTGTGTAATCCAATGCCCCAACCTCACACTGAGCAGGTCCTTTTGGTTCATTTTTTATCTGCTGGAGTGTTTGCAGGACTGATGCCACATTCCATCGTTTTCCTGTTCTTCATAATAACAAAACTCCACAAGGTCTACTCCGCTGCTCAACAACAACAAAGGACTGAACTGCGGAGAATTTCCAGTTCTGTCCTGACCTGAGCCGAGCCGAGCTGAGACTCTGCCCAGCCGACTTCTGCGCATGTCTTCACGACCGCTATACCTCTGCACCCAAAGGCTCTCCTATTCTTTGTATGGATGGGGGGTGGTCCAACACACATGTGCCAGCTAGCATAGCTCTATGGTAGAAATTGCTGCGCTCAAAAGGAAATAAGTTGATGTGAACACAGATGGAGACTGAAAAACTGGTCAAATAAAACTATTGGCTCAAAATAAAAAATAATTATATCATTTATTTACATGCTACCAGCAGCCAAACAAACACCAATGTAAATTTACTGCCACGTTTCAAAGCCAACAGTGACATTGCTCCCAAACACCACATGGACAAAATAAACACGTTCTCTTGACAGCATGAGGAGGAAACTGACCTTTTGAGCCACAACTGTGATAACCTGTTACAAGTGAACAGTAGCCGTTTTAAGCCACGCTGAATCAGGTCAAACATAGCACAAGAGACTCCTAACCAGTTTGTTGTGTGATGATATAGAAGCTATCTGTTGTACTTACAGCCACACAGGTGAGTGCAGTTAGGACTCCTGAGAAGAAGAAACTTGCCCCTTTGTGCTGGTTTGCTTTAGGTCTACCCAAGCTGTCGCCATACCTAAGAGGAACAAAGCAAGATGAAGATGAGATGTAAAATGTAAAATCCAGCTCCTTTGCTTTCCAAAACAAAGAAATGAAGCGTTTTGACACACCATCATTAGGCAGTCTACAAAACTTGGCCTTACATTTCACAAATGATGCAATGAAACAATTTTATTTTTATAATTCCCAAATGCACATCAACATTAGGACATTTAGAGCTTGGAGAAGATCTGAGGGTCTGGTGCTGACTGGATTTTTCACTCGTTCCTCTTGATTTTGGGCTAAAGGCTACATTAGCTGCTATTAGCTAAACACAAGAAAAATCTGACTGGACTACCATCCAACGGCATCAACTGTGTTCTCTGGGTTTAGCAAAACAAAAGATCTCCCTGCAGCAATGAGCATGTGTGCACAGAGCTGTCGGGGCATGAGGAAGATTAACTAACAGGGAGGTGGTGCATTTGTCTGCAGCATGCAGGAGGTAGAGCAGGTTAGTGAAACGTACCTCTGAAATGCCAACAAGCTCCGGGAGACTTTGGGGTTCTCTTGGATTTCTGCTCTCCTTCGCTCCACAACCTCTCTAAAGAGCTTTTCGGTCGCATCCCTAAAAGAAAAACAACTTTTTTTATATATAACTTGAGGTGAAAGTAAAACAAAACCACGTACAAATGAAGTGTTGATGCTCTTTTGTTTCTGGGGCATATCTGGACCTGTGACAGCTAAAAACCGTTAGTGTAAACTTTTGCAGGTTGTGCTTTGTGAACTTTCTGTGTGCAGCAGCTCCACAATAAATAAATAAATAAATACACACTTGCAGAATCCATTTGACCACAGAAACAGAAAATCTGTCTCGACTATAAACATATCAGAGTGCAGGCGACTTTGTCCCAGACTTGTGAACCCTTACTCATATAACCAGGCCAACGCTTACATGAAGAAAACATTTCCCTACGAGTGTGGTACTAAACTTATTATGATCTGTCCATAAGGGCCCAAATTCTGTTTTCCACACACTGACCTTTTGTCCCCACTGAATAACAGATTCAGGCAGACAACTGACCTCCTTCCAGGTTGATATTATTCACAGAGTCTTATTTGGAGTTTGCTGTGCCGACAGAGAAATCCAGAAGACTTGAGTAACAATGACGCAGACATTTAAACATCTGGCCTGATTGGGTGTTATCAGCTTTATGTTCCTATCAACCGTCACATGCTTCTTAACGCAGAGAGACTAACACTCTGCTTCTCGATAACCGGGCTTTTCCTGTATTATTAGGAAGCAGTATTTCTGGCAGTGTGATGGAAATGCTCAGCATGGGTTTGGTTTTACAGTCCAAGGTCAATCATGCACCCAGCTCTACAGGTAGGTCAGTTATAACCAAAATAGTGTTTATTATAAAGTCCAAATACAAAAATGTGATAATCTGATAATTCACAATACTTTTAAATTTGAGTGATAGTTTGCATTTATTGCCCTTATTTTTCCAAAATGAAGTGACTTCAGGCATCTAAATCTGTGCCGTCAATTAGAAATGTGTATTGGTGAAATTTTGGCAAAACGATACAATGCATCACGATATGCTGCAATACGTTCTGTCAGACATTACTGGTGATTTTTTAAAGACTGAATTTATGGTAGGAATATTCAATAAACAGTTCAAACTGATAATTAACATGTTAAACGTGAGGTATCTGAACCATAACAGAGGGATTTACATTTCAATGGCGGAAAAACAAAACCCATTGCACACTGTTGCCAACTAGTGGTTGGCATTTGAATTGCACCAAAAAAAAAAGAATACACAAATATTTGCATTCTTTTAAAAATCAGATGCATAGCTTTTGAATATCAACATAAAATGGCAGGAAAATATATCAAGATATATTGCCATATTGATATTTTCTTACATCCCTTCTGTCAATCACTGAAAATATCTATAAATGCTCCCCAAGTATGTTGAGAACTAGTCTAAGTAATAAGTATGTATTAGATGTCATTGGGACTGTGTTTGCTACAACACCACTGACTACGTTTACATGCAGCCAATATCAGGGTTATGATCGGGTTAAGGTCGGTATTCGGGTTTCTGAGTTGATCAGAATAACCCGTTTACAAGCATAAATAGAAAGAGTTACCCCTAACTTGCATAACCCGATTCAAATGCGGACGTTGGGGTAGCGACAGGACGTATGGACTACGTCCAGACGCAATATGCCTCATTTCCGGTTCTTCTTGTTCCGGTATCCATGAAAACAACAACATGTTTCCCAGTTCGGAAGAGATAGCGACCGCATTTGTTTGCGCTTTAGTGCTGGTATTGACCCACCAGCAGCTCTTACCGCGACTCGCCATGTTGCTCCCAACTTGTTGTTTACTTCTGGTGTTCTGGCGCATACAAGACGTCTCGCTACACAAAAGACCAAGATTCCTTGCGAACAGAGCATGAGCAGAACACACGCTTTGATGGGGATATCCCAATATGCGTTTACACGACCAAACGTCCAAACGTTCGGTGTCACGTTCTGCCCCTGCCTTCCTGATATTGTCCCTCTCCTGCCTGATTAGTCCCTATTGGTTTCACCTGCCCCTTGTTAGCCTGCCCATGTGTTCCTCATTTTCCCCAGTGTATTTATACCTCCCGTCTCGTTATGTCCTTTGTCAGATCATTGTTGTTTGTAGTCACTGTTGTGTTTGTTCCTGCCGTTCCCGTTCTGTAATTAAAATTCGTTTTTACTTTATCCGAGCCTGCATCTTTGCCTCCTGAGCTGCTCCACCACACTTGGTCTGTCATCTCCACACCCACAACCTGACATTCGGGTTTTAAAAGGGTTACTGGCTGCATGTAAATGCACTCATTCACTGCGTTTACATGCAGCCAGTAACCCTTTTAAAACCTGAACACAATAACCCGGTTCCGCACGGCCATGTAAACACCGCCAAAAACCCGGATATGCTCATAACCGGGTTTTTAAAAACCCGGTTACTACACCTGGGATATCCCCATCAAAGCGTGTGTTCTGCGCATGCTCTGTTCGCAAGGAATCTTGGTCTTTTGTGTAGCGAGACGTCTTGTATGCGCCAGAACACCAGAAGTAAACAACAAGTTGGGAGCAACATGGCGAGTCGCGGCACAGCACCACACTTTTGGAGTGACGAGGAAACTAAAGCGCAAACAAATGCGGTCGCTATCTCTTCCGAACTGGGAAACATGTTGTTTTCACGGATACCGGAACAAGAAGAACCAGAAATGAGGCATATTGCGTCTGGACGTAGTCCATACGTCCTGTCGCTACCCCAACGTCCGCATTTGAATCGGGTTATGCAAGTTAGGGGTAACTCTTTCTATTTATGCTTGTAAACGGGTTATTCTGATCAACTCAGAAACCCGAATACCGACCTTGACCCGATCATAACCCTGATATTGGCTGCATGTAAACATAGTCATTGAGGAAAAATGAGAAGCATACCTCAGCAGTATGTTGATTTTAGGAAAGCCTTCCCACTTCTCTCTGCACTCTGGGCATTCATGCTTATGCGAGGACTCCCACCACAGAGCCAAACAGTGGCGGCAGAAGTTATGGCCGCAGGTCAAAGTGGTGGGGCTGACCAAAATATCGTAGCAGCAGTGACACGAGAACTCTTGTTCTGAGATGTTGCTTGTTCTTGGCTTCGACTGACGAGACTCGGGTATGCTGTAGGAGCCAGTTGTCCACACTGGTGCAAAGTCATCAGCCTCTTCTGCAGGATCCCACTCCATCTGGTGCAACAGATTCAATCTAAAAATGGGAGGGGTTGCTCAAATGTAGTCAAAGGCTGACCTCATATTACCTCAGATCATTAAACAAGAACAAAACTACACATGACAGGTAACTGAACCTGGCTTACAGGTGTGAAAACATTTTAAAATCAGAAAATTGTAACTCAGTGGACACCAGTGGTGCCAGTGCTAGTAGCTACGTGAAATACCAAAGAAAAGCAATGGGTTGCCCATTGGGATTAATCTTTTATATCATGGTTAAATTTCACACATTTAAGTAGATTTTGGGGACAATTTAATAAAATAGCAACACGAATCTGGTGCTGCTCAATAAGACATGAATGAAATTGAAACTATCTCCAGGTAATTATATCACATCCTGGTCTGAAGAGTTAGCAACACGTCTTAATCAGCTAACTAGTGGTTAGCTACGAGCTACATTAGCCACATTTTGGTTGTTTCCTATAAAGCAGCAGGAGCAAATTACTGATGTTGCCTATGCTAATACGTGTCATCGTTAGCTGAAACTCAGGCAGTTAGTCCCACTCAGAACGGCGAGTTGGTTAAGTTAGCTACCCGAGCAGTTAACTGAGTTAGTTCAGCTCACAGCAGACTAGCCGTGTTTGCTCCTTACCTCAGGAAATACGCCTAGATGGGTGATGACCACATGAGTGCAGCTAACTGGAGCGCAAGAGCTCAGTTAGACTCCAGGCAGGACGGAGACATTGCTGCTTGGATAGCTGTCGCCATAGCTTCCTGCTGCTCCCCTCGTCGCATTTATCCCCACGCCCACTTCGGTGTGTGATGTGCGGCTACCTGGAGAAGGAGCAGAAGGGCAGCTGAACCGTCTCGTGTGGCTTTAAAAAGCTGCCTCAGATCAAAGTTCAGGTGTTATCCGGCCAGTAAAGCCTGTGGCCCGAGGGAACTTCGTCACTGCGATAATAACGAAAGTGTAACCTATTAACTTACAGGTGGGCCTGCAGAGATGCTTAGCGGCTGCTTTTCTGCCTGCATGTGTATTTCACATGGGAACAGGTCGGTTTTTAAAATAGTCATTTTAAAACTGCATTTTGTATTTGCCCTAGTATCCTCAGGTCCTTCTCAAAACATTAGCTTATTGTGATAAAGTTCCTTATTGTCTGTAATGTACTGATAAACATTAGACTTGCATGTATATTCGATTAATTACACACAACTGAAGCAGTTCAAGCCTTTTATTGTTTCTAATATTGATGATTTTGGCATACTGCTCATGAAAACCCAAAAGTCCTTTGACTAAGATGAGTGTTATTAATACAAATCTAAAATGTTACTGAAATGTAGGACCAATATTTAAAACTATTTTAACTATAAATATCAGACGGGAAAAGGGAACTAAACACCAATCTAATGCATATTATTGAGCCTTTTATAATAAGAGTCTGTTATTTCAGCCTGATAATGTTGTTGTTTTATTTCATATATTTTTTAGCAGCAAACCGGTTTTGTTTCATTTGAAACGTTGTCAAATGGAATATTAAATTAATCAACAGAAGCTTAGATTAGGACACTTATGAAAACATATTTGGCCTTTAAAAAAGTGAGGCAGTTGAATGAACAGAGTATGCATGTGCTGGCGCATGGTCAGGATGGTACCACCTCTGCCTCAATTTGAGCCAGGAAAACCCCTGTTTAATGGAACAATTCTGATCAAAAGTTTCAGATAAAAAAATAAACTGCATCTACTGTTCTTCTAAATGATGCTTTTTTTTTCTTTGTCAGTTTCCTGCAGTAATGGGATATTATACTATGGCATTATTGTCTCTCCCAGTCAGGCAGATTTACCAAAACTGCATCACACTTTTGAAGAAAGTGGAAGATGGTTTTGCAAGATGAAAATTTCCACCCATATCACATGGGGACGGCTGCTTCAATTAAAATTATGGATTTACCAAGAATCGGTAACTTATTCTCAATTATCCTAAGCAATCCACAATCTGACTGGTTTGTATTTCAGCCCTAACCCTACAAAAATTGCTTTGGAAGGATAAACCTCCATGTGTTAGATTTCAAACACTACAACACTGCAACTTCCCCTGGTTGCTGGGAACCTTAGATGATGTCTCAATTAAGTTTGTTCACATGGTTCTTCTGACTGCCCTGTTTTACCAAGAAATCTATAATCATTACCTGGAAAAATTAAAATATTGTATGAGACAGTATAGACATTTTTTGTTAGACCATATCACAGTTGAGACAGCCTCTGCCTCCACATCAACTACATTTTTGGGGGCTGCTTGGTTGGTTCCACCACATAGCAGGAATAGAGGGGAGATTGACTTTGTCCTGCAGGGCATCATGGCTGGTGTAAGGAGGTGTTCACTGGGGGGGTCAGGCTGCATCCCCAGCCCGGGTGGCGCTTTGGTGGCCTTGGAGAATGTCTTTCTGGTGGGTCCTCAGGGGATTTATGCCGGTGGGCATGGGTCGCTGCCTGATAGCAGTTGGGATTTAAAATAAAGCAAAAGCAATCCTAATAAAGTTTGTATATCATGCTTCACCTGTGAGTTCATTTGTAAGGTTTGTTTTTGGCACTCAGACAACAATTCTGATTGCTCTAAAGTTAGGCAGGACACAAGAAAAGAGAAGAAAAGAAAAATCAAATAGCTCATTTAACAAAATGTTTTTGAAAATTCAACAGAACTGTAAGGACTGAAACCTGAAAATGTTTGCTCTGAATTGTCTTTTCTATCATTTTTTTCAGATCAGGTAAAAGTCCCATTCATTTCCATGGAGGGGCGAGGCTCAATAGGTATACTGCAGCTAACCAGTTCAGTTCAGTTCAAACATATACATTCACCAACATTTCATAAAATCCTTCCAAGCAGTTGTTTGAAAAGGAGTAGGCAGAAGTATATACTTATTTAGCCCCACCCCCTCAGGTTTACATCCGCATCATCTCAATTTGAACAACAGAACATTTACAATGCCTTCAAACAAAAAGAAAAATAATTCTCATGTTCAACTAGAACTATATTTAGATTTGCTAATTTGTAGAAGAGATCAAACATAAGTTTGCATGCCGTCCTGGGTTACTTGCATTTTCTTCGTTCTTTTACTTATTTAACATTTCTTGTTTGAGTTTTATTTTGAACTGGTTTATATCACTACTGACCTTTATTTCTTCTGTTAACTCATTCCAGAATTTAACGCCCGCTATAGAGATAGACATCGTTTTCAATGTTGTTCTTACTTGTTGTACTTTTATATTCCACTAGGAACTTGTTTCATTTCAGCTTCAGTTTTTAGTTAGGTGTGTTGCTGATCTGGGTAGACAAATGTTTGAGAAATTAACTAATATGTGGTTAAGAAAAAAAAAACGTACTTGAAGTCTTAAGTTCTTAATCAAAGCCTGCAGGTAAACTCATCTGAAGCTCTGGTGGTCTGGACAGGACCACGCGACAGCACCGATACGTCACCTGACAAGGACCGATAGGAATAAAAAAAGTTACTTAAAAGAAGTATTACGAGAAAAGATGCATCCAACAAAGTAAACAGAATATATATTTTTATAGAGTTCCCATGTTATTTCTTTATTCTATTAAATTCAGCTACTTTCGCATTTTTCCAGTTGTACGAACCAATTTATTAAATAAATATCTTTTACTGAATTTTTCTGTTTTTGTCATACATTCATTTATTTGGAAAAGCACTCATCTGTCTACATGGGCTGATTGGGTTTCAGATTATGTACATAAAGTAAAATATGGGGCACATAACTAGAGATGATTAATGTGGTGATGATGATTGTATACAGCACCGATGCTGCAAAATATATGCTCAAGAAAATATGCTGGTGAGAAAGTTCCATATGGGTACAGATGATGTTGAGACTGAACGTTTTAGATCAGGGGTCACCAACTTCTGTGAAGCTGAGAGCTACTTCACAACCTTTGAGCCATACGAAGGGTTACCAGGTTTATACACTAAGTTTTGTCATGTGTACAAAAAGGACCTTTGAACTTCAATAGGTTTGATTTTAAACAAACGTCTTGTATTCTAAACATATTTTAAGGCTTTTTTAACAAAATCATTTCCAGATCTATGTGTGATAAAATAAAATCTTTTTTCTCTTTGGGCTTGTTCTTTCAGATGTCACCATAGCCAATCATTTGACTCCATTTAGTGCTATCTTCTAGATCTACCACCGTCACACACCCAACTTCATGCCCCCTTTCACCACATCCATAAATGTCAGTTTTGATCTTCCTCTCAGCCTCCTGCCTGATGACTCCAACCTCAACATCCTTCTACAATTGCCATCACTGTCTGTCCTCTGGACATGTCCAAACCAGCTCAGTCTGGTCATTCTGATTGTTATCACATATCACATCCCACTGCACACACTTCTTTTACACACTCTCTGTAGCTTTGGACCATAGAGCCTTAGTACTTAAAGGACTTTACCTTATTTACTTCTAATCTCCCTTTAACATCACTCATCACCCACCTCTCTAGCTTCTTCTCTACCTGCACCCTGCTCTCACTGCAGATCATGATGTCACCTGCAAACACATGGAGACTCTTGTATAACATAATTTATCAGCCTCTCCATCACCAAAGCAAGCATAAATAGGCTTAGAGCAGAACTTTGATCCATTCCCACTTCCACCTTGAACTCTTCTGTCACTCCTACTGTCACGTTTCAGGGATGTTTAGGACCCAAATATGCAGATACCCAGGATGACACGAGGCTGGATATGATATAAGAAAAAATCCTTTATTGGAGGAGCCAAAAAATAAAATAAATCCAAAGGCAGACCAAAAGTTAGAGACCAAAAACACAGGAGGCTAGAGAGGGCTGGGATCAAAAACACTGGAGACTGGACAAGACTGACAAAATACAAACAATGGACCAACAAGACACTTCTTCTGTTGGAGTTTTATTGGCGGTTGGCAAACAACTACTGTGGAGTGTGGTCTGGAACAGCAGCCTCAAAACAAAACCAAACAGGGAGAAAAAAACAACAACAAAAAAAACTTAAAGTCTCCCAAACACCCTTGTCTCTCTCAAAAACCGAAATAAAATCTGAAAACAGTCACTCCTTGAATTTTGTCTCAATAAATCAACAAGATTCTGTTTCACCTTCATCTGACCAAGAGTGTGAACCATTGTCCTCCTTTCCGCCTGATATTTCTGACAGTGTAATATAACATGAACTATTGTTTCGTCTTCTCCACAATAATCACATTTCCCTGTATTATGTTTCCGTATCATGAATCCGACAAGACACTGAGACAAGACAGGGCTTAAATACACAGGAAGGATGAGAGGGAGATGAGCTGCAGGTGTGTGGGGTGTGGGAGGAGGACCAGGTGAAGGCAATGATTAATCAGGGGAGAAACTAACTTGACCTAAGAATAAAACCTAATGCAAAAGAGCAGGAAATATAACTACAATTCAAAGGGAGGGGGGAGAAAAATAATAAACACTGATGGGAAAAAAACATACTAATCATGAAAGGCTGTAACTAAAGGAAATGACTTGAGAAACCTAGAGGGATGGAGATCTAGGGGCAAATGGGGAAAACCAGAAGGCACATGAGGAAGATGCAGACATGACACATGAGGGTGCTAGGACACAAAAGGAGCACCTAGAGAGGATGGAGAAACACCAGGAGGCACATGAAGGAAGGGGCAGATGCAGACCATGACACCTACAGCACACCTCACTGCTGTCTCACAGCTCTCATTCATGCCCTGCACCACTAACAGACTTCTCTTCCACTGCAGACCTCCTCATATGCCACAGCTTCTCTCTCAGCACTTCATACACTTTCTAAATCCACACAGATACAAAGCACATCCTTGTGATCTTCTCTGTACCTCTCCATCAGCATACTTGAAGGAAAAGTAGCATGTAAGTACACTTTCTTTGCATCAAACCTCTCTGATTCTGACCTAACCCTAGCTTCCACCATTCTTTCACAGAGCTTCTGTATTTCTCACAGTTCTGTAAGCCATCTCTGCTGCTATCTTTTAATCACACAAAGTGCAATTTGAAAAAATAGCAGCAGAAAATGATATTTTAGACTTTACTGATTGGTGAATTAGGCTATTTTTGGAACAGGCCTGAGGGCACCTTATGGGTTCCTGGGGTCACCAGGTTGGTAACTCCTGTTTTAGAGCTCATTGTACACCTCCAGCCTATAAATCTAGACAGACTGTAGCAGAAGCAAAAAGATCTATATATTCACATATATTGGATGGTTTTCCAGGCTAACACTCCTCTACTTTTTTTTGGAATTGTTTTGAAACTGCCCATCTATTCAAGCACAAGTCATTTGTTTGCAATGCACTGTGTCTCTAGATGTCAGACTGTGAGGACAGGAGACATTTTATTTGAATGTTTTTATATTTTTATGTATTTTATGCTAGTTATTTTTCTGTATCTTTTATGCATTTGAATCTTATACTGGAACAGTGTGTAAAGTCAGTCATAAGTGCCCACAGTTTACAGTGCATGTCAGTGCAAAAACCAGGCACGAGGTCATAGGACTTCTCTCAAGGCACAAATATGGAGAAGGTTCCAGATCATTTTCTGTTGCTTTGATGGTCTCAGTGAGCACAGTGGCCTCCAATGTAAAAGGTTGGAAACCAGCAGGGGCCTCATTTATAAATCTGGAGTTTGGCCAAAAGGCATCTGAAGGACTCTCAAGACCAAGAGAACAGAATTCTCCGGTCTGATGAGACAAAGATTGAACTCTTAGGTGTGAATGCCAGGCATGATTTTGTGTGAAACCAGCTCATCAACAGGTAAATACCATACCAGTGAAGCATGATGGTGGCAAAATCCTGCTGAGGGAAGATTTATAGCTGCTAGAACTGGTCGACTGGCCAGGAGAGAGGGAAATATTGTTCCAGCTAAGTACAGAGACATCTTGAAAAAAAAACCTGCTCCAGAATACTTTTGACCTCCAACTGGGGCAACAGTTCATCTTTCAGAAGGACAATGACAGCACACAGCCAAGATACAAAGGAATGTTCTCAGGACAACTCGAATGTCCTCGAGTGTCCCAGCAGGAGCCCAGACTCGAACCTAATGGAAGATCTCTGAAGAGATCTTAAAATGGCTGTACCAATGCTGGCACAGCCAGTTCAAACTTGAGAGGTTCTGCAAAGAAGAACAGGCCAAACTGCCTGTGATGTCATATTTTTGTAGCAGTGATGGTTGTACAACGTACAATACTACACACCCTGAATGTCCATCATTAACAGTTGTTTATCTACCTGCCCATGTGGAAATCCACTACCAGCACTCTGTGTCCTGTAGGCAGGGGTTTAGGTCAGGAGTTCTCAATACCGGTCCTGGAGGGCTGACATCCAGCATGTTTTAGTTGTTTCCCTGCCTCAACACACCTAATTTTAATCAACAGGAGATGAAAGATTATGCTGATGAGCTGCTGAAAAGACCACTGAATCAAGTGTGTTGGAGCAGAGGAACAACAAAAACATGCTGGATACCAGGGAGAGGATTGAAAACCACTGGTTTATGTTAATAACCAAAAATTGTCTTTATACAAATGACATTGCAGTAAACTATTATACGTTGTATGTGAGTAAAACCAGTCAAGCATAAACATTTTTTAAAAAGGAGAAAAAAATATTATTAAAGATAAATGAACATCTGACATATCTTTTTCTAACTGTTCTACTTTGGTATTAGTTTAAATTTGTTTTTTATTTTGAAAACAGCAACAACAATAACCACAGATTTTAAAGTGACTACATATAATTAGTTGATTTCTACTCAACCATGTATATTGAATTGCATGTAATGTCAATCAAAATAGCTAAACTAATACTGTTCATAACTGGTTTCCGCACTACTGGCAGTAGAGCCTTGTACATACATTATGTACAGACGGCCCGTGGACTGGCGCTTCCGTAGTAGGCGGCTGCCATTTTATGGGCCATTCCCATCTGTACCGGGTCGGCCCGGGCCGGATAGCGTAGGTTGTTTACATATATGGGTGGCCTGGTATTTTTCCGGGCCAACCAAGGCTCATTCTCAGCCCTCTTCTCGAGGGGGTCTGCTTCAGGCCGACCAGGGCCAACACACCCACTGCTGACAGCAAATCCACACCTTCCATTAGAGCAAGCCTCTGATTGGTGGGTAGAATCAGCCCACATGGGCTTAAGACAAGGATGTGTGAAATCAACCGGGCCAGGCTGGGGCCGACTGGGAATACCCGGCCCGGGCCGGGGCTGACTGGGGCTACCCGGCCCGGGCCGACCCGGTACAGATGGGAATGGCCCTAAAGATGGGTCTCCATTCGCCCCCAGTGCATTAATTTCTACTCAGGAAGGTGCTTTACCAAACTAAAAACACATCATATAAATCTTTTTCACAAAATCATACACAAGGTGTGGCATAGGGCTGGGCGATATGGCCTAAGATCAATATCACGATACATACAGGATTTTACCTCGATAACGATAAATGGACGATATCTACAGGTATGCGCAGAGACGAAAGAAGTCCACTAGATGGGGTTGTCACATGTATTACATTGGCTGCGTTGGTGATGGTGATCAGTGTGCAGTGCCTGCCGGTTAGATTTGTGTTCAACTTGACGCCGACTGCTCTGACGCCATGCATATGTAGGCATGAAATCAAGGCGGCCGCAGATTTTGGAGCAAGGCGCTGCAGTTGCTCTCCACCGGCTGCAAAACCTAGGGCATGACGGGAAACGCCTGGCTCTCACCTAATGTGACTTAATGTGAGTTAGATAGTAACTTAGTCGCTTGGAGGCTGGTGTCCAGCTAATGGCAAGTGGGGATATCATCATATGCGGCTGTTGGACCTGATGAGGTCCATACAAGTTTGACGTGTCTTTCAATTTCATTGATTGTTATTCAAACTAACCGAAAATAACAGCTTTGTATTATATTCTTTTTTTTTTTCTACTTTGTTGATTTGGCTTCCAGGGTGTTCAGCTGCCCTCTGCTGTTTCTTTCAGTCATGTCAAAGTGCAAACACAAAACACAAAGTGTGTCCCTGAACAGCTACCATATTTCAAGACCGCACATGACCATGGAGCATAGATGTTGGTGAAAAAATTGAAGAAGGACAAGTCTGTGAACGGGATACACAGAATGTATAGTACACTATTATGTGCCTTACACTTCCAGCAGTCACAGACTAGTGTGAGATGACACGCCTACCGCCAGGAGGCAGTAATGCGGCTGCAAAGAAGAAAAGTACCCAGCAACCTCGACGAAGAGGAATGGGAGGAGGAAAAGTTGGAGGCCTCATTTGGTTCCACACAGCTGGCTACATCTGGAATAACGCTTTAACTAGGCTTTAAATAGCACTCGGCCTGGTTTTCTCATGACATCCTTCAAAACTGACTCCCACCTCGCATTATGTCTGAGGTAACGTGAACAAAGATGCTTTCTGACCACCGTTGGGTAAATGTAACCAGTTAACTAGCTTAGTTAACCTGTCTGGTAACATATCCCTGGTAGCAGAGCGTTATTAGCTCCTATCCATCACAGGAGGCTAGCTAGTTAGCCTGTGAATGTAAATAGAACAAGCAGCTTTGCAGTAAGTTACTTTGTTCTTTTACAGGATACGCAGAGTATGATTTTTGTCGGTTTTTATAAACAGACGAGAAATAAGCAGTTTCATGAATAATGCTATGTTTATTTAAACGTCCAGTAACATCAGTCTTTAGAGGCTAACGCCATTCACCAGCACAGGCGTTCTTACGAAGCTGAAGTTGGTTCCCATTTGTGGTTCCCGTTTTGGAAAGGGCAATTCCAGACAAATTTATTAGCATCCTTAATCTACTCCCATTACGACTCTAGCTTCACAGTCTGCTTCTAGTCTAGCTTTGAAGTGTCCAGGTGTATAGTTTTTGCACAGGACCAGTTCCAATATGGTCTAGATGCCAAATAAATACAGAAATCTGCCTTTTTTTCAGATCAAGGTTTCACACATCACAAACTACAGAACCTGGACACTTCAAACCTGGACTAGATTATTCTACATCAACAGCAGATTCTTTAAAACATAGTTTGTGAAATCACAAATTGTGATTGAGTGTCTATAAAAACCGTGAGTGGAAAATAATAAACATCAGCATCACATTTTTTCAGTAATGTTTATTCAGTTATTTTGTTTTCCAATCTTGAACCCAGATGAGAGCTTCAACCCAGAGAGAAAGGAAGAAAAATCTTCTGGAGGCCTACCTTCCTTTGAGGCATCTGCTAAGAAGACTTCTGCTTCTTATGGAGTAAAGATACGGCAAGGAATATATTCAGATGAAAAATGCTCTGAGTATGAACAAAAGAGTCTGCGAGCAGAACTCCAGGACAGCAGAAACGTTCTTGTTTTAGTAGCAAAACATCAAAAAATAACAAGCATCCCTAAAACACAGCAGCAAGAACGTCCCACTGTCCGGTACGTGCCAGAAGTAAATAGTCTTTGAGTAGAATCTGCACTAAAACCCTACTTAAGCTCAGCAAATAAATAAAAATCTGACCTATGAAACACTGCTTAGGCACAACCACATCACACTTGTCTTAGAAATGTGCTCAGGTGTTGAATTTATTGGTAGAATGTATCTCACCTCCTACAAACCCACTTTCTGCCATAAATGGTCAATCCAAAGCACTTTATGAGCACGGCTGTAACCCACCGCTGCATGGAGCATGGATATAACACAGCGGTCTTAAAAGCCTCTGTCAGCTGAATAAAAATAGCCTTCCATTTGTAAGTGGTCTTTTATTTAATCTAATTTATTGGCCATTATGAATTACTATAAGTGTGAAGTGTGGCTATTGGCTAATGCGTGTGTGTGTGTTTGTTTACAGAAGCCGGAGGCTTTTTCAACGCTGAATTATATCTGTACATGCACCACAACGATGGGTTACATCTGTGCTTTGTCATAATGTAGTCCCAAGTCTAATCGGCTCCTGCAAATCCTCCGTGTTGTTTCTTACATTTCATTTGCAGTCGACATGATTATTGAGCTCACCAGAAATGATTGGCATCATTCATTTTAATCACTTTTGCACACTAATTGCTAGTGCATGCTATTCACATCCATTGTTTATGCTAAGCTAAGGCAGACGGACTGGACAATTACTGCATTGGTTACAAAATGCTTTTATTTCACTAATCTAACTGCAGGGAAATTTTCACTTAGGGGTGGAATATCTCTTTAAGGCAGAAAATGACATTTTTCATTGTCTCAAATATCAGCGTGTCTATCGGCAAATTCCTGCAAACACACCTGACATTTGCACAAGTACCCGGTTCGCTGACGTGCAGAGTTTTAGTGTTTAGCTTGATTAAACAAGGAATTCATTATCACGCCTCAGACAAATAATGCACCAATAAGTAATTTGAAGTTGTACATTTAAACTGAGTGTGATATTTGGAAAAACAATATATTTTCAGAGACTCTCTTGGTCAGCTTGCTTCCCACACCAAACCTTCCGTCAGGAATCTTGGCGTGACCTTTGACCCAGCTCTCACCCTGGATTCTCATGTCAGTTCTCTTGTTCGCTCTTCCTTCTTCCATCTCAGGAACATTGCTAAGCTGAGTCTCATTCTTTCCCGCTCTGAACTTGAGACAGTTCTCCACACCTTCATCTCCTCACGCTTAGACTACTGTAACTCTCTTTTCACGTGTCTGAGCAGAACCTCCCTGAACCGTCTACAGGTGGTTCAGAACGCCTGTGCTCGGCTTCTGACCAAATCCTCCAAACACACCCACATCACCCTGCTTCTCCCCCAGCTTCACTGGCTGCCAGTCAACTTCAGGGTTCATTTCAACAAGATCCTGGTTCTGGTCTATAGGGCCTTACATGGACAAGCACCCTCTTACATTGGTGATCTTCTTAGTCCCTACACCCCCAGCAGGTCCCTGAGGTCCAGTGATCAAAGACTACTGGTTGTGCAGCACCAGGCTAAAGACCAAAGGTGACAGATCATTTGCTGCTGTGACCCCCAGACTCTGGAACTCTCTCCCCCTGAGCCTGAGATCAGTGGACTCAGTGGTCTCCTTTAAAAAGCAGCTGAAGACTCACTTGTTCAAGCTGGCTTTTGTATGACCTTCTTCACCACTCTCTCTTTATTCTGCTCTCCCCACCTATTCCACCTTCCTCAGGTTCCACTGATTTTCCTCTTTCCTATTCACTCTCTGTCTTTCTTAACATTTTTTAATCACAATTGTCTATTTTTGCTCATTTTAGATATATTTTTAATCATTTTCTAAATTATTTTTTATATTTTACATTTTTTGTTTTTGTGAAGCGCCTCGTGATTTTTATCTTGAGAGGCGCTATAGAAATGATATTTTCTTCTTCATCATGAAAGTCATCATTTTTATTGTCAGTTCAGAAATGTGGTGCAGTGGTTTGTGTGTGTGTGTGGGTGTGGGTGTGGGTGTGTGTGGCATTAAAACAGCTGTTCCTGGAGCATTCTCCTGCTTGGTAGTGCAACTGACAGGAAACAACTGACTGGGTGGCAAGCCAGTTTCAAAAGATCTCAGGTACTAAGATGTGGACAGACATGAGAGAGGAGATGAAGAAGTGTCTAGAGTTTAGTTCTACTAGGACCCTTCCTGGAGCCAGTTATCCCTTCAAACTGGGAAAGGAGGAAACTGGTGAGAGGGGCTACCAAGAGGCCGATGGCCACTTCTACAGGACTTTATGGCAAAGAGTGGTCATTCTGTGAATGTGACAACAATTTCATACGCGCTCCACACATGTGGCTTGTTCAGTGGGGTTGCAATTAAACAAAGCTACTTGTGAAGAGCGGCCGCATCAAAGCTCATTTGAGCTTTGCCGGAGTGCAGCTTGGAGATTCTGGAAAGCGGTCAGGTCAGATGAGATAAAAAAAATTAGCTATTTGGCCTCAACACCAAAAGGTACACTTGGTGTAAGTCCAATGCAGCTCACCGTCCACAATACACCACACCTACAGTAAAGCATCATGGTGGCAGCTGCCTGTTGTGGGGATGTTTTTCTGTCACATGCATGGGCTCTTGTTAGTGTAGAAGGAAAATGGATGGTTCAAAAACGTATCAAATTCTCGGAGGAAACCTGCTACCCTCTGCCAGAAAGTTGAAGATGAGCAGAAGATTCACTTTTCAACATGACAATGATCAGAAGCAAACAGCAACACTGACCACACGGTGGCTGAAGGAGGACAAAGTGAACGTCCTCATGTGGCCCAGTCAGAGCCCAGGCCTAAATTTCAGTTATAATCTGTGGAGGGCCTCAAGATTGTTGTCCACCAACGATTTATTAAAGCAAAAGGTGGTTCAAAATATTAACCTTTTATGAATCTCAGTATTTCTTGTTTTTTATTTTTGAATATTGTTCTGAACTGTAATTGTGATATTTTCTGTCGGATGTTATGGGTTGCATTGGATCAGTAAAGTTAGTAAAAGGTATTTTTGTTTGTTTCTGTTTAAAGATATGAAGGAAAAAGATTGAAGTCTTTTAAAGTGGGGTTTTTAATATTCTATACCCATTGAATCAAAATTCTGAACACTGTCGCCGATTGGTCTTGTGATATGTGCTTAGGACGCTCCTGGACACCTGATGTCCCACAGACCAAAGATGGCGTCCGAGAACATAAAGGACAGAACGCTCCAGCTGACCGTCAGGCTACAGGCTGGAGGAGAAGAGGAGGAGGAGCGGGATGAAGATATCGGAGGTTTAATCAACTCTGATGGAGAAGTGGTTGATTGGGATGGAAGTAAGCAATTGAAAACAACTAATTTACTTACTCAAAATGTTTTGTTTGTTTTGTGGAGAACAGTGTTCTGCTGGCCACCTCAAAAGCAGCCAGTGCTCTTATTTCTCCTGTAAAGACTCAGGATAACTTTATTTTGCAGACCGACACAAAATCACAAACAGTGCACTGAACTTGGATCTCCTGGTCTCTGTTAGGCTAATCCAAATTCCTCTGGTGAGAAGCTGACATTTATTAGTCACAAGCAAGCACACACATCTAAGGATTCTTCCCAAACTCTCTGGTATTCATCTTTTTAATTGTCAAATTCTCACACTGAAACCCGTGAGGGAGATCACACGGTAGTCTTATCTGCAGGGGAGTGAATATCACTCTCTGTCCTGGTGGAAAGGTTTTGTGTTATCTCTCCAGCTACAAGGCTGGGAAAACGGCGTTGAATAAAACCAACCAACCAAACTATTGCATCTATGGAGAATGAATTAGGCTTGTGGAAAACGTTAAGTGCAACATTACGCATAAAAACGGCGAGGAAAGCGTCGTGGGGTTCTATAGAGCAACCTTGATTGGCCATCATTTCCCAAATAGAACTGTTCACATTTAGAAATTAAATGAACTAGAAGGTCGTAACTTATAATGTGTCATTTTTGTTAATGTTTTCTTCAGGAAACACTTCTGACCAAGGCTGTGATTGTGAAGATGTGTCCCAATGTAGGAAGGTACATTTATTTCTAATCTCTTTAAAAAAAATCATCATTTGTTAAAGGTTGAATATGGAACAATTAAAAAAGCTGTATTTAAAAAAGCAACACCTCCACGGGGCGTATAGAGGCGTGCAGAATGAAGGTTCAGTATTTCCTTTGAAAGTTATATTTAATTAGAAAACAATCAAATATTTATTTTGATACTGGGTTAATGCTCACATCTACCAGCCAATAGAGAACACCATTGCGGGTTGCCAAACAGTCCGCTCTGCACAGTGAGGATGGCTGTGGAAAATGGCGGACTCTGCTATCCAAACAGCTGCTTCTGAGCCCAGAAGATGATGTTATCTTTCTCAGAAGAGAAGCGACCATAAAAGAACTAAAACCAGAGTGAGTTTAGATGAAGCCCACAACAGATAGACCCATATTAACAATTTCACATATCGGTGGCGAACCTGGTACTATGTTCTATTGTTGCAGCTACAACCTCCACACACTAGATGTCACTTTGGCATCTGTGTTCCATATTCCACTTTTAAAGCAGACTTCCTTCACTTCAGTTGGGAGAATAAAAAAATGCTTATGATATTGATTTCTGGAGATTGTCAAATTAGAGAACAGGAAAAATTAAGCAAAATATTCCTGAAAGTAAATTTCTTATTTAATCCAAAAGCCCACCTAAATTTGATGTGATTTCCACACATGCATGAACAGCCAGAGCAGCTGTGACGTCATGTTTCATGTGATCACTTTGGGTTTCGCCTCATGGCAGCTCAATCAGAAGACCTAAATTAGAGAGGGACTTCTAGATGTGCTTTTCCTTTTCTGTTGTTTTTGATCCCAGAGAGTCATTCTGTCTACATCACAGCTGCAAGACCAAAACCAGATGGACACCAGTGGTCCAACTGTCCTAGTGCAGGTTGTGTCTGAGGAGGAAGATGAAGAGGAACCAAAGGAGAGAACCGTAAAGATGAACGCTACCAAACCTTTAAGCTCTGGTAAATCTGATTAGTAAAGCTGATTGGTATTAACTGGGATCGGTTTCTGAGATGACCCTTTTGTTTGTTTTAACAGGAAAGAGATCAAAGCGAAAGAAAAAGATTCTAGTGGAGCCTTTGGTGAAATCAGACATGAGAACAGATGTTCCTGCAAATGCTGGTGAGTGATGACAAGCAAAGGAGTACCACACTGAAAAGTTTAGTCGATCTTAATTCAATTCAATTCAAAAATACTTTATTAATCCCTGAGGGAAATTGATTGCTGTAGTAGCTCAGAATAATAATCAAGTCTTCAAAGAGTTGAGGTTAAAATAGAGTTTTTAACATTTACTTTTACATCTTTTATAAAATTTATACTAATCTTGGTTTTTTCTCTCTCAATAAGCAAAGAGAAGAAGCAGAGGACACATTTCTCAGCCTCCAGTGTCTGGTGAGAACGTAGAGGCAGATCCAAGAGGTAAGCATTAGTTGTGATGGATATTTAAGGCATTAAAATATTACATTTATTACATTTACATGTTTTTGCTTTGTTCTAATATATCTTTCTTATCTTAAAGTGTCAAGGCGTAGCCAAAGAAAGAGAAAGATTTGCACTTTAACTAAACCAGAGGAAGTAAGCCCAAAACCCACCCGGGTTGTTGCTGGTAAGACGAGAACAACTTTACATTCTTTCATTTTAGCACGTTCTGAATTTAATTTTGCTTTTTGATTTGTTGCATGTTTTTCTTAAAAAGGATCTAAACGGTGAAGTTTTCCATTTCAGTTGGGTCTTTTTGAAAATGGCATCATGGAATGGAAATTAAATTAGTACAATAATTTTAAGCGGAGGAAGAGCTGCAGATGCTTCTAGCAGGTTTTTCAGTCTCAGCTTTGTTCTGTTTACATGCAGAAATGCAAAAAGTGATACATAATAAACTTTGATTCTACAATGTCCCGAGCAGATTTTCAGTCCTGCAGTAATCTGATTCACATTTGACTAAAGTGGTGAACTCGTTCCTTTTTTTTTTTTAATATCACAGCAAGGCGACCTTATAAAAGAAGAAAAGATGCTAAACCAGTTGCAAAAGAAGGTGAAACCACAAGTGTGTCAACTGGTAAGACTCAATATTTGTTGCTGTATACCTTCTGTCCTCTGATGGAGGATTTAAGTTCTGCAAGTAGCAAGTGTCAGTTATGTTTATGAATTTAGCAGATGCTTTTGTCCAAAGCGACTTACAAGTTATTTTATGTTTTTGTGAAACAGTTCTATAATTCCATCCAGATACTTTCAGAAAGCCCTTAGATTTCAGTAGAATCACGGGGGAGCTGGTGTCCATCAACCTAATGTTTCCTCCTCTGCTTAGGAAAAAAACGCCCCGGAAGAAAGATGGTTTGTTTTCCAATAGAAATCCCCCCTGAACTCCTAAAAACGCCCAAAGAGAAGATTGAGTATCGCTGCTCTGTTTGTGGCAAAGAGTTTCCCCACGCCTACAAACTAGAGCGACATGAGCTGATCCACACAGGAGAGAAACCCTACTGCTGCTCCCTCTGTGGTCGGGGTTTTAACCAGAAGGGAAACCTGAAAACGCACTTCAAAGTTCACCTCGGTGAGAGTTGTACAGGAATGGATGAAAGTTTTAGCCTAACGCCTATCATAATAATGTTGCTACATTTTCCAAAAATTGCTAACCCTTTTATTTTTGTCAAGGACGTAAAGGCACAGTCGACAATGAAGTTGAGGAGAATCCCTCTGCGTCAGAACTTTCAGACTACCTAAAGTCTCTGCCCGGAGAATCCCATGTCCGCTCATCCTTCCTCTGCCTGGATTGTGGAAAGGAGTGTGAGAGTCAATCAGCTCTACAAGCGCACCATATCACCACTCACGGAGAGACCCCCACTGAAGCCAACACCGCCAAGCACAGCGCGTCACAGTTCCTCTTCTGCCGCCGGTGTGGCATTCAGTTTGACGATAAAGAAAAAATGGAAGAGCACATGAAAACTCACATCAAGGAGAAGCCCTACCCATGCCCTGATTGCGGGAAGAGGTTCATAAACGAGAGTTACATACAAGTCCATCAGCGCATACATACGGGAGAGAGACCATTCCTCTGTTCACACTGTGGGAAAGGCTTTCACACCGCTTCCTCCCTCAAACTCCACAAGATGCAGCACTCTGGGGAGAGGCCGTTTGCGTGTTCGATTTGTGGCAAGACTTTTCGTATTAACTCCTACCTAAATGCACATTACCAGACCCACATCAAGGACAGGCCGTTCGTTTGTAGAGTGTGTGGAAAAGGCTACTCCCGAGCCGAGGAGCTGAAGGTCCACCTCAGGCTTCACACTGGAGAGCGACCCTACGAGTGCGGGGAATGTAGGAAGAGCTTTATTTACCGCCAAGGACTGCGACAGCACCAGCGCACGCACGCTGGGAGGCGCATCGGGCCGACCAGACAGCTCGGTAGACCCAAACAGCAGGTCAAGCTGGATATTTAACAGCTGATGCGTTTTAGTTGTTAACCGTGTTTGACAATGTTGCAGTTGTTGCTCTTCCTCTTCCCCAGCTTTCTTCCATTCCTCCCACTCAAAGCCAAAACACACACTGCTGAAAATATGATTCCTGGCCATCTATTTGTGTTTCTTTTTTCTGTGTGTATTCTGCTCATGTTTAATGTTTCCTCTTTGCTAGTAGCCCGTATGTACAATTTGAGTGCCTTTGTGTCCTGCATGCCAAAAAAACAAAAAAAAAACGTTATTGTTGGGGATGAACCGAAAATTTCCCCTGAAGGGCCTTTTCGGTTTTTGGCTGAAACACCTAAATCACCGAGACAACACGGCCGCATTAGGCCGTCAGGTGAACCCCGCTTTAGTTTCATCTCGCTCTACCCTCAAGTGGCAACTTGCTCTTTGCTTCATAAAATTGTACATTCGTACTGATCTGAAAAGTAAAGTTTTCTCCTTTTAGTAGTGCTGTTTTATTACGATTGCTGGAATAGTCATATCAATTATATGATGCACTTTTTACTTTAAGTTTAACATCTACCGTGTCTGCCCGGCTTTCTTCTTTTACATTTTCACTACATCTGTCACTATTAACAGTGTTTTACCATCCTTTCTACACCCACCATGTTTTGAACATGGCTAATTAAGCTTTGGATCATGCGTGTAAAGTGTTTACTCTCATGAAGCACACACTCTTGCTACTCGGCTCTCCTCAGTCGAGAGTCTTCTGACGTGGATATAAAATTTTCAATAGAAACACACCCTAAAGTGTTGCTCAGATTGAAGTTACACATCTCCACTATCTTCTGGTGTAAAGTAATAACTTCATGAGGGATTGTGTTTGCAGCTGTGGCTCATTAAATGCAATATTGCAACTTTGGTTCTCAACCGGAAAAGGGTGGCCTGCCAACTCCGGGTCGGAGGAGAGGTCCTACCCCAAGTGGAGGAGTTCTCCACTTGGGTCTTGTTCTCGGGGTCTTGTTCACGAGTGAGGGTAGGAGGGATCGGGAGATCGACAGGCGGATTGGTTCAGCGTCTGCAGTGATGCGGATGCTGAGCTGATCTCTTGTGGTGAAGAGGGAGCTGAGCCAGAAAGCCAGGCTCCTCTGTAGGGTGGCCGGGCTCAGCCTTAGAGATAGGGTGAGGAGCTTGGACATTCGGGAGGGACTCGGAGTAGAACCGCTGCTCCTCCGGATCGAAAGGAGTCAGTTGAGGTGGTTTGGGCATCTGGTCAGGATGCCTCCTGGACTCCTCCCTGGGGAGGTGTTTAGGGCATGTCCTGCCAGCAGGAGGCCTCCGGGTTGACCCAGGACACGTTGGAGAGGTTACATCTCCAATCTGATCCAGAAACGCCTTGGGGTCCTGCCGGAGGAGCTGGTGGAGAAGGCCGGGGAGAGGACGGTCTAGAGCTCCCGAGTTGGGATGCTGCCCCGCGACCCGGACCCGGACCCGGATAAGCGGAGGAAGACGAGACGAGATTTCTTTCTGGTTTTTGGTTTCGGCCAATAATTTTTATTTTGGTGCATCTCTAGTCATTGTCATATGAATCACGAACTCTTCAAAAATCAGTGTTGATAGAATACAAACATTTGTAAGAAGCACCTTGAAGTTCTACTTTGTGGATGAAAGTTCAGTCAATCACAAACCGATTCCGGTAGCACTTTGATAGAAAATAAGATTTAAAAATGTTCATGAGTTTGCCAAAATGATGGTCAAGTTTATCTAACATTCATTTTTGTGGAGTAGTGACCGTGACTGTCACAAAGCACATGTGATCATTTCCATTCTTTTAAGACTGAAAGAGCTGTAAGAACAATTGTTTCAGAATGAGTCTATATCAACTTTTCTACATGTTGGTCAAAAGTGGTGTGAGTTGCTCTTAGAAAAAGGGTTTCATGGTGGGTTTTTTTTTGATAACTCATTTGTTATTAAAATAACAATTTGTTTCACCTCTTGTGGCTTTTTTTTGTCTCAACAGCTGATTTAACATTGAAATAAGAAAAAGGAGCATGAAATAAGAAAATACCCACTCATGTGTGCAAGACATCCAAAGCTCAGGTCAAATTCACCCCATTCTTCTTTCATATTTGAGCATATTCTATGTTTTTTCTTTTCATTGAGGAGAAACTCATCAAAGTCCAAAAATGAACAACTAACAGAACTGCACCTGCTTTTAATCTGGTAATTATGAAAAACCAGTGCTACCAATAAAATTTCATAATTATGTCTTTGTATCTCATTATTATGAGATATCTAAGTCATTATGAGATATCTTATATATCATAATAATGAGATAGCAAAGTCATAAATGTGTGATTGTATCGTATAATAATGAAATATTAAGTCATAAATATGAGAATATTTTATGAGAGTGGCAGAAATGGGCTAAAGTAACATTATTTATAACATTCGGACAACTATGGCTAAATGTTTTTAAACAAACAGCTTAATGCAAATGCATACCTCTCTTTTGAATGTTTTTTATTATATTTTGAATGAAGTACTTTATTATACAACATTTTTCAATATGTTGCTTTTTTAATTAAAATTTATTTATTTAAAAAACTCTATTAGCTTGTTTACAGCTGATCAAATGAAATGCATTTTTGTGTTTCTATTTTATTTTATCTTAGAAATGCATAATCTGTTACCGGAAGTTAAATTGGCAAGGCTTTTATTTTGGTACATAACCGGAAGCTAAGAGTGCCGCACGCAAGTTAGCTGCTTCAGCTAAAGAGGTTGTCATCATTACACGTAGATCTAACATGACTCGTTTGTTTGCAGGTATTTGCTGCATGGTTTGAGCATAACGAACATAATTCTGATCGATAAATAGGAGTTTTGCTTCGTCGTTCTGTTGTATTTTTTTTCGAGTGACTACTTTTATTTGGAGAGAAAATCTATGCAGAGGTTGGTCAACATGCCTATTGTCTGTTTTTAGCTAGTCGAGTTAGCGAGTGTTATTCAGAGCTGAGGATGGACAGAGACACATTAACTCTTTCTGGTCGTCCTGATAACGGAAACCTTTAATTCTGTGTTACTGGTAACGGGTTGAAGTTTAGGACAGGGACGATAGTTGTTAATTGTTATCTAGTCCTTAACTAGCAGGTCATCAATTCTCCAGAGGAGGAAGCGGTCGTTGACCATATCGGTGGTCACCGCCGCTGTCACCACTCCTACATCCCAGCACAAACATAACGTGTCAGTTGTTTTTAGTGAAAATGCTATGCCTTTGATTTTTTCTTTAACGCATTTTATGCTTGGGCGGATTTTGGGTAGTTTGCCAACTTGAAACAGAATTAATGTGTCTATTCAAAGAAGCAAAACACTGATTTTTCTAGCTAATGCTACTGAGTTAGCAGGGTTTCTCTGTGTCACGGAGGGTTTCTAAAAAGCATTTGAAGCATAGAATACACTTCTATTTAAGATCTTTATTTAACGAGCCTGTTACTGATCTTCACATTCTGCTGAGGTATCCTTGAGCAGGGCAATAGGTGTCCTTTTAGTTGGAGTCACTGAAAGATAAATGTTACAAAAAATTGTTATCCTGGGAGAAAGCTTAACACACATCTCTATCTATCTATCTATCTATCTATCTATCTATCTATCTATCTATCTATCTATCTATCTATCTATCTATCTATCTATCATCTGTCTATCTATCTATCTATCTATCTATCTATCTATCTATCTATCTATCTATCTATCTATCTATCTATCAATCATACATAATAAGCATTAAATATATGCTAGGAACCATTACTGTGCTAGAGTTTGTAAACCTTATTATTTACAATTGAGATGAGACTGATGCAAATATTAATATAAAAATGTGTTTGCTAGAAAGTCTGATCTTACATTTTTGAAGGAGTAAGAAAACTGAAAATCAGGACCAGTGAATAAAAGTTGGTACCCAAATATCCTCCAAGAGGAACTCCAAACCATTCAAGAACAATTTTCCAGTATGAGGAACACTAGGGGTGTTATTCACTACTTTGATCATGATACAATGCTATATTGATACAGTGGGTTATGGTTCAATGTTTGCCGATATCTCAGATTCAGTTGCAATACTGTTTTGATTTGATTCGATTTAGGATCCACCAATTTATTTGAAATGCTATTGCAAGTGACTGAACACAGTCATTGCCTTGATTTTTTTAAATCTTGAAATGAGAGACAAATTCTTCACTGGCTGCTCTCTTACTTCTCACCATGATGCCACTAGTTTCTTCATTTATTAAGTGTAACTTCAAAATAAAATAATTTTTAAAATTAAAGTGTGTTTGATAAGTAGTTATTCTATCGATTTTTGCATTTATATCGATGTATCAATATAGATCAATGTATTGTTGCCATCCTAGGGAGCACCATAAGGTTAGAGTAGTAACGAAGTGACTGGAGGAACGAAGCATGGAAATTCTGGGGGCCATCTCCAGGTTTCCAGCCCTCGAGAGGCAGGTGGTCAAGTAAAACATTCTAATTGATTGTGAGCATGTCATTGTGAAATGCAGAAGAATCTGCTTAAATCTAACTTAATGGTCAATACAAGTTTTTGAAACGTGTGTGTGTGTGTGTGTGTGTGTGTGTGTGTGTGTGTGTGTGTGTGTGTGTGTGTGTGTGTGTGTGTGTGTGTGTGTGTGTGTGTGTGTGTGTGTGTGTGTGTGTCTGCTCTGTCTTCTCCAATCCCCAGTGAGTCGTGGAGGATGGCTGCTTATACTGAGCCAGGATTCTCTGGAGGTTTCTTCCTGTTAAAAGGGAGTTTTCCTCTCCACTGTCGCTTTATGCTTGCTTAGTATGAGGATTGCTGTAAAGTCACTGACACTAGTCAGTGACTTGATGCAATTTGCTGGGTTCCTTGTATAGGAAACATTATTTCTGATTGGCTTAATGAACTGACCTGAATTGGAAATTCTGTTTATGTGAAATGCCTTGAGACTACTCTTGTCGTGATTTGGCGCTATATAAATAAACTTGAATTGAATTGAAACCTGAAATGTTTTCTGGTTATACATCAGTATACCACAGAACTATTGACAAAATACTATAAAAGATTGAAGCAGACTACTTTGTGAAATCCAGTACTTGTCATTCTCTTTACTTTTAGCCACAGCTGTAGAGTTGTTAATTGCCAGTGGTTGGTAAAGTGGGATCTTGTTGAGCTCACTTCAGCAATGTCCCCCATGTAGAACAGACATAGACTCTTATCTAGTCATCCATAAAGACCAAGTTTACTGAGAAACCTTTTTTTTTTTTGGTTGATATTTTTTAAATCTGACTGGTCAGTCTGAGTTTAACATGCAGGCTGAATTAGGGCTGGGCAATAAATTGAAAATTTATTGTGATAGACATTTCTGACTAATCGATTTGTGATAATAAATGTGTTAATAAAAAATGAAAACGTGTGTAGGGCGGCTGCGTTCATGTCCCTTTAAGAAGCTGTACCACCTCCAGTCATGTAAAAATGTGACTCAATACATGTGACAGCCCCATCTAGTGGACAACTTTTGTTTCTGCGCACACCCGTAGTTACCGTCAATTTATTGTTATTGAGGTGAAATCCTCAATATATTGTGATATTTATTTTAGGCCACATCGCCCAGCCCTAGACTGAATGTAAAATAGTCTTCTACACCTATTTCCTGCATTAGCTGCTGATAGAAAAGCCAGACAATTGCACGTCACATTGAAAATTAGCATTCATTGAGCTCCCCCATCTTGGCTCATGGTAGGGGAAGGCTGTTGTTGATTAGGTGTCCAGGAGAGAGCAGAGCATGTCTCAGCTAGTTGAAGGTAACTGTTAGCATTAGCAACCCCACAACACATCCGAACTCCTTTAGGCTTGTCTTAATTTTTCCAAGATAAGTTGGCTGGAATTGACGCAATGAACTCCAAGCTGTGAGGCTTTAGAAGACCCCAAGATTCCACATTTAAAGATGGCTGCGCCCAGTGCTACCAGGAAGTAGTTATCGTCTTTATTTTTTTCTCATTTATATGTTCTGTTTTCTTTCTCTTCAACATTGCCTCCAAAATTGACCGGTGTTTATGGTTTTTACTTTTCCTAGCATTTATAGTTTCACATTTTATTTGTAATGTTTTTCTGGTTGTATGTGGCAAAGGGTGTGTGTGTCACTATTATTTAGATGAGGAGAATACTTGATTATATAATTCTTTTGGTTTAGTACTCAACAACACTGGTGGCTTCCGTTTGTTCCAAGTTGGAAGCTGGAATGCAAAATGAGCCCGTTATGTCATTTCCTGCTCAGAAATTCCGAGCTCCGAGGACAACTGGGACGCACGATTAGCAAAGGAAACTGGGTCACTGCTGGTCATGTTGTTGTTAGCCAATCAGAGGTGAGCTGTTTGAATATCAGGAAATAAGACTCCTTAACCTGCCGTGTTCAGCTCAACTCTGCTCTGGCTCACTTTTAGTTCCTGAAACAGTAGCGCCAGAGCTTTTGTTCCTTACAGATCAACTCACAAGGCATTTATTTATACTAGAGACCACTTCAAATGTGTTGAAAAAAAACTTGTGGAACTGGTCTTTAAATGTAACAAATGTAAAGTGATGCAATGAGCCAGTACAGATCCAGAGCAGTGAAATGTGACAGAATTTTGTTCCATAACTTCCATTGTGATTTTTGTATCTTTAAAGTCATTACCTTTGTTGTGATGTCATCTTTAAGTTCTGATAATGATAGTACTGGGTAACCACTGAGTTTACCCAGTTGTCTGTTTTAGATTTAGCAGAATCCACTCTTCTCTGAGTAGCTCAGCTGGTAACAGATGACAGAGACTAAACTGAGAGCTCTGAGAAATCTGCAGCATTTTTTTCCTGAACCCACTTCCTGATCTTGCCATTTATAAACTAGAGCTGGAATGTTTTTCTGGCTCAGCTGGTCAACAGCAGGCTGAGGCAAGCATCCTACCCTGAAAGTATTTAAAGGTCAGCTGAATTTTCTCTGCTTCACAGATCAACCCCTAAATTAGACGTTTGTCCATGTTTTGATTTTGATGGTAAACCCATAGAAGGCATGGCTAAAAAATGACCACTGGGTTTGTTTTTTTCCACCTTCCCAAAAATAAAAAAAGACGATTTAGTGCACATTAAGCAAATGTCAAACAAACCTAGTTACATAGTTATGATGTGAATGTTTTCATTTTCTATACTGAAATATGACTTCTCCTTTACTAGATTGAGCATTTGAAAGATGGGCTCTGAGAACCCAGATGACTTTGAACCAGCTGTGGTTCTTGTTGATGAAGATCAGCAAGAAATAGGAGGCCTAATCAATTCTGATGGTGAAGAAGTAGATTTCTTCGATCCCAGTGAGTAAATGAAGCATCACTGAAAAAAATGCTCATTTGAATTGAATTATTGACACAACATCTTATCTTTGGTGGTCTGAGGTGATTTCTAAATGATCTCAATCATGATTGCAGATTTTTATCTTTATTTTTGAATACTGGGTGTTAAATGCTGTTCTTGATGTTTGCAGGTGGGAATGCCGTCTCTGGTGTCATTCCTGCTGAAGCTCCCTCAAAGACATGTAATGAAATTGAGAACGAAAAAACGCCAGCTCTTCACAGCTGCTCCGTGTGTGGCAAAGACTTCCCTTACGCCTCTAAACTTCAGCGTCATCTCCGAACTCATTCAGGAGAGAGACCTTTTCCCTGCTCTGTGTGCGAAAAGAGATTTCCAGAAAAGGGGCTTCTCATGATTCACCAACGGATTCACACGGGGGAAAAGCCATTTGCGTGCACTTTCTGTGAGAAGAGGTTTGCCAGTCAAGGGGAGCTGCGGCTACACCGGCGGACACACACTGGTGAGAGGCCCTATCACTGCTCCATCTGTCTTAAGAGCTTTTCTCGGCACTGGCACCTGAAAACGCACCTAGAGGCCATGCACTCCGAGATTGTTGCGGGCTTCACGAGGAAGAAGTTTCCATGCTCGGATTGTGATAAGAGCTGCAACTCCGCGGCCGAGCTGAGGGATCATCAGAGGACTCACACTGGCGAGAGGCCCTTCCAGTGTTCATTCTGTGACAAACGCTTTGCCTTGTCAGGAACACTTGTGAGACACGAGCGTCTCCATACCGGCATCACACCTTACCACTGCGCCGACTGTGGCAAGACATTTGCACAGCAGTGGACGTTGACCACACACATGCGAACTCACAGGGGGGAGAAACCGTACAGCTGCACGCAGTGTGACAAGTCTTTTGTTGCTCCAGGGGAGCTTCGGAGGCACACCAGGATACACACCGGAGAGAAGCCGTACACCTGCACCGACTGTGGAAGGCACTTTTCATTAGCAGGAACTCTAAGAAATCACAAGCGTTCGTGCACGCAGAGCAAGGACGAAGTTGTTACTAGTGCTGTCTTAGACGAAGCTCAAGCTTCAGGCGATGAGTTGTCCCAGCAAAAACCGGACAGCAACTTCGGCTGCAAGGTAGTGACCGTAAACAGCCGCTTTGGAATAAGCCTGTCGTCTATTGGCCATGTTGTTTCAACTCACTTGTCAAACTTTGCAGGTGGCTGACAGTCAGACCCTGCCTACTGAAGCTGAGCTCCCATCCTCACACAGTCTGAACAGTGTCAACGCCGTTCAGAGAGACCCAGTCCCCCGTTTGGAGGACGTTGCTTCCACACCCCATGTGAACTTAGTGGTAAAAGAGGAGGAAGACGAGGACCTTTTGTGTGGTATTTAAAATGCACCTTACTGATTTCCTACTGTCTGCACGTATTAAAGGGATTTGAGATATAATAGAACTCTGATGTCAACAATGGTAAATTGTAAAAAAGAAAGGAAAAAAGGGTAAATGGCCTGTATTGATATAGCCCCTTCTAGGGTTCTAAAACCCCTCAAAGTGCTTTACAACTAACAAGTCATTCACATGAGGCTGCCGTACACTGGCGTCACCGGTCCATCTGACCACCACCAACAGGCAAGGTGGGTTAAGTGTCTTGCCCAAGGACAGATGGGGGCACTGAACCCCTCTGCCAGTCTATTCGTGATTTCAAAAATTCTGAATCATTACTTTAAATAGAGTTTGTGTGACTTTATCCATCCATTGATTATCGTCCATTTATCCAGGGTTGGGTTGCAGGGACAGCAGCCTGAGCACAGAGGCCCAGAATTCCCTCTCACCTATCATTTGGGCCAGCTCTTCCGTGGGAAGCCCAAGGCGTTCCCTGGCCAGCTGAGGAACATAGACCCTCTAACATGTCCTGGGTCTTCCCTTGGGTCTCCTCAAATGTTGGACATGGCTGGTTAAACCTCACCAGGGAGGGGTCCAGGAGGCATCCTAACTAGATGCCCGAGTCACCTCAACTGGCTCTTCTCGATATGGAGGAGCAGTAGGTCTACTCTGAGCCCCTCCCGGTTGACTGAGCTTGTCACCCTTTCTCTAAAGCTGCTTTTATAGTACACACCATGCCGGCAAATTGGTGTAATATTGCCGAGATGGTATGTCTATAAACGCAGCATGGCGCTGCGCGAATTATGCGGCGTTTGTTCCGCCTCGCTTGGTAGTAGTATTGCAGTAATGGTCTGTCGTATGCGCCCTGGCGCAACAGAGGCAGATGTCATGATGACGTGGGGAGTTATTGCTGAGCTCCAGCTGGCAAATTTATTGAAAATGAAAGCAAACACAGGCAATAAGGTTTGCTTTTTGAACAAATTCAACTGAGATGGCAAACTGGAGCGCCGCAGCGCTCCACGAGCCTCTCTGTTAGAGCTGAAGCTCAGATCACCAGAGACTGCACAGGGACCGATGGGGACAGACACCTTTAGGAGCGGCTTGTTAAAAAAAACTTAACGATCACGGCTTCAATCGCAACAAAAAGCAAGTTATGTCTAAGATAAACAGAAGTCTGCGGCAGCGCAGAGACCGCCCCATACCCCCTTTATACCGCCATCACCTAATCTTTACTAAAATTGCCATCTGATTGCACCACATTACCGCCACGCTCTTATAAACGACCTTTATCCTCTCCAGGGAGCCGCGGCAAATCCCGTTTTGCAAACGCTCTGGTCCAATAAAAGCAGCTTGTGGGAGAGCCCAGTCACCCTGTGGAGAAAACTCATTTCGGTCGTTTGTATCCGCAATCTTGTTCTTTTGGTCACTACCCAAAGCTCGTGACCATAGGTCAGGGTTGGAACGTAGATCAACCAGTAAATTGAGAGCTTCACCTTCCGGCTCAGCTCTCTGTTCCCCACAACAGACCGGTACGACGTCTACGTTATTGCTGACACAGCACCAATCCGCCTGTTGATCTCGCGCTCCATATTTCCCTCACTCATGAACAAGACCCCGAGATGCTTAAACTCCTCCAATTGGGACAGGACCTCATACCTGACCCGGAGAAGGCATTCTACCCTTTTCCAACTCAAGACCATGGTCTCAGATTTAGAGCTGATTCTCTACTTCAACGATGTTTAATTTCTGTGTGGTGCTTTTCTCTAGAAGACGAAAGTCCAGACCAAACATCTGCAGATGAAGACTGTTCCTCTCAGGAGGAAACTGAAGAGCAGGACCAGGAAAGCAGCGCAGACATTCATATTACTGTAAAGGAAGAGGAGGAGGAATCTGTAAATGGTAAGAAAAACATCTCGTTACTCTTTACTGCGTGTGATTGTATAAGTTGTTGCTACCAGTCATTAGCTGGGTTATTAAACTGGTTTGGAAGGTTTGTGACTGAATAACATAAAATGAGGCCATATATGCGTTGAACTGGCAGCATAAAAAGACCCTTCACATTAATAAGAGATCTGACCTAAACTGAATAAAGCAAAAATCTTTTTACTAGATTATAACATTGTCTGGTTAAAGTGGTTACATTTGTGCTGTGTTTGGATCTGTTTTGTGACATGAGTGCTTTAAGTCACCCTCATTTAGCCGTGCTTCCTCAGAACCTGCAAAAGACGTTGGATGTGCTACTACTAGTTTATCAGTTTAATTATAGATCCACTAGGATAAATACAATAAAGTTTATCTTTCACCAAATAGAATATTTACTAAGAAATCACAATATAACTATAGACACATTACTTGTCTTTGTGTGTGTGTGTGTGTGTGTGTGTGTGTGTGTGTGTGTGTGTGTGTGTGTGTGTGTGTGTGTGTGTGTGTGTGTGTGTGTGTGTGTGTGTGTGTGTGTGTGTGTGTGCGCGCTGTCTTCTCGATCCCCAGTGAGTCGTGGAGGATGGCTGCTTATACTGAGCCAGGATCCTCTGGAGGTTTCTTCCTGTTAAAAGGGAGTTTTCCTCTCCACTGTCGCTTTATGCTTGCTTAGTATGAGGATTGCTGTAAAGTCACTGACACTAGTCAGTGACTTGATGCAATTTGCTGGGTTCCTTATATAGGAAACATTATTTCTGATTGGCTTAATGAACTGACCTGAATTGGAATGTTTATTATGTGAAGTGTCTTGAGACGACTCTTGTCGTGATTTGGCGCTTTATAAATAAACTTGAATTGAAAAGTGAAAAGCAAAACCAACACAGATAAATTGGCCTGTAAGGTCCATGATAGTGATCTGCAGAGAACACATTTGCAATTTTCAGCACAGAATAATAATAAGATTTTCCAGTCAGGCAAGTTGTAGACTATGCCGCTATCAGCATTTCCCATCAGATGACCAGAAGATGGCCAATAGTTGTATTTTTCTACATCCTTAATGTGCCTGCATACAAATAATTTGTGTTGTAGACCAACATCCACCAAGGCTGGAACAATAATTGGCGAGGAGCTGGGCCTTGAGCAGAGGTGTGTTTAAATGCCTCATAAACTAATAACATTGTGTTTCCTGACTTACTCTGATTCTCTTGATGCTCATTTTTACCACTTTTAACAGTGGAAAGTAATACTGGGAAGAAAAATGCCCAGGGGCCAAAAACAAAAAAGTTTAAAACCAACATTTTTATGAACAAGGAAGCCTAACGAGATGAAACATAAACTGGATAATGAATAATTGTTTTTAACCCTCTGGGGTCCATGGACGCGTATACGCGTCTTTTGAACGGGTCTGATTTGGGACATTGTAGCAGCAAGACTCCGCCTCCCTGAGTTTCGGTTTCAATTCAGCTTTAAAAAGGAGATTATAAACTACACCCAGTTTTTAAATTTTGTTAATAGGCAACGTAAAAGCGGAGTTATACTAAACTAAAAAACGACCTATTTTTAGACAATCTGATAACTTGTCAAAACAGCAGTTTAGTAATCCGTGAGAGGGAATGTGCTTGTGAATATAAAAGCCCCCACAAAAACATGAGATCCTTTCGCTGTTGGTGGAAGTCTCACATATTCAATTGATAAAAACTATCATTATGTAGCTGAAAGAGAGGAAGGCCGCACGAGTAAAGAGATGTGCGCAAAAAGGAGCCGCTTCGCGGAGAAAGGAGTGGCGCGAACGGAGTAACAACAAACAATTAGACAAATATTGACGGTAAATTTCATATTTTGGAGCGATCTGGACAGATATATTGTCTCTGCAGTTTAGTAGGCTTTTATTAGGCTTTAATAAAGGATGATGAGAAGGATAAATGTCCACCAGGCAGGTCAGATAGTACGGCTGTTTTTTGAACTGGAAGCAGAGGAAGTGGACAGAGACTCACAGCCGGAGTCTGAGGCAAATAGCGAGGATGTTGATGAGGATGTGGCAGATCCATCCTTCCTCATAGAAGAGTTGGGTCATGATGAGGTAGAGGATGAAGGCAGAGATCCAGCTTCTCGGAGATCCAACAAGAGGAGTGGGTGGCGCCGCGCAGCTGTCAGATCTCGGCGTGGGACAGAGCCACTCCCCACTCCAAAATGCATGTACATTATTGCCAAATTAATAAAATAAGTATAAAATCAGATAGTCCAGGTTGTCCTGAAACAAATGATACCCCATAAGGCAATATTTATTGTTTTTATTAGAAAATACAAAAGAAAAACCAAAATGAGTCAAAAACGGTGATTTACACCCTGGACCCCAGAGGTCTAATTTTTTATTTTATTTGTTATTTGCTATATTTAGTCATATTTTTTTTATAAATGGACAATCTAGATTACCATTCTAAATTATAAAAAACATTTGTCATAAATGTTTCTTGGTTTCACAGTAAAATGAACAACTTTTTTCCAATTCGGATTTTATGATTTTGAGTGATTTGAGGTCTAATATGCAACCCCTTTATGTCCAAATATAAAAAATAAGTATAAATTCATAAGGTCCAGGTTGTGCTGAAAAGATTGATACCACATAAGGCAGTGGTTATGGTTTTTATTTTGGAAATACAAAGGAAAACTCTAAATTAGTCAAAAACAGCAAATACACCGTGGACCCCGGAGGGTTAATGCCGATTTAGATGTGGGTCAAAACCACACCAAAGTGTGTATCGATAAATCTGTTCAAACAAAAATAATATAGAATACCACTAGAGGGAGCCCCAGTGTGAGGGCAGATTGGCAAATTTTTCCAGAGGAAGCAAAGTCCTTTTATTTTTATTTGTTTGAGGAAAAAAAGCAAAAATTATTTTACGATGATTTTTATCTATTTATCTTCTTCAGAAAAGGCAGGTATAATATTACAGGATTTATAAATTTTAATAAGAAAAGAAAAGAAATTATAAACAAAATAACAGAGCAAAATTATACAGCATATTTTAGGCATATTAGTAAAAACAAATCATCATAAAAACGTTATAAAGTGTCACTACACCAGCAGCCTGCTGGAGAGGAAAGATTCCTCATTCTAGAAACACAATTGGGAGCAGCGCAAAGGCCCTCCTGGGGCCGCACTTTGGTCGCGCCTGATGGAGAGCATCCTCCAGCACAATAAACAAACAAATAAATAGTCCCCACTGTGGATCTATTTCCATTTAATCAAACTGACTGATGAGATAATTATCACATTCCTTTACATTCATGATTTCATTAATCAAGCACAATATAACATTGTTTGAGTACAAGGCATCGTCACTAAATGACTGTTTTTCTTTTTTTTCCTTTTCACCCACAGTGTCAGGAGAAGATCCCGATTCTTTTTCAGGGAGCGAGAAAGACACTCGAGTGTCACCAGTACTGAAGCAGCGTAGCAAAAAGAGTACGTACTGCTGCGGGCTCTGTGGAAGAGACTGCCACAAGATGTCAGCCCTTCAGATCCACATGCGAATCCACTCGGGCGAGAAACCCTTCCAGTGCACGCTGTGTGGGAAACAGTTCACGCAGAAAGGTCAGCTCAAAGGTCATTACAAAGTCCACACAGGTGAAAAGCCGTTCTCCTGCCCGGAGTGCGGCAAGAGCTTCGCCCACTCGGGTGCCATGAACAGACACAGGCTCACACACACGGGGGAGAGGCCTTATCAGTGCTCCGTGTGCGACCGGAGCTTCAACCAGTCCGGCCGCCTGAGGGAGCATGAGAAAATTCATTTAGGGGAGAAGTTCAGCTGTCCTGAGTGCAACAAAAGCTTCACGCGTTCCTCAAGCCTCAAGAATCATTTCAGACTTCACACTGGTGAGAGGCCGTATGGCTGCGACATCTGCGGCAGGGGATTCAGTCGCTCGCAGAGCCTGAGGCTCCACAGACGAAAGCACAAACAGCCCCAGGCTTCGGTCCCGGTGAAGAATGACGACTTCTCCCTGAGCGACGACGACTCTCCTATTAATATGTGCATTACAGACAAAAATAATAGCGAGTAGTGATACTGTCAGGTAAAACAGAAACTTCTATGAACAGATTGTTAAACTTGTATTTGGAGCTTTACTTGAAAAGTATTAAAACATCCTGAAATCTTCAGTCAAATAGCGCCAGGTAACATCCTGCAACTAACCGTGAAGTACTTGATTATATAAATAATCACAGCCTATAATCTCTTATTAACTATAAGGGCTGTGAGGTAATACGTGCTCTAATCAGCCATTCCCATGTTAGGTACATGTGACTATTGCACTCGAATTTAGAGTATTGCTGTACGGAAAAAGGTCTGTGATTTCACTTTGTCAATGCAGTATTTGTTATTAAATTGTGTATGTGGGCCCGATAAATAATATTGTAACCAGAAACTTAATAAATCTGTCTTAAAATTGATGAGTCAGCAGCATCATTTGGGCTGCTGGAATAATAAAAGCATGTTTCATTCGGCCTGAATGGGTTTAGCAGCTTAACAAGGAGGAGGTGCAGGAATCGTCATGTGAGAAAATTAAGAGTGTCTGTGTCAAATACTACAGTTACGCCTAGAAATCATTTAAAACCATGTGGATGGAAAACATTGTTCAGTGTGCCACTGTACCTGTGTGTGTTCTGAATAATAAAAGTATTTAACAGTGTTTTGTTTGGTGTCGCCACATTAGAGTGGGATCATACGAAGAATGTAGGTTCTGGAGTTGTCTGGAAGCGTATGGTGCTGGGAAGGTGTTGGTTTGCTAGTGCAAAGAGTTTCTAAGAATGGCATGATCCAGTTTTATATGATGCATAGAATTAAACCCCTTTAATTCCAGATACTTAGAAATGTTAAAATAACAATTGTATTTGCATAATGACTTTTGCTCACCAGCACTTTCACTTTTTTTCCGTTTAATAATTTCTTCATTGCAGTTTATTTTTTGAAACCGTGCCACACCACTTTAAACTCTAAACAATTCATCTCTAATGTCTTATTTGTTGCATTTGATTATTTCTCAAAATCCTTTACTTTTATGGTCAAAAGATGAAAAATCTGCTAATTTCTACTTTCAATTGATAGTTAATATGCATTGCTGAATTAAGTACATAAACATCCAATTAAAGAACATTATTCTATGATTTTTAGTATCTCATTTTAATAAAAATTTCTACAAAACAATATGGCCTGAAAAGTTTTAGACACCTATATTTCTATTTCTATTTTTGTGTTTTGTCAACGGATTGCGTCCATTAAATATTAATTAAACTCAGTTTAATAGAGAACTATTATGATTACAAAAACGACACACAACTGAGATGTATACTTTTTGAATATGTTATTTTACACTGGGCATTTGAATAAGTGATTGAAAGCGAACAAAAATAAACTGCTGTGGCATCCTTTCAATAAAGTGATTATACAAAAGTAAAATAAACGTCATAACCATAGTTGTATAAATTTAAATGTTCGTGTGAGTTTATGGCGTTCTAATTTACTAAAGTTTGTCCGGTGATATTGATACATTCAATTGTCTATGATGGGTGACCCTTAAAACGGAAGTTAAGTTAATTTCGAGGCGTCTTGAACGCAACATATTCATAAACAACACGCTCGTGCAAGATGCTCACAACATCAAGCTAACAAAACACTTAGGTACCCTGGCATTTGTTTGGAGGAGAAGTTGCCCTGCTGTATTTTTGTGTCTGCGAAACTCCGAGAAAATCAGGTAAGATTCCTACGACAGGAATATTTCCTTTAGCCAAAGCAAAGAGGTTACTTAAATATTAGCAAAAATAAGCTAACGCTACTTTAACCATTTTGCTACATTCGTGAACTTGTTTCCGTATATTCAGCGTCTCTTGATTGTCTATCTGTATTGAAAAGTGAACAATGCTAAGCTTCAAAACTAAAAAATACTAGGCCTTTAAATTTGTCTGCGCAGTTTTTTAACCTTGTAAAACTACCAACCCTTGCTAAACGTTATGTTTTTATAAATAAACTGTTAAATCTGACGATATGTGGAAATCTAGTGAACGTATCCTACTGTCGTAATGGTTTTAAAAACGTCAACATTGTTATGTTATTAATGCATAATTTGTGCACATTTATGGTCAGTGGGTTGTACTTTGCTCAATGTGACCAAACTGAATTGTGTTTTTTTGTCTTTATTACTTTTGACAGAACCAAAGTGACACAATGGTTTCATACAAGAAGCTGAACCCGGAAGATGTTCGGTTTTCCAGCTCAGTTTTATCAGAAGATGCTCGTCCAGTTCAACAAGACAAAGTGAATTCATATCTTGTCTTATTTGCTGTAGAAGTTGATGAATTAATTTTCTCTGACACTCATTATTTAATTTCCACATTGTGTTTCAAGGTTTCAGATCCAGACCGTGTTTCCTTGCTCCCTCATAGACCATCATGCTCCATCACCACGAGTGTTGTGGTTATTGGCTGCATTCTGATGCTCCTTGGTGTAGGCTGGGTGTTGTACACCATGTACTGGCTACACAGTCCATCCAGCCAACATTCATATGGACCACTGCCGCCAGCTCCGGGGAAAGCATCAGGATCCAGATTACGAGCAGAAGTAAACAGAATTCCATCCTCCTCTCACAAAGAGGCCTGCAATGTAATCTCAGAGCCGTGGAGGTTTGATTGTTACCCTGAAAGAGGTGTTGTTGTGACGCAAGAGTTGTGTGAAGCAAGAAACTGTTGCTTTATCCCTACATCCAGTGCTTCTACTTCTGCTCCCAGCCAGTCAAGGAAAAATGGTATTCCTTGGTGTTTCTATCCTCTGGATTTTCCCTCTTACTCACTGGTGTCTCTAAATGAGACATCAATGGGTGTAAAAGGTACACTTGTAAAGGGAGGGACGACTTACTACCCTGGAGACATTCTCACTGTTGAGATGGAGATATGCCATGAAACAGACACAAGACTGCATGTCAGAGTGAGTAGAGGAACTCATTAGGTCATAATAATTTCTACATTTTCAAATGTCCCTCTTAAACCTTCTCAAATCTGACAGAGCATGTCTGTCACCCAGCACATAATCATCTCAAACTTTTCTTGATATAGATCACAGACCCCTCCAGTTCACGGTATGAGGTTCCCATCTCGGTGCCCGCCGCTGCTAAGAAGGCAGAAAACCCAGAGTACCTCGTGGAGCTCACAAAGCAGCCATTTGGTCTCATAGTGAGGAGGAGATCCACCGGAGCCGTGCTGTGAGTCTGAAACATCTCATGAGACTTTGTCAAAGTCATACTACAGAAATTTTTCAGTAGTTTGGTTTATTTAAGGTAGAAATGATCAAATGACCTTTTTAGCCACACAATTTAAAAAACGAGCCAATATTATATAAATAAATAATTTCTTGTTTGGCTGTTAGTCTGAATACCACAGTGGCTCCTCTCTTCTACACGGACCAGTTCCTTCAGTTTTCCACCTCTCTGGCATCTCCATACATTTATGGCTTGGGTGAACACCGCTCCACCTTTTTGCACGATGTCCGCTGGAACACGCTCACCATGTGGGCTAGAGATGTTCCTCCCATGGTAAACGTAGCTTTTTTTGGCTGACATTTATTCCACAGACCTCTTTTGTCCACATGGTGTAATAAAAGCAAAACTAATGTAACTCTTGTGTTTCTGTCTGGCGTGTAGGAGCAGACAAACCTGTACGGAGTCCATCCATTTTATCTGACTATGGAGGCGGGAGGGACTGCTCACGGCTTCTTCCTGCTCAACAGTAATGCAATGGGTCAGTCAACCTGGGTTGTGTGCTTAGATAAACCAATCAGTGCTGCAGAAAATAAACAGCGGATGGAAAATCTGGATGTTTTTGTGCTTGTTCTGATGGAAGCAACTGATTAAAATGATAGAGCTATGTTTCTTTTAGATCATCATCACCAGCCTCAAACTAGATTTCAATCATAAAGTCACATTATCAATATTGAGCACAGACTTTGACACGGATATGTCTGTTTTTCCACCAGCATTCCTGTTGTTTTAACCTGCATTATTCCTTTTTTCAGACGTGGTCCTCCAGCCCGCCCCAGCCCTTACTTGGAGAACTATTGGTGGAATCCTTGACTTCTACGTGTTCCTGGGTCCTGATCCTGGGTCAGTGGTTGAGCAGTATGTGGACGTCATAGGTCAGTAATCGTGTGCAGAGTTAACTTGCAGCTGTAAGACTAATAATACCGTTTAAGCTGAAGAAGAAAATAAATGATATGTAACTTTTTCAAAAGTGTTAATTTACAATTTTAAAACTAAGGAATGTTGTGAAATCCACTTAAGATATTAATTTCCTCTTCCAGGACGCCCAGCCATGCCCATCTACTGGGCTTTAGGATACCACCTCTGTCGCTGGGGATACAACTCCAGTGATTCCACCTGGGAAGTTGTCAAGAGCCTGAGGAATTATGGGATACCCCATGTAGTTTTTTTCATCTTCTACATGAGTCTGTTTTGTGTTTTTGATGTTTATTTTACTTTAAACCAAATTGAATTACAAGCACATCCTGTTTAAAATAACAAGAGAAATCTTGAACACAATTTTTTATCAATTTATTTGTTGATGACTGATGTGATGATTCCTTTTTTTAATTCTTTTTCTTTCCTTTTTTGTGGAGTGCAGCATAATTTTGTGATGATCTCTACATCTGCCTGGTTTTAGGACACCCAGTGGAACGACATCGACTACATGGACCAGTTCAAGGACTTCACTTTTGACCCAACAAACTTTGACTCTCTCCCTGACCTCGTCAGGGATCTGCATGCTCACAACCAGACTTATGTTATAATGCTGGTACATAAACATTTGTGTTTTCTGTTATATGTTCACTATTGAGATTGATCTGCTTGTCTGACTCTTTTCTGTGTGCAGGACCCAGCTATCAGCAGCACGCAACCCAAGGGCTCATACTGGCCGTTCGATGAGGGACTGAAGAGAGGAGTTTTCATGAAAGATGCTGAGGGGAAACCACTTATTGGAAAGGTGAGACGAGAATCGGGTGTAAAAGTTTCTCCTGTGAGGTTAAATCAAACCCTGATTGCACGCTCACTCTGTTTCCTGTTATAATTTCAGCTTCAGCCAAATGTTTTTAGCTAAAAAGGCTGTTCTGTCACTAGTAGGAACGTAACAAAAATATTAAGCATACTTTTAAAACCCTTTTATTTTTATGTTCTTCAGGTGTGGCCTGGTCAGACAGCTTTCCCTGACTTTTCTGATGAAGTCACACATGAATGGTGGTTTGACAACTTGCGCAAATTCCATGAGAAAGTCCCTTTTGATGGATTGTGGATTGTAAGGGGGAAATCAACATTACTTGAGTTCAAAGAGTTTATTTTAAAACACTCCCTGACGATGTTTCATTTTGTTTTAGGACATGAACGAGCCCTCAAACTTTGTGGACGGATCAATGAACGGCTGTCCGACAAATAGTCTTGAAAACCCTCCTTACACCCCAGGTTCAACACTTTAACCACTACCAGCACATCTCAAGCAGCTGTGTACAATCAGTACATCTGATTACTGTAATGTTTGTTTTGTTTTCAGGTGTTTTAGGAGGTTTTCTGAGGTCTAAAACTGTGTGTGCCTCAGTGCAGCAGAAACAGTCCACACATTATAATCTTCACAGTCTCTACGGACTCATGGAAGCTAAAGCCTCTGCAAGGTACAGACTTTTTTAATCCTCATTCCAGAAAGTTATTTAAATCATTTTAAAAAATATTTTTTTCTGCCTTCTGTTCCTCTCTGCTTTTTTTTGGTTCAGTGCTCTGAAGCGGATTTTGTCAAAGCGACCTTTTGTGATCTCCCGCTCCTCCTTCCCCAGTCAGGGTTTGTACTCTGGTCACTGGCTGGGAGACAACAGGAGCCAGTGGAAGGACCTTTACACTTCTATCACAGGTTAAAGGCGAAACAAATGAAACACAAAGAAAATCAAATTAAGTAAAAGCATCCTAACTGTACTGATTTTATTAGATAACACTAAACATTTCCTGCTTCTCCCTCCTACTGTTTGAAAGAAGAATTACAACTGTCGTAAACAACCTTTCTGCAGCCTGCTGTAGGTAGCGCTAACAACAAGCTAACACTAGCATCAGCCAACTAATACACAAATAAATCACAAAGTCAAAAGATCCACACTGTTGAACAAAAAATATTATTACAAGTTCAGTAGCAACAAAGCCAGGTCACCATCAGTCTGTGATTTTGTAGCCTCCTTTAGCTCCCTCAGACTAGATTAGGCCACGCTGATATTCACTCTTTGTTTAGACTCCGAAGACATTACGCTCTTACTTTTCCCTCCAGGCTCTGCCATGATGCCAGTAAAAAGCTAACTTCTTCTTTCTCTTCTTCTTATTTTAATTGATGGTCAGCAAACTGAAAAATCTAACTGTTAGCCTTTATATTAGCTACCAAGACTGTAAACTTCTAACAGTCGTTAAGCAGGTAAAAAGCTCCCCCACCTACCAATCCTACGAAGCTGTAAAAGTCGCTGTCTGTATTTTCTTTTATCTGATGGCACCATCTAGCGGCTGACAAGTGTGTCACATCATGACCTACTTTCATTTTCATATTAACGGCCTAAAGTGCCTCTTGTAGCATCCCCGGTTGAAAAGATGGTCTCTCAAACTGATGGTTCACAATCCTTTTATTAAATAGCCGTGCATGTGAACACACCGTAAGAGCTACAACATACAGAATAAAAGACTATTAGTAAATCAAACAGTGTGTTACTTTTAACCCTTTTGACTTATTTATTAATCACAAATTAATTCTCTTTACCTTTCATAACAAATAACACTGAAACTTGTCAATTATTGCATATAACAGTGAAATCGTTGCATTGCTGCCTAGACATGACAAGATACGTTTAGCATCCTCTAGCGGGTAAAAAACAGCCTTTATGCTTAGCAGCGGACAGCAGCTACATGCTCTGTATAACAACAAAGTGCATATCTACAGGACAAACTTTGTTACAAACCTTGTTCCCTCATCAACCAGGTGCTAAGAAACTGCTTTCAACTCAGTATTGCACCTTAATAGCCGTTCTTTTTCCCATTCCCGTCCATTAACCATGGAGCACACCTTCTCTCTGTGCATTAGATCTCGCGCTTCGGCTATATAGTTTACGCCACTTGATTTACGGCACCTTGTCGCTCTGTGACTTTCAAAGTAAGAGCATCCGCTCCAACAATATAACAGTCGCTCTTAACTTTACCAACTACTTTACAGAATATTAACGTGGTCATTTACACCTCTCATTCATGAATGTGTTCTTCTAGTCAACCAAACAGAGCTAAAATACATTGTTTTACTGTTATTGTGCTCATGTTATGTTGTGTATTCATATATTTGTGTTTTAAAGACTTACTTGTCCATGAGAGGGATGCAGGTTAGCGACCAATTGAGGTGCGTCCTTAAACGCGCCAGCATGCTGTGATCGACATCTGTATGTTAGCGGTAGTCTAACGCTATTGGTTAGTGCTGACCGGCGCTCAGTTCACCCTATGAGACATGGGGCGGGCTTAGCAAAAAGAAAAAATGTATTTCCTACATTGTATCACAGTACATGATAAGACCATTACTTTTATGTATTTCTAAATAATCATACATAATTCCTGAAAGGAGAAAACACCAGGCAGCAGCTTTAAGTGCTGGTCCTGATCAGCAGAGGGCTTTCCAGTGTGAAGTTGGTAAAGTTTGTACCTAAACAGTCACTGAAACCCACTTTTAAATGAAAAGCCTAAAGTGTAAACAACTTAGTGTTACTTCAACATTAAATATTAACTTGCTTGCATTCTACGGCTTTTCCACTTGATGTCACTGAATCCACCTTTTTTTTATTCTTTTTATTTTACCAATCATGAATTTCTCACTTGTTTCTTGGTCTCAGGTATTTTGACCTTTAACCTATTTGGCATCCCGTTGGTGGGAGCAGATATCTGCGGCTTCAGTGAGGAACCGCAGGAGGAGCTGTGTGTCCGTTGGACCCAACTGGGAGCGTTCTATCCCTTCACTCGAAACCACAACACTGTTGGCATGAAGGTGAACTGATTACTAACATCTGCTCTCTGACAGATCAGAGCTAATAATGCACTTTTCTAATTTTATAATTAGATCTGCTAAATTTACATGTTTATTACTGGTTATTAAACACCTTGTATTGACGGACATTCAGATTTACAGAAAAGGAATAATAAAAGGGATGTTTTCATTAAGCCAGAGGCTACATGACACTTTTCTTAAGGATTTAATATGAAAGAAATATCCATCCATCCATTGTCTGAACCCGCTTTGTCCACGTAGGGTCAGGGGGCCAGTCCATCGCATGGCAGCACAGAGACACACAGGAAAAACTATCATGCACACATACACTCACAGTCACACACTCACAGTCACACACACACACACACACACACACACACACACACACACACACACACACACACACACACACTTACACCTAAGGACAATTTAGACAGAACAATCAACCTAACAGTCATGTTTTTGGACTGTGGGAGGAAGCTGGAGTACCCGGAGAGAACCATGAAAGAAATATTTTGTCTTCATTCTTTAAAAGTTTTCTGGATTATTATTATTTTTTTCAACAACTGGACCTTACAGCCTCAGGACCCAACAGCTTTCAGCCCTCTGGCCCGTGAAGCCATGAAACAAGCTCTGCTGCTCAGATACTCCCTCTTCCCGTTCCTCTACACCCTGTTTCATCACGCGCACCTACACGGACACACCGTTGCACGTCCACTGATGTTTGAGTGAGTAGAATGTTTATCATATGTGGATAGGTTAAAGGCGTTTTGACTTGATTTTGCTTCACTACCAGGTTTCCAGGAGATGTGAAAACCTACGGGATCGACAAACAGTTCCTGTGGGGAAGGAGCTTATTAGTGACTCCAGTGTTGGAGCCCGGGGTGGACTTTGTGGGAGGTTACTTCCCACCAGGTCTGTGGTTCGACTACTTCACGGTAAGACTTGACATCAACAAAATGAAAAAAAGCTTTAACAGTGTTGACATATTGTTTTTCCACCTCAGGGGGATTCTGTTCGCAGCAAAGGTGAAGAACTACGACTGGACGCGCCGCTAGATAAGATCAACCTGCATTTGCGTGAAGGTTCTATCACACCAACTCAGGTGATTTAAATGTTCTATCATTGTTTTATTTTTCACCTTTATACCCCCCCCACACACCATGTGATTAAATGCATCCTCAGACACTAGTAACAATAATATATAAACATCGCAATCATTTTGTTTGTTAATAAACTTCATGTCCTGTTTTGCTAAAATGACAGCAAATGATCTGAGCTGCTTGATATCTCCTTTGTGGTATTTAAACTTCTTATTTGTATCAATTTGAGCTTTTTAGAAGTTCATTTCTATATTTTCTGTTTTGTGTGAATAGGCGCCCAACCTGACCTTGTGGATAAGCAGCGGTCAGCCTCTTCATCTGGTCTCAGCTCTGTCTGATGATGGTTCAGCTTCTGGAGATCTGTTCTGGGATGACGGAGAGAGCCTGGACACCTACGAGACCAACCAGTACACCTACATCGTCTTCAGCGTCTCTCAGGTTCTCAGTAGGATTTCTCAAAAAACTTGTTTTGATTTGTTTGTTGATGTGTTAGAATTTTTAAAACTTCTTAGGATTTAGTCTGACGCTGATGTTTTCTTTTCAGTTAACTTACCTTCAGAATCCTCTGTGTTTAGTTTCACACTAGAACGTGTTTTATTGTATTTTCAGAAAGCGATGACCTCCCAGGTGCTCCATAGCAGCCAGGAGGCCTCATTCTTGTCTGTGGACTCGACGTCTTTCTACGGTGTCCCCGAGAAGCCGAGCAGAGTGCTGGTGAACACCCGTGAAGTCCCATTCACCTACAGAGACAACCAGGTGAAGATGCGTTTCATGTTACAGGTGCATTAAAGGTGTGGAACACTCATTTAATCAATACATTTGCGGTGGTCTCTAGTAGGAATTAATGCCTTGTAAGTCATACTCTGGGGAAAAAAGCTCCAGTACACCAGTTTAACTCAACATCAGAGGAGAGCTTCAGACGGTAGGATTTGGAGTCTTATTTCCTGTTATTTGGACATCTCGCCTTGGATTTGATAACAGCAATGCAACTCTACCACTGACTCAATTTACTTTGCAACATTGATGATTTATCTCCACAAACAACACAAGCCTGGAGGAGATCTGCTGTGTGGTGGAGGTGCTAATGCTAAAGGTTAGCATCTAGCTGAGACGTTCTCTGCTGTTTCCAGGATGCTAAACCAATAACAGCTTTTCCCGTCACGAGTAAGTCGCCATAATTTGAGTCTGGATATGAAGCAAAAGAGTAAGTAACAAAACTGCAGTTCCACCCTCATCCACTAGGGGCTGGTGTCAGAAGCGAGCAAATCCTCATTGACTCCCATGTTAAAAATACCAATTTCACAGCAGAAATAAACATGTTTACAGCCTGGTACCAAAACATGTTTTTGGTTTAAATGATCTAGTTTACACTCATGACAACTCTGAGGGGGGTGAATTTTTTTCTCACTCTTCTGTTTAAGTGTATTAAAAGCCTAAAATTTTGTATAATTAATGAGCATCAGACCCACGTGACCACAGAGCTAGCTCCGGCGAAAGGCCTCAGTAGAGCCTCGGCCTCGCCTGAAAATTGTTCTGTCATTTCAATCTCTCAGCTAAAGCCTGTTTCATGCTTCTCCATCAGCTCCGCAAGGGACAGACACGCACGGATTGATGGAAGCGTTTTGCCCTCATACTTCTCCGTCTCCTGGAGAGTGTTGCAAAGCAATTGCCCGGCAGGACAACAGAGGGTGTAGCGCTGTTCTGTGGTATCCTGTCATGTATCGGTCCAAGATGGTGTGTTTATATTGTGTTTTTTGTGTATATAAGAGACTTTTTAACACGGACAAATTTGTCTCTCATTCTCCCACCTCTTCATGCGTTCCCCGCCTCTAAACCCACGTTTCCTGTCATTTCCGTCCAGAAATAAAACGCTTGCTGCGCATCTTTTCACTCCTCCAGTCACGGGGAATTAAACGTTCATATTTTTAGAGTTTTTTCACGAGGTATTTTTCAAGCTTCTCCGTGTCTGCCGCTAGTTATCCTCGGCTCTCTTTATGTTTTTGAGGGCGCAATGGCGGCGGCGTAGACGACAGCGGCGTCCTGACCAATCACAAGCTTGCGTTGTCCGTCTCAACTGACGGATGTTTAGAAAAGAGAGCTCGACTCCGTCCGTCCTTGCGGAGCTCTCCAGCAGGCACGCAAGGACGGATAATGGCGTTGTGTGTCTCCGCACTGACGCAGACGGAGAAGCATGAATCAGGCTTTAGACCATTAGTTGTAGCGTTTGTGTATTCTTTTTTGGATATTATTTGTGCAATTGTTAGACAAAATGACTTGCTGTGGCATTAATTGCACTAATAGAGCGTCCAAGGAGTCTCCACTTCATTTTTTTCTGTAAGTAAAATTATATTCATGAATTTTAGGTTACTGCTGAGCTTAGATTTTAACATGTACTGTTTAACCATGAAATTTAAATGTAATAGGGTAAAACCCAGTGCATTTAACATAATGCTGCACTTTAGAAAATGGGTTGAAATATAACATGTTGGTGGAGCTGGGTTCCTGCTATTGGTATGGTCTCCCTCACCCCAGCGGCAGCTCTGTGCATCTCTGACTGCAGCTGCACCTGTCTGCTGCGCGCGCTGCCGGCTTGTGGAGCTCTCAGGAAACCTCTGTGTTCCACCCGGTTCTCCCCAGCGGTCAGCCCGGCGTAGCTCTGACTTAGAAGCCCCGGTGTTGTGCACAGTTAACTCCGGTTGTAGCTAGGTAGCTACCTCCGTTAGCTTAGCTCCCACCTCCGCGTTAGCTTTGGGTTAGCTTGTAGCTACATTGCTTCAGTTTGACGGGTGTCATCATTTGATCCCAGCCTTACAGCCCCACCCTCAGCTCCACCTCTTTCCCCTTTTATGGAATTGTCTGGGCTTGACGGAACCTGTTGACTCGGTCAAAATGGCGGTGGTGGCCACGTCCCATTTGGCACAAAAACTTATAATTGGAGCCTGTGGACATGAATTGTCCAGTATTTATGTCGATGGTCACGAGCCAAGATGTGGGAGTCCATGAATGTTAAGTGACAGTGTGAGGTAGATCTGTCAGGCTCTGAAAAAGCTGTTTTTTCAGTGTTCCACACCTTAAGAAACATTTTTCACACAGAAATGATAATATTCTGTGATTTAAAAAAATTATTTATAATTTTTTTTATTTGTAAAAGAGCATCTAATAATCCTTCAAAGCAGCACTTGTGGTAACTCCAAACCTAAATCAACTCTAGGGTGGTTTAAAGGCTTGTCGCTTCCAGATAAAGATTAGATCTGATATTAAATATTTTATCTGACATTGTTGCTTTTTCCTCTCTGCAGGTATTGACCGTCACAGGTCTGGGTCTCAGCCTCGCTCAGAACTTCACCATCAGCTGGATGTAATTTTATTTAATGTTGTAGTAACATGCTGACACACACAGGTGGCGCCACGTGAGCATTTGTGCAAAACACTGGTAGATTTTAAGTGATTGTGACACTTCTTAGCTGATTTCCACCCTCAGAGACCATTGTTGCACTTTGCTGTCTGGTTGAAATCAGCTCAACAAGCTCAAGAGGAAAAACCACTGGAGGTCAAACATAACAAGCCTATCTTTAGTATGATAGATTGGAGTTTTAGACTTTTTAAAACTCTGGATCAACTATTAAAATGCCGCTATAGGTGTCACTGTCCTTGATTTGAACTGGTTTTTGTTTCCAATCATGTCTGAAATCAAAGCCAAAACTAAATGTTATTGTTGGAAGTGAAAGTGGAGGTATTTAGCAGCACGCTGGGTCATGTTTGAGTTGACGCTTTACATCTTTAAAGAGCAAGTCACCCCCTACCAGAGTATTACTCCACCCCCATTTCGTTTGAAAAATGCAACAAATGCTGTTGCTTGGCAGACCGAGGGGGCAGAGTCACTAACAAATACACAAATACAGGCTCACAATGGCACTGTGACATCATAATGTACCAGCTAACATCATAGCATACCTCTTAGCCAATAGCGGTGGCAGATTTAAATTCAAATACAGTGCAGAATTATTCCCTGACGACAGTGCAACACTGCCATTTTAGGCAGAATATTTAAATTTTAACTAAGATGCACTGAAATGCCAAATTATTGAATACACCCATCTGCAGCACAAGTAGACACTCGTTTATATAGTTTATCAGCAGAAAAAGGTTGATTTGGGGGTGACTTGCTCTTTAGGGATTCTGCTCACCTAAACTCTGCATAATTACCACATAGGAATTTTATTGTCTTCCATGACAAAATTTTTAAAAGCTCATCAACAGAAAGATAATGTGCAATTAACAATAAATGTGACAAATCTGAATGTAGCTCCTGAGTTTGAGTTGTTTACGTTTTATTTGCCGCTGCGGTATTTCTGAGGGGCCTTATGAATGTGTCGTTGCACATCTAACTTGCGAGCTTTAATTATTCAGCTTCGTGGTCATCATTCTGTTTAATTTCTGTTTCTGCAACTTTCCTTAGGAAAAACCACTTATTATTTATTGTTTGTAGAGGTTTCAAAATCTGCAGTATTAGTTCATCTTTGCATCGTCGCTCAGAGGTTTGCTTTCACGGTTCTGTTTGTTTGAAGTCGTGTCTGTTATTAGGATGTTTTTAAATGTTGGTGTAATAGAATATAAATGTAATTTTTGCTGATGATTTGAGTTTACCAAAATATTCAATTTTAATTCTGCTGTGTTTGATCAACTGATTTATAATAAAAGTATTTTAATTATTCCAGCAGTATTTCTGACATTCTTTTCCCTCAGAGCACAAGATCATCTGGAATATTCTTGACATTTTTCCATTCCCAAATATGGGTTTAGTGTTAGTGTCACTGTTATCAGGAATGTTCTCTCTCTCTCTCTCTCTCTCTCTCTCTCTCTCTCTCTCTCTCTCTCTCTCTCTCTCTCTCTCTCTCTCTCTCTCTCTCTCTCTCTCTCTCTCTCTTTTTCTCTTTCTCTTTCTCTCTCTCTCTCTCTCTCGCCCCTAGTTTAAATTCCTATGTCCTGTCAACCTCAAAGAAAGCTGTTAACTTTTCTGTCTCCCTTTCCTTTGTTCTGTGTTGCCTTTTTGGTCTCAGGAGTTTTGGGGTGAAGAGAAAAGCCTCAGGATGCTTCCAGGAGGTGAAAAGTCTTGTCTTGTTTTCCTCCTCTGAAGACAAACTTTTGGTAAATTGCCGGACTGATAACCTGGACCTGCAGCAGACATGTTTTTATTGGCTGTGTCCTGTGTGTGAACGTTCTCAGGATAACAGCTTCCAGATGGAGGTTTGGAGAGGGCACATACATCACTCAGTGAGGGGGAAGGAGAGAGAGAAGGGGAGAGCTGAGGGGGTCTGTCAAAAGCATTGTGCTCTGCTGACGAGAACATTTCCTGTCTGGATTTGGGAGGATTAAGTGTGTGTGTGTGTGTGTGTGTGTGTGTGTGTGTGTGTGTTTGGGGGGATGTTTGTTAAGTCAGCATGTGGAAAGAAGCGCAAACTGCTGGACGTTTTAGGAGATTCTTGGCGTGTTTGATGTGGCTGATCAGGCTTGTAATGTGCATGAAGGGACCTCATCTTCAAAAGGCCTAAAGCATTTCTGAAGAGCACATATAGTATCATTTCAGCTGGGTTTTATTAGGAGGTTGTGTATTGCTCTAAATGGAGTTATTAATTCAAAATAATGAAAAATGTCCGATCTGATTTTAAGAGCATTTATTCATTGTGACTGATTGTGTTTGGGCCACTGCTGAGTTCTGGGAGTCATAAAAAGCTAAAAGCAGCTTCCCTGTTCTGTTCACTCTCATTAAACTAATTCTATCTTCAGACACTTCTGCTCCAACACAATGAACCTTTTAAAGCTTTTCCTGTCTCCTGTTTTATTTTTGGTTAAACGACCATTTTAAACTTCAATTCACTCATGCAGACCATTTAGGATGAGATTTATACGCCGCTTAGCCAAAAATAGTCGTCAATGAAAAGGGTCACACTCGCTGGACTGCCTTTAGCTTTGATTACAGCACACATTTGCTGTGGCATTGTTTTGATAAGCTTCTGCAACGTCACCAGATTTATTTCCATCCAGTGTTGCATTCATGTCTCACCAAGATCTTGCATGATGATGGTAGAGTCTGACCGCTGCACAAAACCTTCTCCAGCACATCCCAAAGATTCTCAATGGGGTTAAGGTCTGGACTCTGCGGTGGCCAATCCATGTGTGAAAATGATGTCTCATGCTCCCTGAACCACTCTTTCACTATCTGAGCCCGATGGATCCTGGCATTGTCATCTTGGAATATGCCCGTGTCATCAGGGAAGATGGAATAACCTGGTCATTCAGTATATTCAGGTAGTCAGCTGACCTCATTCTTGGAGGACATTCTGTTGCTGAACCTAGACCCGACCACCTGCAGCAACTTCAGATCATAGCCCTGCCCCCACAGGATTGTACAGTAGGCTCTAGGCATGATGGGTGCATCACTTCATCTGCCTCTCTTCTTACCCTGATGCACCATCACTCTGGAACAGGGTTCATCTGGACTCATCAGACCAGTTTTTAATAACGCCTTGGGCAGTTCTTAACCCAGTTTTAGTCATTTCTAGAATCTCCTTAGATGTTTTCTCTGCTTGATGCTTGCCAATGATCTGACCTTTCTCAAACAGACTAACATCTTTTCCACGACCACCAGATGTGTCTTTTCAAATGGATGTTTAAGAAATGAGGAGCAACTCATTGCAGCAGTTGGGGTTAAATAACTTGTTGCAGCTGAAAGATAATCACCCATGCAGTAATTATCCAATAGGAGGCTCCTACCTATTAGCTCCGTTAAATCCAGGTGGCTGGGCAGCGTATAATAATTCAGTGAACAAACAAATTAATAATAGATCTGCACAACAACACTTCATTTGACTTGTTTAAATGAAATGTTGGTTTATTGGAACAAATGTCAACTTTAAGGGCATTATAATTAAATAAAATCACAGAAATCCTCATTACAGTTTAATATCTCTCTATTGTCTCAGTTCTCCAAAATAACAGAGAAAATATTTGTAAGCAGATTGGATAATTTCATTGAAAAAAATAATCTACTAAGTGAGCATCAGTATGGATTCAGAACAAAAAGATCAACGGCAATGGCAACAATTAGCATGGTAGAAGAAATAGCTAAAGCGATTAATACTAAAAATAATACAATAGGAATTTATTTAGATCTTAAGAAAGCCTTTGATACAATAGATCACAATATCCTGCTAACCAAATTATATAAATATGGCTAAGAGGAACAGCATATAACTGGTCAAAAAGCTACTTAACAGGAAGACAATAATTCACAGAAATCCAAAATGTAAAATCACCAGCAAAACAAGTGTACTGTGGGGTACCTCAAGGTTCTGTGTTAGGACCCAAGTTATTCACACTTTACAGAAATGACATCAATAAAGTAACCAATCAATTCAACTACATTCTCTTTGCAGATGATACCAATATGTATATCACAGGGAAAGATGGAACAACTATTGAATATGGTTGGAAGTGAACTAAAAATACTAAAGACCTGGTTTGACTGTGACAAATTATCATTAAATCTAAGTAAAACTAAATACATTATATTTGGAAAACAAAAACAAAACGATCTTCCTAAATTAATAATAAATGGGGTAGAAATAGAAAGAGTAAGTGAAATTAAATTCTTGGGTGTCACATTACACCAAAGGCTGAACTGGAAGCAGCACATAGAAAATGTTAAAACTAAGATGTCTAAAATTATTGCAGTGTTAAATAAATCTAAACATATTCTAAATGGAAAATCGTTATTACTCTTATACCAATCATTAGTACTTCCTCATATGATGTACTGTCTGGAGGTCTGGGGAAACACTTACAAATCTCACATAAAACCCATAGTTTTACTACAGAAAAGAGCAATAAGAGTAATTACCAACTCTGATTACCATGCACCAACGTACCCCCTGTTTATAAAACTAAAAATACTTACATTTACAGACCTGGTCAAACTACAAACAGCACAAGTACAAAATAAAATATTTCCAGATTGTATTTATAGAGATTGTATTCCGAGGATATTCCAGGTCAAAGAAACTCAGTATGAACTAGGGAGAAGGACAATTTGTCAGAGAGAAAGTAAGAACAAATGTTAGAAGTCAAATTATGGAATAACTTGGACACTGGAATCAGGGCATGTAAAACTCATTAAAAAAATGTACGTCAAGAAGATGATGTCATACTACCATAATGACATATGTGAGCTAGTGTATCTGATAGATGTGAATGAAAATGTAATGTTCTTGCACAAGTTGTAGTATTTAAATCTCTGTTTTGATCATTATCATACATTGACTTATTAAGATGACTAGTTTTGTATAGTTTTGTCTTTAGTTCTGGGTATTTTTCCTCTTGCTGAATTATGGTTGTTATTGCTCAATATATTTCAATTATTATTATAATTATTATTTTTATCTCACTCTCATTTTTATTATTACATTACTTTTATCTTATTATCATTTCTTTCTTTTTTTTTTTTGAGAAGTAATGTGACTGAGTAAATAGGGTAGGCATAAAAAGCAAGGCTTCAGCCTACACCTGTTTGGTTACTATAATTGAGATTCTGTATTACTGTGTTCTTTCTTTTCCTTTTAAATGACCAAAACAAATAAATAAAATAAAATAAATATGTCAAAAAATTGCAAGAATATTTGCAGTTACCAGCATTAAACCACAAAATAAAATTAATATTTACAACTCTATAAAGAAATCTTGCTGTAGAACTGATGGCCTGGTGCAGCAGGATCCATTTTAATGCCTCATCATCATCATCATCATCATCATGAACATACCTGCTGCACTGAATTGTGGGTGAGTGGTTTCCTCAGCAGGGAAACAGATGATTGCTCCAAATACGATCAGATTCCATCAAATATTTACATAGTTGTTTTATGCACAATGAATGTGTAAGTTAACTATAAGGTTTAACATTCTGCATGGTGGAGCGCAGCAGCGGTTATCACGTCATCTAATTGAAAGCCAGTTGCCGGTTTGAATCTCAGCCAGGGTCTTCTGTGCGAAGTTCCTGTTTCTGCAGCTGCTCTGGTTTTCTTCAACGATCCAGCAAGTCTAAACTATTCGCTCCTGAGCGTCTCTGTGTGATGGATAGGAGACCTGTTCAGCTTCTAATAATCCCAAACACAAATAGAAAGTATACAAATAAGTGTGTGATGGGAAAATTAATATCTGAATGCAAATGTTGACAAGTACTTCTCCATGCCAACAATCATACACATTCTTCTGCCATTAGCTAAACCTTCTAGCTTTTCCTTTCATGCTTATGTTCATTTATTCTTAATAATGAACACAAACTTCATGCATTCACATCGGCTCTACACAGAAGCAGAGTTCAGTTTAGATTTCCTGTCAATTTCAATGGAACGTCAGATTCCCATAATGCTTGGCAGCTTTTATTTTTTCCTGATGATCTATGTTGTCTCAGTTTAACTTGTCCTACCAAATATTTTCCATCTGGCAGATGGTCACGTTAAGTAAACTAACCAGTCATGACCATCTGTTGAGGAGAAATGGGATGATTCAACACATATGAGTGACTAATAGAAGCATGTCCAAAATTTAATCATTTGTATAGCTAATAGTTTCCTAACAGGTTTCACACAAAAACATGTTATAAACTGAGTATTTATCAATCTATGCACTATTTAAACACAATAAAATCCTTATATTTTAAGTACCAGCTTTATAGAACCAATAAATAAATAATAATAAAAAATTTTAAATATACGAAAACAAAAATGACACCCAAAAATATAAAATATTGAAATCAAATGAAAATGAAAATAGAATTATGAATGAACATGTTAATGGCCAAAGAAGGTAAACATGTTTTAAAAGCCTTGGTAGAGGTAGAACTGTTCTGCAGTTTGAGCATCATGACAAACAAAAATATGATGGAACATGGAACCTCAATAAGAGATTTGGCACTAGAATGAGATCAGAGGAGTTCAGATGGATCAGAACATTCAAAACTTTAAAAACTAAAATAAAGCAAAATCTGACATTCCTAAAGCATACAAAACTACTCCACCCACAACACTTGCAATGTTCGTAATGATCCACAACAGATGATTACGTCAGATAACAACGAGGATGTCCTAATACAGATGACTGTGATCTCATAGCCTCAATCAGCAGCAGTAACATCACCATTTTAATTTACATACAACATTAAAAAGAGAACTACATGTGATGGATGTGGAAGCAAACACATGTCAGCAGGTTTGAATCACTAAAACAATGTGTTGATGTCACCCTGCTGCCTTCATGAACAGAGCAGGTGTCAGGTGGCTCAGAGAACAGAAACCACCTCCCTTTCTTCAGTGCACCTAGCTGAACAGGACTGGACAAGCTGGCTAACTGAGCCACACCCAGGTAACTGTTTTAAGTTAGTCGCTGTCCTAAAAGAGCTGCATGTTTCTCACAATGGCTGGTGTGTATGCTGTAACACACAGGAATTGGTCAAATCTCCTTGCAGACTATTGTTCCAGAGATCTGAGTGATTAAATTACCAGTAAGAATCAGTATTATTTATGTATTTAACTGTTATTTAACCGGATGAGTTGACTGAGAAGCCATTCTCATTTACAACAACGATCTGGTCAAGAGACAGCTGCAACAAAGACATGCTTTGCACCAAAGAACAGACATATGAGATAAGATAAAAACAAAAAAGATAAAAATAAGATAAAAACAGTTAGACACAAAAGACATAAAGGTTTGTTCTTGCATACAGTATGTGCATGCAATCAAAACAGAGTTAAAGCAATCTTTAAGCACTCAGAAGCAGGCACAATGATCAGAAACTACTGATCGTAATGAATTGTTGAAGGTAAATACTGGGACGTAGGTTGGGAGCTTTAGTGATTTTTGCAGCTCATTCCAGTCTCTGAGAGCAGATGAGTGGCCAAAGGAGGTGTGAGCTTTGGCAATGTTAGTGCAAAAGGACTCATCTTTTAGGTCTTTGGCAGTGTGCAGTGTCCTGCCACTAGGGGGCAGTAAAAACATAAATTTCACTGTATTTTTACACCATATCGTCCCGACTGTCGCTAGTTTAAATGCACTAAATGCACTTTAAACCCGATTTTTATAGTTATATGTTACGAAGCCGCCAATGGTTTTCAACAACTGGATGTCATTTAATTCATTTTCCACAATGTTTTGATGGATATTTCCAAAGATTTATGGTAAAAAACTACACATTGTCTCTTTAAACACCAGATGGTTGTTTTCAAACATGTGAGATAAAGTGTTGCTAACGTTACCGTTTCTGAAAGTCTATGTTTTGATGGATAAAGCATACAAGAAGTTAAAAAGAACCAAGATCAATAGAAAAGTTAACACTGCAGCAAGTGGCTTATATTATAGTATCCCCTAGCAGCTCTTTATGGTCGTGTCTCCCAGTCAATGACAGCAAAACTAAAGTGAAGCACGAAACACATATCAGCAAACTGCCTCAATGACTGCTGACCAGTTGTCCCTTCTGTAGAGACATTAATCAGCACGCAGGCGCTCTGATAGGTGGAGACCAAGAGAAGCTTTGTTTCCACATCCCGCTCTCATGGCTCACAGGCGGAGACTGGGGGAACAAATCCTGTTGAATCTACTCTCAAACTTGACAGGTGTGTCACATTAAATGACATGCTACCACAAAAAGTTATTGCATCAATTTTGTACTGGAAGTGCAGGTTTTCATGTGAAATGTACACGTTTATTTATTTTTATTGTAAAGCTGCAAGACATAAAAATGAATACAACTTTTCACTTTTTCAAGGTTTTTATTAGTTCGTTTTAAATTAAAAGTTGGTGTTTTCATGATTCTTATCCACCTTACCCATATTTCTATACAATCACCATTAGAAGATGGAGAGCTGTGGACGCTGGTCTCTGAAATCCTCTCTACGGCCCTGGCAGCCTGTGCCGAGCCTGCTGCTCCTTAGCTCCGCCCACCCGCGTCAGCCTCGACCTTTCACAGGTGTCAACATTTAATTTCTTTCCTGTACATCAACTCAAGTGGGTGATTCCCGCAGACGCGCTCTTGCTTCCTGCATCCAGCGCGCGCACGAGCTGCTGTGGAAAGTTTTTGAAGTTTGGGAAAGAAGAAGAAGAAGAAGAGGCGGATCGGATCGATCCGGATTCGGGCTCCGGACGGGATGGCGGCTGTGAAGGCTCTCCAGCAATGGTGCCGGGTCCAGTGTCAGGGCTACCGGGATGTTTCCGTCACCAACATGACCACGTCCTTCAGGGACGGCTTGGCCTTCTGCGCCCTCATCCACAAACACAGACCAGATCTCATGTAAGTAGCCCGGAAGGGTCCGTCCAAATCTCAGTCTGTTCGTTCTGGTTTCTGGCTAAAAGATCAAAACTTCAATCGGGTTAAATCCTTGAGGCAGAGGACTCACTGGAGCTCCGAGTCTGAAGGGACCAGACCGGATCCACTCATCAGTGACTGTCAAAGATCAACAACCACATTTTGCTCTTCCAGGAAGCATCTGATCAGTGATCAGAGTGGGTTGTGATGGTGTTCAGTCAGCACAACTGATAAAACAGCTGTTTTAAAGTCCCTGTAACTGATAAAACCTTCAGGCTGTGTTTAATTTGTGACATAATCAAAATTTCTAAGAGACTTTGTAAATCAAGTCAAACTATATATATATATATTTACTTAAAACAAATAGAAAATATTTTTATATTTGTGTCAGATAGTCTGATAGTTTGTAAAAATTATTTACCAGTTCATACAAAGTTGTCTTCTATACATTGACACAACATGGCCTCATCCCTTGAGTTGGGCATAATTTTAATGGTTAGCTGGGTCTAACTTGATTGTTTTAACAATAAACAAAAAGCGAGCTCAGCTAAACGGGTCAGGAATGTGAGTGACCGTATTGGAAATGAGAGAAACAAACTAGAAAGAATCTCTCTGGAGGAAGCGATCTGATAATCTTTGATACAAGAAACCACCAAACGTTTTCCATCAGCTGTAAAAAAAAAAAGGATTTGGCTCACGTTAAACCTTAATCAAACCCTACTGCCAGCCTTTGTCGTTCCAGTTAGCACAGCAATAAACCACTTCCTGTTCACTCTAGTGAGCATCCATGCAGAATATTTCACTTTAGATGTGCTGCTGAAATCCTAAACACAAAACATTTCCTGGAGCGGCTCCATGTTTACGTCCTGGCGTTGCTACAGGCGCAGTTTTGTCTTGCTTTCAGTTTTCCAGATCAGCCACACAGCTGATTCATCTCACTGTTGACGTGTTGAAACCACGTATGACTAAACGACACGTGTGGGCTCATGTTCTGCTTTTAAATCCATGATCATGCGTGTGTTACTCACGTTCTGTGTTCTGTTGCAGCAACTTTGATTCTCTGAGGAAGGAGGATGTCTACGAGAACAACAAACTGGTGAGAGTTTTGTTGTTGCTGCATTCCTGTCACTTTCCCTCTGCATGTGGAAGCACAGCAGTGGGAAAGTAACGGAGGGCTGCAAAGGATTGTGGGACGAAACGACCTCTTTCACAAAGGATGGTGCATTTTGCATGTTAAAGGAGATAATGGAGGCATTGTAAAGCTTCATGCCTCATTAGAATAATTCATAAAGCTTCTTTTATGCTTTTGAGACTCAAGCAGGACACTTCCTCAACAACTCAAAAAAAAACACAAGTGGAAAAATATCCATTTTCATTTAATTTGGTCCAAAACTTTATAGTTTACCAGTTAATAAGTTAATTCTCTAGAATATAATAGAATAGAATGCCTTTATTGTCATTATACAGGTGTAAAGTGAGATACAGAGCATCTCCTACTCAGCGTAAAACAAACATACTTGGGGGGGGGGGGGGGGGGGTGTACAGTTCTGCAGCGCTATGTTCATATGGACAGTAATGTTATGTATATACAATTATTGCACATGGAATTTGGTATCAATAGATAGTGGTGGTCAATGGAGGAAGTGGGAAGTGGGGGGCTGTGTTATCGGTGCATGTGTGAGTTCAGGGTGGTTTTTGCTTTGAGGAAGAAACTGTTTTTGAGTCTGTGGGTTTTTGTATTAATGCACCTGTAGCGCTTCCCTGAGGGAAGCAGTCTGAACATGTTGAAGCCAGGGTGGGAGCTGTCCTTGATGATGTTTGCTGCACTACTGAGGCAGCGGGAGGAATAACTGTCCATCATGGAGGGGAGAGGACAGCCGATGATCTTCTGTGCTGTCTTTACCACACTCTGAAGCCTCACTCTATCCCCCTTGGTGCAGCTGCCGTACCATACCGTGATGCAGTAGGTTAGCAGGCTCTCGATGGACGAGCGGTAGAAGGTCAGCAGCAGGTCGGAGTTAACAAACTTACATTCGGCAATTAATTTAAATATGCTCTGTCTTTTGCACCTCTTTTTAAAATTATTATTATTATTATTATTATATTTATTGGTCAAACTGTAGCTTACCTTTAAACAATTCTATGTTTTGTAAAAATGTTCTCCCTCATCGGGTTAAAAATGTGTGTGCAGCTAAAATAGCATCAACATTCTGGTTTGGCCTGATGGTCCTGCTCAGTTTGGGAGATTTCGGCTTCATTTATCTTTCTGGTTCTTCCTTTTGAAATATTCCATTAATTTTATAAAGTTTTAAACTTTTTACTGAAGATCAAATTGGAGCTGATCTGCTTTTCTAAACATTAACAGAAATGATTAAAGTAAATTGATTTGATGGATTTATAGATGAAATTCAACTAAACTACATGAACGAGTCAATTTTGTTGAACTGCAATAATAATTCTGTTATGTTCATGTTCACTTTTGTCACATGAAGAGTTGTTGAAACAAACCTGGATACAGATGGAATCAAATAAATGGAAAATATTTTCAGCATTTTTTAATTACCTAAAAGTATTGTTTCGATTCCCGGTGGAGTGTTTATAAAGGTAAACGGGGACAGTTTGGTGGAAACGAATGTTTTGTTCAGAATTGAGGAATAGTAATTGTCTTTTGATTCATCTAAATGCATTTAAACATGATTTCTGTAAAGCTAGCAACCCAGAAAAGTGGACTATACTGATTTAATGAAGAAGAACAGATAATGAGCTTATTGCCACAAACATCATGAGCTAAACAACTGGAGGCATTTCTGCCATGTTTCCACCATTAAAACTGAGTCTAATTAGAATTAGTGATGTTTTATTAAATGTTAAATGATGATGCAGCCTGTGGGTTTCTGCCCCACAGTTTAATTAAAGCTTCTAACATTTCCTTCAGTTGTAATAATCACATGTAAAGTCTTTAAACTGTTGGTAGAAAACAAAAACCGCAACTAATTTATTAAGATTTTAAATTAAATTCATTTTAATTTGATTGCATTTAAGTTGTATTGGTGTGAATGGATATTTAATCAATCTATAACTCATTTGTTTATTAAAAATCTAATTTACAGCTGAAAGTTGCTTGTTGCAGAAGTAGCATGCTGGGTCACACAAGCTATTACTGAACACACACTGGTTCACTGTGGCAGCGTTGCTGCCTGCTTTCATTTATTTTTATTTTTTTTATTATCTTTATTTCATTCAATAAAAAAAAATAACACAACAGATACTAAACAATATTCATAAAAACACAATATATTTGAATGAAAGGGAACAGATTGAAGAAAAATCTTATTATTTCTGCCCCCTTTTTAAACTTAAATATCAATTTATATTTGTGCAGTCCCTCACCAGTTCTTTCAGTCCCGTAACTGTTCACATTTGTTAATTATTATGTCCACATCAATTGTCCGTTGTCATATCCACTCATCACACGTGATTTAATGTGTAGACTGAACACTTTTAGAGTTCTTGACTCTTTCCATTCTCTGTCCAGGCAATTCCACAACTTCACACCATTCACAGATATGCTCATTTCCTTCATTCTTGTTCTAAATCTAGGTTTTTTTGAAGATTTCAAATCCGCTCAACGAATAACTGCTATCTTAGAGGTTTAGTGTTGAACTCTCAGATTCTGATAATAGATGAGGAGGAATAAACATGGGAAACTTCTGCTTAGGATGAAGAAAGAAATCAAAAGCAACTGAAAGTTAATGTGAGACAAGCAGCCAGGTTATTTATTGTCAGAACTTTCTAGAGCAGAGTTTTATGGCTCTGATTACTTATCAAGTTATGAAGGTGGTGATCGTTGGCCTGCCTCAGCTTGCTTGTGTTTTCCTTTCTGTTTTACGGCTTCAGTGGAACTGGAGAATGTGTTTTTAACACTGGAGATGCCTATCTGCAGCTCATTACTCACCTTTGCTTTGTAATTTTCATCTTTGATACCAGTGAAAATGAATTAACTCTCTTTTGATTCTCAGTAAGAGATAAAATGGTTGCATTCACACTAAATGTGGCTGTAAAACACGTTTTTATTTGATTTTATTGTCTTTTTTTTCTTCCTCCAGGCCTTCAGTGTTGCAGAAGGAGAACTGGGGATTCCAGCTCTGCTGGATGCAGAAGACATGGTGGCGCTAAAGGTTCCTGACCGACTCAGTATCCTCACGTACGTCTCCCAGTACTACAACTACTTCCATGGGCGCTCACCCAGTGAGTATCTGACCGTGTGTCTGGCACTGCTTTAGTCCACCTCCCCTCGTGTCAGCTCTGGTTGTGTTTGCACACACAGTTGGTGGTATGGGAGGTATTAAACGTCCAGCTGAGGACCCCACTAATGAACCACTTGGGAGGGGGAAGCAGCCAGTGGCGTCTAAGGTGTTTCCTGCCTCTAAACCCACCAGAGAGAACAGTCCTCCCCCTTCTGCCAACATCGCCAGACCCTCTTCTTCACCAAAACGCATCAGAACTTCAAGACAGGTAAAATTAGCTGCACGCACATTTGAATTACATTCAAATGACTGAAATGACGAAGTCTTTGTCTAAAAATAGAAAAAAACTCCCTTCATGAGTCATAACATAGAGCTCCATAATGGCTTTTCTCGTCCTGCTCCATTTCAGGAAGTTGAGAAACCCAACCAGACGGGCACCTTGAGTAACAAATGCACGTCATGTAACGGTCATGTCCACCTGGTGCAGCGACATCTGGTGGATGGGAAGCTGTATCACAGGAACTGTGCAAAGTATGGACAATCACATTACTGTTTATGTTTGAAAATAGAAACTTGATTTGGGAATAGATTAAATGGTGATTAATGAACTTGTAGCTTCACATTTGTTCATAAATGACGGTAGCTATCTCTTTTCCAGGTTCCTCATCTGTAATTTACGCAGATTTTATTGCTTAAAGGTGTGGATCATTGAAAACCCATTTTTAAATGATTATTTCTGATTACAACCAGTCACTGTGAATTTTTCATGCAGGGTGAACATGAAAATAGTCTCCTACACCTATCTCCTGCGTTAGCTTCTGATAGACGGTGAAACTCTAGGATTTGAAAAGCCTGACAGATCTACGTCACACTGTCATGGACTCACCCATCTTAACTCACGACGGGAAGGCTGTTGTTTTAGTGTCCAGGAGTCAGCAGAGAACGTCCCGACTAGTAGAAACTAACCGTTAGCATTAGCAATGCCACCACACAGCAGAAGCTCCTTCAGGCTTGTATTTGTGGAGGTAAAACATCAGCGTTACAAGTCAGTGGTACAGTCATGTTGCTGTTATCCCTTCCAAAGTGAGATGTCCAAATATCAGGAAATAAAGACTCTAAAACCTGCTGTCTGAAACTCGGCTGTGATGTGGGTCACTACTAGTTCCTGGAAATGGTGCACCAGTATCCCCCCTCCCTGAAGATAAGACTGAGATCCTCATCTGTGCCCCAGACAAGCTGGTTCCCAAAGTCAGAGACTCTCTTGGTCAGCTTGCTTCTCACACCAAACCTTCTGTCAGGAATCTTGGCGTGACCTTTGACCCAGCTCTCACCCTGGATTCTCATGTCAGTTCTCTTGTTTGCTCTTCCTTCTTCCATCTCAGGAACATTGCTAAGCTGAGTCCCATTCTGTCCCACTCTGAACTTGAGACAGTTCTCCACACCTTCATCTCCTCACGCTTAGACTACTGTAACTCTCTTTTCACGTGTCTGAGCAGAACCTCCCTGAACCGTCTACAGGTGGTTCAGAACACCTGTGCTCGGCTTCTGACCAAGTCCTCCAAACACACCCACATCACCCCGCTTCTCCTCCAGCTTCACTGGCTGCCAGTCAACTTCAGGGTTCATTTCAAGATCCTGGTTCTGGTCTATAGGGCCTTACATGGACAAGCACCATCTTACATTGGTGATCTTCTTAGTCCCTACACCCCCAGCAGGTCCCTGAGGTCCAGTGATCAAAGCCTACTGGTTGTGCAGCACCAGGCTAAAGACCAAAGGTGACAGATCATTTGCTGCTGTGGCCCCCGGACTCTGGAACTCTCTCCCCCTGAGCCTGAGATCAGTGGACTCAGTGGTCTCCTTTAAAAAGCAGCTGAAGACTCACTTGTTCAAGCTGGCTTTTGTATGACCTTCTTCACCACTCTCTCTTTATTCTGCTCTCCCCACCTATTCCACCTTCCTCAGGATCCACTGATTTCCCTCTTTCGTGTTCACTTTCTCTTTCTCAACATTTTTTTTAATCACAATTGTCTATTTTTGCTCATTTTAAATATATTTTTAACCATTTTCTAAATGCTTTTTTTATATTTTTACATTTTTTGTTTTTGTGAAGCGCCTCGTGATTTTTATCTTGAGAGGCGCTATAGAAATGATATTTTCTTCTTCTTCTCCCCCGAAAACGACTTCCACAGCATTCATTCCTATTGGGGACCGCTGCAAATATATTGATTAAACAAGTAAACCACACCTTGGACAGTTCATTGCAGTTGGATTAATGTTGCAACAGCATCCATGAACATGTTTCTAATGTTCTCTGTTGTATATTTCAGATTGTTAACAAACACCAGCTCAACAATCTGGAATTCACCCAGAAATACCAACATTTCCAAATTCAGTCCTCAGCCAGATCCCAGAAAGACCAGCAAAGTTAGTCCAACGCCCACGCCTTCCCAACAAGTACCAACGGTAGTTTGGTCAACAAAGAAGCCCAGTTCCCCTTCAAACAGCACCATAACTGCTCCACCTTCATTCCCGTCCGCTTCTGCTCCAAAGCAAAGCCCGACCCCCTTTGTGTCCAAATCCACCTCTCCACGTGACGCCACCTTTACGTCCACCGTCTCCATCAGCCCCACACCCACACCGTCTCCTCGAACCTCTGTCGCTGCAGCCAAAACAAGAGAGTCCAAGTTGAAGTTTTTACAATCGGATGAGACTTCTGGTAACGAAGAGAAAAAGACGACAACCTTCAGCACGGCTGTAAATAAAGGCCTAACGGTGACTGGTAAGAGACAGGAAATCCCAAAGGTTCAGCCTGTGACTGTGGTTATTAATGTTGAAGACATGGATAAAGGTGGAGGTTCAGCTAAAACGACCTCTGTGGGAGGGAGGATTAACTCAAAACAGGAAAACAATGACACCAACAAGGCTAAAGCGTCAGTATCAGCCTTCATCACTAAGAAACTGGCTGAGGAGAACACCAATAACAACAGTAAGCCTTCGTGGACAACTGTTGCCCCCAAGAAAACTGAAAAGTAAGCAAACAACCTCAGTCATGCACAACAGACAGAGTTAAGATCCATACTCTGCATAAATCTGGCCTCTAGTGGTGGAAGTTAGAGTGAGCTTTTCTCTTCAGACCTCAATCTCAAACGGAGACGCCTAGAAAGGAGCCGGAAGGTGTGAGGGGCAGGGTGAAGCTGAGAGCGGACCCATCGATCCTCTCTGACCTGCAGCCCCAGAAGCCTGCTTTCAGCCCGGGCCGACTCGGAGGGCGGACTCCAGAGAGAGGAGGCCTAAAGCCGGGCAAAGCATCACCCAACACATCAGGTGAGGCAGACGTACACACGCTGTCATCAAAAGGTGCAAAGAGCTGGTAGATCTTTAGTCTGAACCATCACATTGATTTATTGTGCGGATCTGCTCAAGGGTTTCTTTTTACATTAAAAACTCGGGAAACAGCTTTGTTAGATGTGAGACGGGACTGAAAAACAGGTGTTTTCTTGAGGTTGATTGAGCATAATCAGTCTTTTTATAGACCAAAATACATGAGGTTTTATCTGCATCCGTCTGATCTGCAGATTCTATTTAGAAGTTCTTGCTCTGACTGAGAGGGAATTAACAGTGGTGGAAATGCAACTTAAAGTCAAAGTCCCATTAGTCGTGACACACACTGGTGTGTGGTGAAATTACTTCTCCGCATTTGACCCATCCCCGTGGGGAGTGGTAAGCTGCAGACATGTCCATGCTCGGGAAATATTTGGTGGTTTAAACAAGTCACAGCTGCAGATTTTTATTAGTTTTTTTCTGCTCAGAAGGATTTATTCATGTATATTGTACTATCTTAAAGGTGTGGTTAACTGAAAAATGATTTTTTTAATGATTATTTCTGATTTTGGTCACCAACTTTAAATACATTAAATCTACTCTGAGTTTAGAGAAACTAAAGTCACTGCTGTAAATCTGGTGTGTAATACGAATATAAACTGATTTAAAAAGTATTAAACATCTGTATGAAAACATCTACTTGTTTGCATAATTTAAAAGTTGAATATGGAACAATTTAATCAAAGCTCTTTGTAAAAATACCTCCATGGGGCTTTTAGAGGGGTGCAGAATGAAAGTGCAGTATTTCCTTTTTAAAGCTATATTTTAATTAAAGAATAATCAAATATTTATTCTGACTGACACAACTCTGGATTTATGTTTACATCTACCAGCCAATAGAGGGCAGTATTGCACTTTGCCAAATATGGTAAGCGGTCCGCTTGGCACAGCGAGGCTGGCACTGTGGAAAATGGCGGACTCGGCAAGTCAAGCAGCTTCTTCTGAGCCCAGAAAATGTTCTAACGTTAAACACTGTTGTAAAAAACTTATTAGTAGAAATGAGTGCTTACCGTGGATGACTCAAGACTGGACATGGTGCTGGCTGGCCACTTCACGTACCGTCTGGAAACCTTACTGTTGTTACAACTACAACCTCCACACACTAGATGTCGCTATAGTGTTCATGTTGTTCATTCCTGTTTAAATTTGATTATTCTGGTGGAAAATTGTCCCATCATTATAAAAGTGTAATGAAATCAAAAACAAATGCTGAATTCTCGTCATATTATTAAGGAACTAAACTAGTTTCTGTTTTCTTTTCCAGGAGTTTCAGAAAACGAGTCTCCTGCAGACTGGAGGTCGAAGCTCAAACCTGTTTCCAAAGGAACAACGTAAGAGTTGACTGATTAATATTATATTTTGGCATTACACTTCTGTTTCCGGGTTGTTCTCCCTGCTGGCTCATGTTCCTGTTGTTGTAGCAGCAGGGGTCTGCATATTGACATCATGCAGCATTAATTGCTGAAAATGTTTTTGTTTTTTCCTCCTGATGTCTTGCCCATCCATCCGTCCTGCGTTTCCAGTCTCCCATCCATCCTCCCACAGGAAGCCTGTACCTGCTGCTCCTCCAAATGGCTCTGCCATCACTTGTAGTCGATCTCTCCCCCTCCACCACATGCATGTCAGCCCCAAATGGTGTTGGGACAGGGCGGCGTCTTTCGTGGTGCAGCATATGCTCGTCCAGTGTTCCTCTCCTCCCATCACCTTCCTGCTCTCATGAATCCAACCTAAAAGCTAGATCAAAACAGAAGTTTGTTGTAATGAACACAAACATGATGATTAAATGATCTTTCTGTCCACAGACCCGTGGGTCCTCCTCAGTCTTCTCATAAACCATGGACTAATGGACCCTCGAAGACCTCGGAGCTCTTGGTGAAACCTGTCCCCTTGTCCTCTCATCTGCCCAATCCTAACACGACTCCTTCACCATCGAAGGGTGAGAACACACCCGACAACTACCTAAATGCAACACAGATAATACACCCTGGTAATTCCATTTCTTCTTCATTCTAATTAGATTTTATCTGTATGAATATTTCTTTATTTCTTCAATTTTCTTTAGAATCTCATAATTTCCAGAAAGAACAAATCACAAATGGCAGCAAGTTGGAGTCAACGACTTCTAAGGTATTTACCTTCAGACTGTCAGATTGTTGAAACAGGATTTATACAAGTACAGATGCCACAAAGACGTTTCACACTTACTTGGCTCAGAAATTTGCATTGTTTTATTGTTTAAGTGTAATTAACATATAAAGTTGATTTGAAGTTAAAATAAGCATAAATAAAAAAAGGAGCAGCTTTATTATTTTTTTATTTTGGCTCACACCCTTCACTTTAGTTTGCTTGTTTGTGTGCGTGTTTGCGCGCGTGTGTGTATGCGCGTGTGCGTGTGTGTGTGTGTGTGCGTGCGTGTGTGTGTGTGTGCGTGTGTGTGTGCGCGCATGTGTGTGTGTATGCGCGTGTGCGTGTGTGTGTGTGTGTGTGTAGAAAAAAGCAGGCTACATCCCCAGAGAGGAAATCATAAGAGAGCTTGGAGAGATTGAAAACAACTTGAACGAGGTGGAAAAGAGAGGAGTGGAGCTGGAGGTGAAGCTGCGGCAGTGTGAGGAAGGTGATGTGCTCCTGATATCGATGCCGCAGTTAAAAACGGGCAGATTTAGAGGAAGGAGATTGTTAATGTGTGTGTGTGTGTGTGTGTTACAGAAGGTGCTGATGACAGTGTCATGGATGAGCTAATGGACGAGTGGTTCAACTTGATCAAAAACAAGCAGGTGGCCATGCGGCGCGAGTCTGAGCTAGTGTACATGTGAGTACACACACGCACACACACACACACACACACACACACACACACACACACATGCACACACGCAAAGAAAGGGGGCCTGTCACTCTTTAGTGCACAGTGAGACAGACTTGCGGGCAGAAGGTTGACAGTTTGAGTTCCCAGTGTCGTCCTCCTGCGTCCCACAGTAAGGACCCCCCACCGGCTGCACTGACCAGCGTTTTAGATCAGGACCCTGTTAAATAAACAAAACAAACCTTTCTTTTTTAAAATGTGTTAGGCAGATTAAACATGAGTTTATTACTCACCGCAGAGTGTGTTAGTGCTGGTTTTAACGCCTAGAGACCAGAATCAGCCACCAACCCAAAACTTAGACATCCTGTTTTTACCCCGTTAGTAAATGCACCATCATCACTGAGTATAATGTCATGTGGACGTTCATCCTCTTAATGCAGGTTAAAGCTGGACCTTGATTCAGTAAATGATACTTAGCTGGTGAAAGCAAATTTCTTTTGCCTTTTTTGTTTCTTTTAAATAAAAAACTTGCTGGTTTGATGTTATGAGAGTGAAGTTAATTAAACACAAATTTTGCAGTTTTACCAATTTGAAATTTGCACCTGGAGTTGATTTTTTTTAAGTCTCAGCTGTCTTTGCACCCTAGTGTCTAAAATCTACGACAGCAAAATGACAGTTTCCCTAAATTAAATTGGTTTTGATTAATAAAATGGATCTAAATGAAACTGAAAAAATAATGATGTTTTTGTATATTAATTATAACGTGCAGTGGAAAAACTCAGGACCTGGAAGAAGAGCAGCCCAACGTTGAGCAGGAGCTCAGGAGGCTGATGGAGAGACCAGGTGAGATGCTGTTTCAGCAGTGGTTACCACAAAATCAGAGTGCCAGTGTTGGTCTAATAAAACCTATTTGTTTGTGCAGATCATCTCAAAACAGCCTGGGACAAAAAGAAAGAGGCACAGCTGATGGAGAAGCTGCTGGAGATCGTTAATGGCAGGAATGCTATTATAGAAGGTCTGGATGAGGACAGACTCAGGTGTGTGTGATTAAAAATGTGAATGAATTATGGTGATTGCAACACATTAAAATCCCCCAAAAGTCAAGTTAGTCACACAAAATCAGAGCAGCTGTTGGGCTTTGATTTTGCTCAAGAGTTAAAGTGGAACCATCAAAAATAAGCAGAAGTGGAGTTCACACACTGTTCGCTCTTTGTGTTTAACTTTCTCAGGGAGGAAGAGGAGGATGAGCAGCTAAACGACATGATGAAGAGTTTCAGTGAGTATCTCCAACACCTCCTCTCCATTATGGTCATTAGTTATCCCAATCTCTGTGTCACCGTGGCTCATAAATGATCAGATTTGGGATTTTCATCAGGTGCATTAGTAATTGAAGGAAAGATAATCCACACATTGGTTTATGGAAGTGTGTTTGTTTATATGTGTGTGTGTGTGTGTGTGTTGCATTTTTAAAGGAGCCACCAGGCAATGTTTTTGATCTCGTTTGATTTGATGTCAGCTAATGGAAAACAAGCATCAAACAAAATGCTCGCCTTTCTTTTTTTCCCTCCTGGTTTTATTAGACAAATGGTTAATGCACCCAGTTAATTTGACCCTCTGATATCTCGGTGTGATGAAACAGAGTTAAAGCCCGCTTCATTTGCAATTCATGATTGTGAACGTGGAGCTGAAATAGAGGAGATTTACTGAACTTCAGTGAAAGGTCATTTATGTTTCAGCGACCGAACGCCAACCGTGGGCTAAAGATGAGCCATTTCACTTTAATATATTCATGAAGTTAATGCCTAAAGTTTCATGATTCACTTTCACTTAGTGTGTTTTTATGTCTGATCTGGGATTTTGTTTCTGTTGCAGACGTAAAGAAAGACAAAGGCAAGAAAAAGTCTCCCATGCTCAAAATGTTCGGCTGGGGAGGCAAGAAGGAAGCTCCTGATGCTTAATGTCAATCCCTGTGTGTGTGTGTGTGTGTGTGTGTGTGTGTGTGTGTTCCTCTTGTATGGTCTTCATGCTGGTGAACCTATTAAAATGTTGCTTGTAAACTGCAACACCAATGTAAACAGGGGTCAGAGGTCATTCTGCTCCTGTGGTAGCACAGGATACAAAACATACAGATCATCCTCTTGTACAGAAATGTTTCTTTTGACACTAATAGTTTCCAGTCTGGTGAGGTCTGGAAGAGGTTAAAGCAGGACATAAACACACCACTGCATTTTTTTTTCTTCCATATTTGAGTATTTAGAGGAATTTTGCAACATACAAAAGTAAGTCATGGTGGGATATTCACTCATCAGTTTAGCTTTGTGTAATTTTGACAGATTTTCCTAAACTCTAAAATAGTCGTCAATCCACCCTTTCCCCATTAGGGGTTTGCTTTTTCATCAAAGTGCCTGAAAGTGAAGATTTCCTGACAGTTTGAGTCAAAAGAATCCCAGATGTGGTCCACATTGGACCTTAACTTAGGTAATGATTCCTATCTGAACGACCTGTATGGTCATCATTAATATAATTAATTTACACAATTAAATATGTGTTTATAGTTTTATGACCGGACGTTCAAACTTTTTACCAAAATTGGTTAACACTACTAGCACCTAAGGATTGTATTTATGTTGATACTTTGCTGCTCTTTGTTAATACACAATAATCTCATTCATTATGTAGAAGCCTTGTTTATTTGATGTATTTTTGTCCATTTATTTGGAGTTCAATATTAAACTGATCACATGAATGATGCTTTTCTTTCTAGTTTGAATATATCATCACATGGAGCTTTACAGTTGCAGCTGTATATTATACAGCTCATCTGGTAGTGTTTGAGATTATTTGAGCTTCTTTTTTTTATTGATTGTACATATTTCTTTATTTTTATTTGAAGGTTTTGTTTCTCTTTTACAGATGCAATGTGTTTAAATTGCCACTAAGGGGCAGCGTGTGCATTGTTATTGCAGCTGTGCTGTTTTATTCCAAGAGGAAGTTTATCAGATTTTGTGCCGCTCATGAGGATATTTTAACAGTTTTCTGCAGTTATCACATACTTTGTGTCTGAAGTCTGTTTTTGTTTTTTATTTTTTGTCACAATAAAACGTTTACATTTTTCTTCGGCTGTGAACTAAAAGACACCCTGGACAGGGCTCCAGTCCATCTGGGACAGACATCCAGTCACACATCTAGAGACATGTTAGTGTCTAACAGGAGTGTTTTGGTCTGTGGGAGGAAGCCTGAGTACCTGAAGAAAACACACAAATGCACAGGGAAAATGTGCACGAATGGGATGCGAACCTGCAACCTTCTCGCTCAGGACAACAAAGCCCAACCGAAAGACTAAAGAACACGATTTATTATGTCGCAAAGATGATGTGAACAAGAACTGCTTCATTAAACTCTAAAGTGGCAATGTGCAGTTTCCTGGCACTGGGGGCAGTACAGACATTTCAGGGTAGTTTTACACCACATCCCCATGACTGTTACTAGGGTTAAGGCGACCTCGGCATGACTCAGACTTGGATGGTCCTTCACTTAATTCCATGGAGAGAATGCAATGCCGCTGCTAATTTTCTGGCGCTGCAGTTTCCGGACCTGCTTGGGGACCTGCGCCTACCGATGACTTCAACATACTACGGCAATACCACTCGGTCAAAATATATTGCAGTGCTTTTTTTATTTTGTTCTTTCACATATATTTTGTTATTAAATGAATGTTTCCTACTACCTAAATGTGTTCAAAAAACAGATTCTCACACCCGAAGCGTCAAAAAATGACGTTGGGTGACCAAGCGTTTGTTTCCGACGTGTTGGTGCTCCCAACACGGCGGCGGGAGACGACGCTCTCAAAATGCTGCGGGAAAATGGAGAGTTCCCAGATTTCTGACCTTTACCCTTTTGCTATTTAACCTTCCCCTCACCTCCATCCTAACCTTAACCTTCTTGCACATGCAAAATCTTGTTTCTAGTTGTAACATCCCTCCCAAACACGGTTAACGGGAAGTTTAGAATCAGAAACAGGGTTAAGGTTAGGATGTGGGTGAGAGGAAGGTTAAGTAGCAAGAGGTTGGAGGATAAATGTCGGTGAAATCTGCGCTTTACCAGGGGTGTCAGCAACTGATGCTCTGGCACAAATGCTTGGTCACCCAGCGTCATTTTTCAGTGCTTCTGGTGTGAGAACGGGTTGTTTCAAATGTAACGCAAAGTCGTATATCCAGCCACCTCGTGTGATGTCATCGACAGGCATGGGACCCTGAGCCAGCCAGAAGGAAACATGGCATCCCCCAAAGATGCTAGACTTAAAACTTGATGTTTTATGTTTATATGTTACGAAGCCGCTATTATTTTTCAATGACTGGACTAGGGCTGTGCAGTATTAGGAAAACCTGCGATGCACAATAACAGTGACGGTATGACAGTAAACAAAAAATAATTAAATGAATAAACAAAGAAATAAAAAATTTACCAAAAATATAAAAAATAGGAAAGTCATTTATTGTGATCAAAAAATAAATGTTACACTTGTAACTTAATGTAATCTTGTTTAGCGCCTCTCAGAGTAAGTACTCCAAAGCGCTTTACACTACAGTGTATCATTCATCCATTCACACACACATAAACACACTGATGATGATGAGCTACAGTGTAGCCACAGCTGCCCTGGGGCGCGCTGACAGAGGCGAGGCTGCCGAGCACAGGCACCACCGGTCCCTCCGACCACCACCAGCAGGCAACGTGGGTTAAGTGTCTTGCCCAAGGACACAACTGCAGAATTCTCTGGAGCCAGGATCGAACCTGCAACCTTCCGATTACTTGACAACCCGCTCAACCTGTTGAGCTACTGCTGCCCCAAAATGAGACGAAAGGGAAAAAGTAAATTAACAAGAAAAAGCAATCAGTGGATCCTGGGAAAAGCAGAATCAGCTGAAAAAGCAGAACAAAGCTAACTCAGGTGTTTGCTAGCCGTCCTAATTATGTGCTGTTTGCCTAGGGGGCGGGTATCTAACCAATAAGAACCCACTCGACTGGCCAAATGGGTGAAGAGCTCTATTTGATTTGTCAAAAACTTCATGTTTGTTTGATTGACTAAATGCATTATGTGCAGCCCCTGACTGGACATAACTATTCATTTTCAACAACTTTTCGATGGATATTTCCAGGGTTTAAATGTAAAAATACACAATGTCACTTTAAAATCAGACCTCCTGCCTAGATCCTATGTGTATGAAGACAGTATGTGGTACAAAAGTACGATTATACAATTATTACTCAACAAAATAGGGATGCTCAGGTTTGACTCTTTGTGGTGTTGGATCTGTGAGGCATTTTAAATGCAAAAACCTAGAAAGCAGTTAGTTTTCTCACTGTTTTAACTCCACTTGTATGTCCTTAAAGCAAAGGGCAGAGTGAGAAATCCAACAGAAGTCACAATGAAACACAAACAAGACTAATTTCTCTGCTACACTTTTACTTATTCTTTGACAAGAGAAAAACAAAACAAAAGCAAAACAGAAAAAGGGGCTTTTAGCTTTTTGTTTTGTAAAAAAAAAAACACGTTTCAGTGTGGAAATACAGAACGGTGTAATCTTTCTTTCTCTAAAGGCAACATCTGTTCCTGTTGTTATGTGTGAAAATGTTTGTTGATTTCTGCCCCAAACCGTGATAAAACCTTCCATCGCTGCACCGCTGTGTCGGAATCAATCATGTCCCCGCTCAACTTGGGAACATGTTTATCTTTGGAGGTAAAATGTGCCTTGAAGTCGACTCAATGAGGTGCAGTCACAATGCCGGAGACTGGGTCTTTTTAAATCTGCTTCATTTACATAACACAGTGAGTCCTCACACATTATCCACACACACGTCTCAACTGTTTTGTGAGTGTCGGCGATGCTTGACTGTTCTGTCATGATGTGATTGATCCATTCATGGCTCAGATCTGCTTGATTTATGCTAAAAGTTGTATTTACTCCCCACAACCTGCAGGTATTGTTGTTTCATGCCGTTTTATGATCTAAGGAAGCTGTGTTTATGATTTTACACACTAAGCATTGGACTCATGAACATTAATGTGAAACCACACATACACTCAACAAAAATATAAACGCAACACCTTTGTTTCTGCTCAGATTTTTCATGAGATGGACTTAAAGATCTAAAATTCATTCCAGATACACAATATTACCATTTCTCTCAAACATTGTTCACAAATCAGTCTAAAAGTTTGATAGTGAGCACTTCTGCTTTGCTGAGATAATCCATCCCACCTCACAGGTGTGCCACATCAAGATGCTGAACCGACATCATGAGTAGTGCACAGGTGTACCTTATACTGCCCACAATAAAAGGCCACCCTGGAATGTGCAGTTTTGGCTCACAGCAAAATGCCACAGATGTCACAAGCATTGAGGGAGCGTGCAATTGGCATGCTGACAGCAGGAATGTCAAGCAGATCTGTTGCTCGTGCACTGAATGTTCATTTCACCACCATAAGCCGTCTCCTAAGGCATTTCAGAGAATATGGTAGTACATCCAACCGGCCTTACAACTGCAGACGACGTGTAACCACACCAGCCTCCACATCCAGCAGGTTCACCTCCAAGATCGTCTGAGACCAGCCACTCAGACAGCTGCTGAAACAATTGGTTTGCATAACCAAACAATTTCTGCACAAACTGTCAGAAACTGTCTCAGGGAAGCTCAACTGCACGCTTGTCATCCTCATCGGGGTCTTGATCTGACTCCAGCTCGTCGCCGTAACAGACTTGAGTGGGCAAATGCTCATATTCGATGACGTCTGGCACATTGGAGAGGTGTTCTCTTCACGGATGAATCTCGGTTTACATTGTTCAGGGCAGATGGCAGATAGCGTGTGTGGTGTTGTGCGGGTAAGCGCTTTGCTAATGTCAATGTTGTGGATCGAGTGGCCCATGGTGGTGGTGGGGTTATGGTATGGGCAGGCATCTGTTATGGACGGAGAACACAGGTGCGTTTTATTGATGACATTTTGAATGCACAGAGATACCGTGATGAGATCCTGAGGCCCATTGTTGTGCTGTACATCCATGAACATCACCTCATGTTTCACCAAGATAATGCACGGCCCCATGTTGCAAGGATCTGTACACAATTCTTGGAAGCTGAAAATGTCCCAGTTCTTGCATGGCCAGCATACTCACCGGACATGTCACCCATTGAGCATGTTTGGGATGTGCTTGACCGGCGTATACGACAGCATGTACCAGTTCCCACTAACATCCAACAACTTCGCACAGCCATTGAAGCGGAGTGGACCATCATTCCACAGGCCACACTTGACAATCTGATAAACTCTATGCAAAGAAGATGTGTTGCACTGCATGAGGCAGTGCAACACATGGTAGTCACACCAGATACTGACTGGTTCTGAGTCCCCAGACCCCCAATAAAGCAAAAAACTGCACATTCCAGGGTGGCCTTTTATTGTGGGCAGTATAAGGTACACCTGTGCACTACTCATGATGTCAGATCACCATCTTGATGTGGCACACCTGTGAGGTGGGGTGGATTATCTCACTATCACACATTTAGACTGATTTGTGAACAATGTTTGAGAGAAATGGTAATATTGTGTATCTGGAATTAATTTTAGATCTTTAAGTCCATCTCATGAAAAATCGGAGCAGAAACAAAGGTGTTGCGTTTATATTTTTGTTGAGTGTATGATGCTTTTTACTAAAGTTGTTCCTTTCATAGTGAAACATTTTAATCTTTTAGACAAACAAAAGGACTACATCACATCAATACTAGTTCAGAAGACTTAACTTTGTTATTTTATACATGAGAGATTCTTAGTTTAGCATCATTTTAAGGTTAAAATGTCCAAATCTGTTCAGATTTGACTCTAGATTAACGTTCTTTTTGCTCATTCATAGCTTAAATATTCTGAAAATTTTGTGATTCTTTCCTCCAGTCTCCAAACGCTGTTATCTGTGTGTCTGAATTCATTTAACTGTGGATTTACACAGAAAAATAAAATAAAATACAAAAATTTAAACAAAACAATAGATATTCTGCTATTATAGACATCTTACATAACTTTAACATAACTTTATTGATCTTTGTTTGTCATTTATAATT